CATGAATGTCCCAATACATTTTGAAATGTCATCATAACATTAATTTTCTGTAGTCGGCAGTTTTGGACATATTTTAATAATTATTTTATTAATTGCAAGGGTTTACGTCAGATTTGTAACTCGACTAATTTTGTAAAGGTTTTTACGAGCTAGTTCTACTTGTTTTACGAGTATTTTTATGATTATTTTGTTAATCATTAAAGTTACGCAAATGTAATTGACATACCACCTGCATATATGTATGTAATTAAATGGATTACCTTGCAATAATAATGAGTAAACAAAGAAAAGGGATAAGATTATTAAAAAAACAGCTTTAACAAATGATTAATTCTGCCAATTTTTTTAATTGGAGGCAGGAAAACCATTTTATTATCATCATGGTATTCCTGCCTGCGCTAAAGGTTTATGCTGTCCAGGCACCAATGGCAGATGTATATGAGTTCACGTTACTTAGCCCATAGTGGCGAATTCACCAGAAATTTATCATAATGGTTTCCAGGCGGAACCGCGTAGATGTCAATCTGATAATGCTAGCATTAGAGATATTACTCCACATTCCTAACAGTCCCCTTCTCCCATTTCTTCCAATTCTGTAACGTCTTGATGTGCCCTTTTTTTCACACATTGTGTCCTTATCAAGCTGAACTAATTAACGACCTTATAGAAATATAGCAATAGATTATTCCCATCCATTTATCATTATTAAATCAACATTTCACATACTGATTGCTTACGTTATCATGAAGTACGTGAGTCTTTACCCTAGTTGATTATATCTAATCTTAATAATATTCAAAATTGTAATACACAAGATTATACTGACCAAATCCCTATCAGAAACGTATTTTTTGATAGGACTCGTGTTCCTAGGCCATATTTATGACAAATCCCCGAATGCAGTTGGCATTCCGAAAATCTTCTTCGGTACTTGGTTTACATTGAGCTAATGTTCGAGATTTTGTGAAATTTTATTTTGTAATAAGATAAATATTTTGTTATAAATTAAATATTAGTATAAAAATCAGTAAAAATTTGGTTTATGCTTTAACTCCTCTATGTGACTCAAGTGTTATATAGAAAAATGTTTAAAAAATATTCCCAAGATCTTTGTATAATTCAACAAGTACTAAATATTTTACTGGATATTACAATTATCTTATTTTCCTAAACATAGAATAAAATATGTCATAACTAATGATACGTATATCGTATAGGGCATTTTCGTTATGGAGGAGCATATATATATTGCACCATGTACCTCGCGTATTTCAAAAGATTTATCTGATAACAAATATAACAGTTCTCATGCATCTGTAATCTAAAAAACATGACAAAGCTCTTCGGTCGGTCACAATTTGGCCTGACGAGGATGGAATATTTAAAATTATAATTTCCCTCATAAATATTGTTATTTATTGACCCCATGGAAACTGTTTTTGTCACGATTCATACTGGACATGGTACGAAGGTCAGTATACCTACGTGTTATTCAATGCAAAGTGGAGATAAATGGTGTTGTTGTCGTATCACATTTTTTTTATATATGACATGAGCATTATCTTAGAGATCCGGAATATACCCGCGACAAAAAACTGTTTAAGCTATTTTGTTTCTTATGTAAATTTTTATATTACTAAGCACCGGAAATTTGAGTGGTTTTACAGGTCTAACTGGAGTTGCCTTAAAATCACGGATTTACCAACTTTTATGTACCTATTTTTTTAGAAGGTATGTGGTAAATTTTGAACTGTTAAAAGTTTTGAACATTTCTTTTTGAAATATTCAACCTTTATCTCATAGCCTTGTGGACAATAACAACGGCTACCGTAAACCATTAAGTTTGTATTTAACCATTTGATTAACGATAAGATAATCCAAGCGTTCACATAACAACAATCAATACAATAACAATAGAAAATCAATTATTGTGTGATTAAATAATTTTCGCCACTATCTGTTTTTATCTGTACGTGACCAAATGGATGAATATTATCGTACTGTACCATAATGTAGTCATATATATTACCTATTTTAAGTTATACGTATAAACACTATTGTAAGTTTATATCGGTTTACTTTATCTCATTAAATTACGTAAATATCATCGACGTAGGATCCATCGAATTTGAGAGCAGTCTTCAGTGATCCGCGAATGGAATCAGACGAGTGTCTGTGTTAGTCTGTAGAAACTGTTTATGGATCGAACGTTGCGTAGTAATAATTTTCAATAAGATTTTGTGGTGAGTTTTGTAATAAAAACTTACATTTCCGTTTTTTACTTTGTAATAAAATGTCTAATTAATCTATTTGTTTTAGGTATTAAACTATTTATTTTTTTAAGCAATATTTATAATAATCTCTACATACAGAACCATTTTTATAGTTATTCTTCACTTATAATTCAACGATTATAAGAAAATTTGAAACCCAAGGTATCTTACTATGACATTTTCTAAGATTTCTGTAAATATTTTTGCGATTTAAGGGAAAACATACTTTGTATATAATAAACTTTAAGTGTAATGTAACATAATTTCTATTCAATACGAATATAAAACCTGAATAAAAATACTATAATGATCTGTATTTTGTCAAAAGATATCATATGAATAACGTAAAGCCGATTATGTCTTGTAAAGTTAAAGTTGTAACTATGTCCAGTCACGCGCACGATATGTAAACATTACTATTCTGTAGTTTACTGAGAATCGCAAAGTAAACTTTAAACAAGTATACAAAAATATACCATATTTTTTAAATATTCAATGTCGATAGATATATTATTGAATATTTTAAAAATATTCAATGTCGATAGATATATTATTTTTTAAAAAATGCTAGCTTTGTACTACAGTCTCCAATAGCTAATGAAATTATTTCTTATTCCTATACTAGTTTTGCCCCGCAGATTTATACGCGTGCATTACGTTATTATTAGTAAATTTATTTGTATATACAGTTCTGCAACTGCTTAGGTATTTATTCATATCGATCTCCATGAGATATCCTCTTTTTATATTTACGAAAACAACTTTTAGCAATACCACTATTGATGATTGTAGACGAAGTAATACTAATAATATAATAGTGTATAGTAGTATAATAGTAAATAAATTATTCCTAGAAAACTCACACAACATCGTAAGTCTAGTCTTAAGCCATTTGTAGCTTGTAAGTACTATGGGTTTTAGATAACTGATAATATTTATAAGGTAAACTCAAAATCATTATTTAGCATTTTAAATCCATTAGGTAATTCCGATCATTTTTTCAAACAATCATGGATCGAAGAGTGTCAAATAAAAATTACAATGTTATACTCGTATCTCCCATATCCCATACTAATTTGCTAGCTAAAGTAAGTGTCGTGGCGACTCTACAATTATTTTATTATAGTTCACTATAAAATATAAAAATCTCTCTTAAATGTATTCTATAATAAAGTCTTTGAAATAGTCTCTTTACGAAGTTCACTATTTGAGATTGATTTCCAATGTCGTATAACCCAGACGTGTATGAATTTATATAATACTGAAACTCTAATTCCGCATTATTATTTAGATTATTTTATATGTTAGGCATTAAAATAGCTGTTGTATTAAATATACCTATATTTAATATAACAGCTATTTTAATGTTTGTAATACTATTTTATTACGACACGTGACCATTATTACTCACTATTGGCCTATTAGTGAAAAAAAAACTACTAGTGAATCGACGAAGACTATCCCTGTAGTCTTCGTTGGTCCACTAATAGTTTTTTTTAATATATTGTAATCAGATGTCCAATAGCATTAATTCATGAAAACTATCATCGATCCTTTATTACAATTTTATCAATAAATATGAATATCACGGTTTATTATCAATTGTAAGTAAAATTGTTAAAGCTACGAGAACGCCATAGATCCGTATCCTTACGTTGTATCTTTTATCACATCCGCAAATTCAACTCATTTATGAACATCGTTTCCAGAGACCCCAATTGTTATTGTCGAAAAAATCTCTGCAAACTAGTTTTGGCAGAATGTAATCCGGATTTAAACGAAATCGCAGTGAATAGATAAATTGTTATAATTGATAACATTTGTCCTTTTATGGTCTTGTTATTGCGTAGATATATTGTTTATTTAGTTTAGGTATATAATTAGAAACAAACTCTACTCAAGCAGTTATCAAATCGATGTAAATGTTTGTTTATATTTTTAAATGTGTTTAACATTACAGTTTTTCTAATATACATTGTAATGTTAACTAAATTAAAAAATAATCAGACTAAGTGACGTAAATTAATGAAGTCTGTGACTGTTACAACCCTAATTTTTAATAAAATCTTGTTTGTTACGTGGGATCCTCATTATTATATAGAAGCAGTGATGTATAACGATTGACGAAACTGAGTTACATAACTGATTCTGTATCTATACAATCTTTGCATAAAGTGGCTCCGTTATTTTTACTGACTGCCTGATTCGCGCTGCTTCGTCTGTGTTTTAAAAGGAATAGAATTTCCGTCTTTGCAACGTTTTTTTATTAATTTTCCACTTATACAGGTCGTAGCGTAATGTTCTATTTATAAGCCTATGGCCAGCCACAATATATTTTTATATATCTGGAAAAGATGATTTCTTTGTAATAAAAACAGGGAGTGTATAATATTAACTAAAAAATGGAGATCACTGTAACAATTACGGTACATTTTAGACAATATAACTTTAATTAATACACATAATGAAAGAATCATGTATATCAGAACGTATTAAAGAAAGTTATTTGTAATTAATAATGCATGGTAGTGTGTGTATTTTTTTTTATTGATATAATGTATTTTTATGCATAGTTTTAAAACAAATAATATCATTCTGCACTTCTTATCTATATAAACTAAAACTGTTGGTAATTCCATACTACAAAAGGGTATAAAGTTTTTGCTTCACGTATTAATATATTGATTGTGCATGTGATAGCTAAAATGTTAATGTTATTATTTTCAGATAAACACAGGGCAAAATGTGTCCCATTTGGCCCCTTCACTTGATCGTGATATACCTGTTGGCCTTGTGTCCACTATGGGTGATATGCCAATCAGTGCCCAACCTTATCTCCAACTTTGTACCAAACAACATCACAGTGCACATGGACGACACTGAATATGTGAACCTCACAATTACAGGTAATATGTAATTACTAGTAGGTATTTTTAGCATATATAGCAGCATTCAATTTCACACAAATCATCTAGTCCCAAGGTAATCTGAGCTTGTATTGTGGGTACAACTGCTATATATAATAGAGCCATTCTTACCACTTAGCTGTATAAAAATGGTTTCTGACTACTTTAATAGAATAGCCCAAAACCTACAAATATACACCAAACTATTCATATAAATAAGTCAATCCGTTCAGAGAAGTTCGTTCACAAATACTGTGACCCGAGATTTATATACGAGTATACAAATTACGGATTTTTAATTCCGTATCAATTATAGGGTACACAAGGGCAAGACATTTAAACATCCATTGTGAACATTATGGCCGTGGTATCGTTCATATATGTATATATGCGGTAGTTACCATTTACCATGAGGTGGGACATCACCGTGTTTGCCATTCCATTTACAACAAAAAAAATGCTGTGATACGCTCACTATATTAATTCATTGGAAGCACATAGTGGAGAACTGCACTTTGTCGTGACGCTGGTCATGAGTTTTCTTACTTCCAGTAGCAATAATCCGTCAGGGTTGTCTTAACAGTTAATATCAAGCAAATCGATATCAATATATGGTATTTTAGTGTGGCCTCAATATGTTATAATTTTTTAAAATAATAATCATTGTTTATTGCACGCAGAAAAGGTACAAAAATACAATATTACAAAGTATGCAATCTCTTACAGACAAAACAATAATTACAGAGGAAATGGGAATTACTTAAATTAAAAGTAATTAACAAGAAATTACAGATTATATAAACAATTGCGCGGAAATCGATTTCCGTTCGTGCAAGAAATCAGATAGCACTGAGAATACCTACATACGAAATACGATAGTCGGGGACATTGAGGGCCCGGTTAAGTCTTTTATTGTAGGCTTGAAATGTGACCACAACTGCAATCACCGCAAGAATTGAAAAACGGAAATTCTACCCCTTTACGGTCGCCGACTTAACTTTATGGTATGGCTCAATCAATAATTGAGTCAGTAAATACTATTTTACCATAGATTTGATAGTAGTTGTAGGTTGAACATCTATCTATAACATAAAATTCTCGTGTCACAATGTTAGTTACCATACTCCTCCGAAAGGACTTGACCGATTTTAAGGAAATTTTATATGCATATTCTACTGACATACTTGTCTAAAAATCAACTACTATCTGTTTTTGTACTCCTAAGCGATAAGGTATATCGACCCCTAACATTTTTTTTTTAATTTTTAATTTTTTTTTTTATAATTTGGCATTAAAAATATATACAACCCTCAATTTTCACCAACCCCTATTTTTTAGAGTTTGTTTTCTGCCACTCCATAAGTACTTCCGCGGCTTTGGGAGTGCCATCTGCACCCGCCCCCTATCGTCCGGTTAAGCTGTACATGCCCGCTGCGACCAACAGCATTAGAGTATTCTGAAAATAAGAAAAATACCTAAAAAAAAGATACCCATGGAAACGACTATGTACAAAGTCTACCTAAACCAAGGTAAATATTTTAATTACTCAATACATTAATTTCAGGAACTGGTATGCAAGCGGGCGACATATTCACAATAGAAACTGAACGAGATCACGTAGCAATAGGAGAATGGAACTCAACATATAGTATATCAGAAGATAACTCAGATAACAATATCTGGCATGGAAAAGTGAGGGTCATTGGAAATTTTCTAGGTAAGCAGTGAAAAGCTTTCAGCGAGAGTGTCTTCCTGTCTGTCTTTTACCTTTTAACGACTATATCGCTAAACGAATTTTAATGATATTCGACACGAAGATAAATTCTATTACGATAATGGACAGCTCATAAAAACTTAATCGTATAATGTATATGTAGACGACGTTAAAGAAATTTAAAACAATGAAAACATTCTTCTTGAATTTTTTTGAATTTACCTTTGAATAAATATAAAACTTTTGTTAAAAATATTTACTCACTGACCGATTACTAAATGAAAAACGTGTTGTATAATAATTGTTTATGTACAGGATTTTCATTTCATGTAGACACCTACATACGTATTCAGTGTTTGCCAGGTAATTAATAATTAATTGAAACTATAAACTGAAGTGGACGGTCGGGGAAAAGTATTTATATTTTGACTTACAGTGGTGAATAAAAAGTCCTACATAAAAAAAAAATATTTGTTATTTGTAAGAGAGACATGTAACAGTGGACGAATTTAATTGATATTGATTTGTATTATTTCAACAGGTAGAACTAATTTGTCAATTAACACCATCCGCGATGGTGCTGCGCATCTAGTGAAAGGCGCCTTACCAGTGACTGTGATACGACCGGCGCGGGTCATAGATACTATATTCACTACTAGTGTTGCCACATTGGTGAGTGCTTAAAAATATAATAATTAATACCTACAATAACATCGTCACGTCCTGTATCTTGGATAGTATAATACTGTAGTCAAAGGCATTGAGCACTGTCGATGCTGTAGTGCCCATATATCGTTGGTTATATTTGAATATAATCTTATTTAAGGAAGGAAGGTGTTACACGCAATCTAGATGGTTATAAGGGCAGAGGAAGACCGAAAAAGAGTTGAATGGACTGTGTAAAAGATGATATGGTAAGAATGTGAGTAAATAAAGAGATGACTGCGAACAGGGATAAATGGAAGAGAAAAACATAGACTAGAATAGAATAGAATAGAAAATCATTTATTCAAATAAACTTACATTGAAGCACTTTTGAATAGTCATTACATTTTTTAATCTACCGCTGGTTCGGAAAGCTGTCTCATCACAAGAAGAACGAGCAAGAAACTTGCGTGTTGCTCTTTTAAATAATTTTATTATTACTTTACATTTTTAAGTTTAAGTGTGTGAATACAAACCACCAATTAGCACTAATTCAATTAAATACTCAAATAGAAAAAAATGAATATATAACCAACTGGTTAACAATTAATAAGAGGAAATCAGTCATAGTGATCACGTCCCTACAAGCAGACCCATATCAGCCAGCCATCACGCGCTCCAAATAAATAGAATAAGGAACAAGCATATGATGAGTATGCGACCCTACCCTCTGATTAATATTTCATTAAATCAGATTTAGAAATTGAACACACACAGTTTTTTTGTTTTGGTCTGATTTAAACTTCTGATCTCTTGCTTATAAGTCAGGGTAATAAAACACTAGGCCAGGAGGCTCATACTATAACTATATTAAACAAATAGGAAGGTCAAATTGAATTTTGATAACTTTAATGTAGGAGGACTTTAGAGTTACATATTATATAATAACTTCCATAATCTGTCACAGTATTTCTTCTCACATGTGTATATAATCGGCAGGTGTCCCTAATCTTCATTAACTTTGGCTGCGCAATGCATTGGCCGACCGTGAAAGAAGTGTTAAAGAGGCCCATCGGCCCTGGTATAGGAATGATTGGACAGTTCCTGTTTATGCCACTTGTAAGTATATAATATTTTATGCTATTTACAGTTCAAATTTCCTACCTTTTCTCTTGCAACAAAGTCTAAGATCTATTTTGTGATTAGATAGCCATGTGCTAGTTGTTCTTTATTTTTATCTATTTTATTATATTCAAGCATCTTCCTTTATAAACTAGTATTTTTGTTATAGAGTTGGTAACAGATTACGCAGTAAAATTATGGGATAAGAGGCATCACATCCTCGGGTTTTACGTTATCGAACTAAAACCTCTTTTATATCTAACCATTGGAATATTTTTTAATAAGTAGGTTTGTCTTCAGAAATAACCCACTTATTAAATTATTATTTGTTTTTTATTTATCCAATATTAATTGAAAAATACTTATATAACTTTTCCAAAATTCGCGAATGTGATTCTAATTTCTGGTATGCTTACTAATTTTGTGGCTCCACAGATGTCATTCGGGTTAGGTTTTCTTATATTCCCTGATAAACCCGAGATGCGTCTGGGCATGTTTTTCACGGGCGTGTCGCCGGGCGGAGGCGCATCCAACATTTGGACCTTCATCCTCGGTGGAAATCTAAATCTTTCGCTGGCCATGACGTCTATATCCACATTCGCTGCCTTCGGTAATATTTTTTTTTCTGTCTATAATTTATCAGATGACTAGGATAGAAACAATCTCTAGGGGCCATTCAAAAATTAATTCACACACAGACTTGAAAGCCTTTTTATTTTTTCCGTTATTAGTTCAAATTTTGTGTTCAAATACTTGATACATTAGAATTTGAAATGTGACTCCCCTTGTCATGCAAAGTCACACTTAATCGACCCCTCTTATTCAAATAAACTTAATTTTGAGTACTTTTGAGTAGTCATTTTTTACCAAAATATTTCGTACACAACTTGGCTTCTGTGTCCAAAATTAAAAGTTTACGTTCATGATTTTGATTACTTAATGGAATTTAGGGGTAAGACTATAGATACATATGTATATCTGGTATGATATTCACAAGGATGAATATAAAACGTAATCAATTTTTCTCTCGCAGGCCTAATGCCGATGTGGTTGTTCTCACTTGGCCAAGTGGTGTTTCGTAATGCGAACATCGTGGTTCCGTACCAACGGATCGGTACGTTTGTTGTTGGCCTTATAGTGCCGCTAGCGATCGGTCTGGGCATGCAGCGCTGGACTCCAAGGTTGGCCGCCTTCATGGTCAGGATCCTTAAGGGATTCTCGACGGCGTTACTTCTTTTCATTATTGGATTCGCTATTGCGACTAATTTATATATCTTCGAGTTGTTCACGTGGCAAGTGAGTACTCTTTTATATTTTTTAGTGAATATTTATTTGGAGATAGTTACTAGACCTTCAGTGACCTACTATTACTGCTCTCGTTATTAGGTAGCTAAAATTTAGTTACCTATGTTTTTGTATAACTATGTTCATATAGTTCTGTGACAACTATGTTCTACTGTGACATGTTATATTGTTTCGCACGCCACCGGAGTGACGATTCCTTGTTGTTGACATAATAACTAAAAATAGCAAACACTGAAAGAAAAATACGTTACTTATTTATTAAAAATAATGCTTGCTTCTATTCTGGGATGCTTAATCAAATTAATTAGCTTGGAACCTCCTAATAATTTGTAGTTGTTGTATTAGGGAATTGAGAATAGAATCCATGTAGATTCAAATTTATATTTCTAATTGCAGATAATAGTAGCAGGTATTGGTATACCATGGCTCGGGTATGCGTTCGGGTACGCACTTGCTAGAATCTTAAAGCAACCACACCCCGACGCACTCGCAATCTCTATTGAAACCGGCGTGCAAAACACTGGAATTTCCATATTCTTGCTGCGATACGCGCTTGACCAGCCAGAAGCTGATCTCACCACAGGTGATTTTATTTTAAAAAATAGTTGTATAATCATCACATCTGAATATGAATAATTTACTACAAGAAGAGTTTTGATAACTTGCTTGTTGTCATAGTTATAATCTTGCTATTATACATTATATAATAGCATACATACAGACATCCATGGTCCGGCTCGAAGGACCATGAACTTTTATGATCATGATCATTCAAACTTTCTAGGATATTTCGCGATCCGTGATAACCTAGCACGACAATATTTTGATGTTCTCAAAGTTGAGATCACCACTGAATAATTCGTATACCCAAAAACTCTGTTTTAGTCTTATCTCGTTTCTCTTCAAGTGCCTGTAGTACAAGTTTTTAATTAGCATTGTATGATTTTACATTTGTTACATTGCTGCTCTTAATACAATTCCAGTGGTGCCAGTGGCAGTAGCTATCATGACGCCAATACCCATGACAGCTATATACATTTATCAGAAGATCAGAGGCTGGTGAGTATTTTCACTTACTCTATCATGTGTGCTTGGTGTAACAATATAGTATTGTAACAAAAATGTTGAGAACCGTACTAAATTTTAAATATTTCGGAAAGGCCTTAAATATTATACTTATTAGAACTACTTTAAAAATGTAAACAAGCAATAATGTAATACGGATAAATAATAAGAATCAGAATTAGTATAATTTATTCCAACAGATATAGTAATTATATACAGTACATAAATAAATAAAAATACTGATAAGACTTACATTGCTGGACATCTCACAACTAATAATAGTAGTCAACATGACCTTTTTCAGTCTCGATTGATTCTTATAACAAAGGTCATATTGTAGCCACAAATGTTATCAATACTTACAAATAACTTGTAATAAGAGTAATTGCATTAAGTACATTTTCTGTAATGATATTATGTTGTTGCAAACATATGTTTGTAATTTTATAATAATATGTAATCTGTAATGCTAAATTCTCGGAAATTCGGTTCTCATGTATTTTTGTGTTCAATTATTTTGAGGGGAAGTTGTTAAGGTTGAATCTATATACGTATTTTGTAATGATTAACATTTCACTTTGTTGTGTTTGTAATTATTTAGTAATTTCAAAACATACTTATACTTACATATGGTATGTTTTGATTTATCCATTTAGTTTCTATCACGTGAGTAATTGATACAACCTTATTAACTTCATTGGTTTCTATGAATACATAGAGACGGATTGACTCTATATGTTAGCAGAAGGAGGGAAGGAATAAAGTCAAGGGGAGGAATATTATGGTTTTGTCGTTACTCCATTATTTGGGGAGACATTGGAATATGTTGATTGAATTTGTGTACAAGTCACTCAGTGGAAATTCATGTAACGTCAAAGGGTATAGGAGTGAATTGTAGAAAATGTACCCCCTGGTAATGGTGCATTTTTAATAAATAATCATATTGTGTTGTCTTATTGGGTTCATTATCAAGAAAAGTAACAAGTATCTTTAAGTAGTAAAATTTTGAAAGACTAATTTGAACTATATTAATAATAATACAAATCTTAGACATATGATTTCTTTATTTTTCTTTAGCGAATTTTATATCTTTTATAATACTGTACAGATTAGTAGCAATAAGTATAAATATTATTACTATTTTTTTTTAAACAAATTTTACATAAATTCGTAGTTTATTTTTCTCTCAAAGCTAGTCTAAAAGTGTATTTTGTTTTTATTTTCATACAATATTACGTGTGGTGAACATCATTACATACCGATTTGTCGTCTTAGTCTGGGAGGTATGTCAAAAAAAAAAACAAATATTGGTGGTGGGAATCATGTGTGACATCTAGGTGCTCATTATATGCTTGCATGTTTTTGGCGTCCTACCTTGTGAGATAAGAGTTATATTAAACATAATGAATGCCTTAGGCCTCATACACACTAGCGGTTAACCGTCAGGGCGGCTCACAGCTTAGAGTTTTTTTTTTAATTTATGGCTGTTAAGGGCGACTACAAAGCGGTTGTATATTAAAAGTCGCCAGTGTGTATAAAGACCTTATATACGCCTCAATATACGCAAAGCTCACCTATCTAAATTGATATGCAAATACTCAATAAATAACTGCAAACTAGTTGCCCATGCCCTCATATTATATTAATCTGGTTAACTGATATGTTACACTTATTGACTCGTGAACTGCAGTTATTTCCGTGGGCGACGGCAAGAACTTATATCTTCTCGCATTTTATTTTTCCTATGATTCCTACACCTCCGAATTTATTCGTAACACATAGAAATTTGGAGATGCAGGAGGACGCTCATGACCTACAGGCTCGTGAACCCTTGAGATATCGGTCTTTCTAGAAAAAAAATAAATAATATTTCTAAATAAATAAACTAAAATTTCTAGCTCATATATGTAATATGAGCTAGAAATTTTTGTGATGAATCCGCCGGCCACGGATTTACTGATTTATGTTTGTTTGTCACATTATGTCACTATGGACACATTTTTCGTTTAAAGTTACTTTTCAACATCTTTATTTTGTTTCGCTGCTATAGCTTTCAGATATTACTGAAAATAATTTTAGATTGATGAGAGATGAGATTTACTTTTGTATGACTGCAGTTAAACTTGTGATTTCTAACTTGCATGTTAAAAATCCCAATGATGCATCTTAACATTTAATTGTAGACATACCTAATCATCCCGACATTAGCTCTGCGGGAAAAAATATTTTTTAATAATATCTCTGTAAATAATAATGATATAATTTTTATTGACATAAATAATTAAAGTAATTTGGAACATATGTCAACCACATACTATATAATTTTTCTCCTAGCGAGGTCGCTGATACAGTACTTTATCTTGAGACCAATTCTTTTACGATAAGGATTTACACTGACTATAAACAATCCTCGAGGTACTTTTTATGAAAGAAGTGCTCCCAAGTACTAGACCTCGTCTTGTCAGTATCTTAACTTCACTTTGTAACTATGATAACTTAAATAGCATAGAAGTTCTTTAAGTTGTTGAATGGATCGCGAAATATAATATAATTTAAAAAGAAAAAAGTATAAAATATATTTTGCAATATAACAGCCATCTTATTTCGCTTGTGATTAGAGAGCGATCTCATTATCAATTTCTAATTCGCAATTCTATAACTGTACCTATATCTGATGCATGCCTTTTTTTTATTTTATTCCAAATTGTACAATTTTAGAATTAGAATACTATAAATTTGTTTTTCATAATTCCATTTTATTGAATTCTATTATAGAGGCCATATTTCTTACATATTATTTAAATTTTAAATTGTTTTACCATTTAATTCTATTGTATATATAACTAGAGTATAGTAGAATACAATTGATTGATTTCATTGAATAAAATAGAGTGCTAAAGTAATGCAGGTATATGTAATAGAGCGTTGTGTTTACAGTATCGACAGAAGAAATGAACCAAAAAAAATCGTTGAAGACCTCTCACCAGTATCAGACAGAGTCGAGTCCAACGTCGTCACAACCGTTGATGTCGAAAATTGAGGTGTAAGCGCCATCTTGCAGTCGAATTCGGGAAAATAATATTATATTACACATAAACAAATCTAAATGCCTAAATATAAACTTTAAAAAACTCATAAAGTTATATATGCAACTGTATTCTTACTTCACAATTTTATGTAGACCAGTAAAGCTGCGTGTTATCAAAAAGTAATATATATGATGACGTAATGTACAAAACAAAAACACCAAATATTAACTTCTTTATTATATAATGGAAACTAAAGCATATATCACATTTAAAGAAATATCAAACAATAATTGAATGTAATGTAATATTATTTTCTACGTTGTAGTATAGCATCTTTGCAAAGAATATAAGTGTATTTTTTATTCGTGTTTCGTCATAGATAATATTATTTCTCCAATATGAACACAATTATTATGTCTCTTAAGGTACATATCTATTTATTTTAGTGCTGCTATACATATGTGTGATAAGCAATGTACTCAATAAAAGATATTAATTTACAGTAATATTTTTATACAAATATACAATAATAACTCGGCGGTCCATTATGCACAAAGACAATACAAAAAAATTCTTTAAAGATGATGTTGTACAAATTTTTGAGACGACGTTTTTTTTTTATAAATTTATGCAGTTGAGAATTTTTTAAATTAATAAGTATAGGCAAAGGGCCTTCATATGTTTTGGCACCGCCTATACGCAATTATCGTTGTTATTATCGCGGTTTTCACCTATAAAATTTTAAGTCATATAATATCACTCGTCTTGTATGTTGCTAATTTGAAAAATAGTAATAGTGTATTAGGAATTATTTAATCACCATTAAGTTACTTTTGTCAATAAAACAAATTGAGCTAGGATAACCCCTTTATTATCATATTTTAGATATAGGTCGTCTCTACCTTCGATCCCCTATTCCATTCGAACGGGGGTCAAAATTACGACGATCACATGTTGTCGACCGATTGCAACTCTTACATTTGACAACTGTTTTGAACAGATGAAATAAAAAAATACGAACATTTAATTCTATCATACACGCTTCGTTTTTATTTTTAATATATCACAAATTTGGTTTCCGGGTCTTAAATATTATGTAACGTGTGGCACTAAAGATCATCTTCTCCATTATATCCTTTTGTTTATTGTTAACTAATGAAACTCTTATATGTATACCAACTGTTATATACATTTTTTTACAAAATATTTAACAACTAATATAGATGATTTAGAAATGTTATGATTTTATTATGACCACTGCTTTTTCTCGTAATTATAATACTAATTCTTCTAACAATAGAGATTAATTGCTTTATTTTATTTATCGCAACTGGCGATCCGCATGATCAAAGTTCAATAAAAAAGAGGTTGCAGCCAATTTATATTTGTAATGTTTTTTTTTTTTAAATACTGACACCATTCATTGTCCTTATGAATTGTTAATCACCCAATTGTTGTATTTATCATTCGCTTGTAATCTTTGTTGTTATTTTTAGTACAAACTGTGTTTTATTGAATCAACTGGAAAATTATGATGAGTCCATATTTTCATAATATTTCGTTACCTTTCAGGTCATGTAATATATGAAAAGAAATATATATAATTAAATATTTATTTTCCATATATTTATTACTACTTTGAGTATCTTGTTAAAAAAACAAATAAATAAAATATGGTTTGTATTGAAATGTCACTCAATATTTTAGTAGTAACCGATCTCGAAATCTTCGAAGTCGAAGTCTTGTCGGTCCATGTTCACATGACTGGTTTTATAGGTGAAACAGATGTGAAACGAACCTGTTAGTTGATGTTTGTTAGAGATGATGAGATCAGTATTACGTTAGATCATGACTTGTGAAAATCTATTTAAATACAAGTTTTTATAAATAACGTATTTTGTTTTATTTGTACAATTATGTGCCCAATGTCTACATCAGCGTCGTGTGCTACGAACATGCCATCAATGGTAACTCTTGGATTTATCTGCCTTGAATATCAAACTAGAAGGCGTGTCTATATTTAAAAAAATTAAGAAGGACAAAAGCTGAATATATATTTATTTTCTGAAAGTGAGAAAGATTCCTCAATTTATAGCAGTGGCAGCGAATGTTGCTATTTTTACGTATCACAAGCTACTTTCACTCTTCAATGTGATGTGATGATAGATGATCATTACAGCACATTGCATATAGTTAGAAAAACCATAATAAATATTACCTACTTGCCTATTCAAATATTTCAAATCAAAAGAGGTAGCTATGTAGTTTGTATCGAGTAAGCCGATAAAATGAAAATGTGTACATACAGGATAATATAACATGACATAACAGGGGGGAAGAGGATTGTTATAATGTGGACTCATGACCATATTATTACTAGCAATGTGCCATCAATCAATTCAATCAATCCTGGTGAATTTATCACGATGGGCTAACTGACCAGACATTCCTCCACTAGGCATCAGCGTAGCGTTGCTAGCGTTGCTAGCGTAAACCGTTAGCGCAGACGGGTGCACCATTTCATTAATATCCATAACAAAAAGTATAAATACCACTGTAAAAATAATCACTGCCTTTTAGTAGGCTTTTATATGACTAATTCGGAATCCGAATTCACGTCATCATACACCAATTGACATATTGGCGTTTAAAATGGACATGTAAACAATATCCGTATAATCAAAATGTAATACACGAATTCAACCATCTCCCACTTACTGTAACTCTCAGAATAGCTAGCTTTAACAATGGGTAAGCCGAAGTTTGATCTCCCGTCATCCATATTCCCGTACAAAATTCCCAGAAGACTGAACATTCTGAGCGTACCAAGAAAGTATATTATCGATACCAGCGAAGGCATGCCTGCTTTAACACCCAGAGGTATTAGGAAGTCGGCTCTGTACAGTCAAATATCGGATAGAGTTAATGACGCTGCGTGGCCTTATATAAGGTAAGTACAGTTAGCAATATTTAAACAGCCTTTGAAAACGGCGCCGCGGCGTAGCCTAGTAGTTTGCTACCCTAAGTTACACATTAATTTACAATTATATTATAATTATAGAATTTATATGTATATTTGACTTTTTGGTGAAGAAAACGCCAAGTTAAACAAAAATAAACCAACAGACGGCGGTAGGCTGGCCCCCTGCCACGTTGTATTGAAATATATAAATATATATATATACATGAGGATTAGAGTAGTAATGGAGATTAATTCATCGCTAGCAATGTAACAACCATATGTGTGAAAACCATCCATCAATTCTGCACAGCGTGAAACTTTAATCCAGGTGGGTGCCCATTCTATTAAAAAAATCTATCCATTCTTGATGAATGGATCTCATGCAAGTTACTTTAGTCCTTTAGATAGCTCTTATAAATCTGATATTCGCTTTTCAGGCGGTTTCTAACAATTAAACGAATGTACAAACACCGGTTCAATCAAGAAAGAATGGAACGTATCGATCGCATGATAGAAGCTGCTAACACTACATGCTATTCGAAATTAGCCAATTGTGTACTGGACTTAAAGAAAACTGACGCAAAAGATGTGAAAAAGAAGAAAGGATGGTCTGAAAGCGAATGGAAGAAACACATGGATTATATTAGTCAGATTGCAGGACCTAAGAAGGATTTTAGACCGCCTGCTGTAAAGGTAACATATTTATTGATCTTAACTAATCTTAAGATCTTACAGCTCCTTTCACATCTGGGTGAAGACTCATAGTGCATGCAGAAAAAAATTTACATTCAGTCACTGATTAATGTACTACTAGTCTAGAAAATAAGCTAAACTACATCAATGACCCTAAAAGTAACTTAAAATCTATATAGACAATAATAAATAAAATATTTACATATATATCTATATATACGTATTATATAAGATTATTTACATCATCGAGACTACTTGTAATATGATTATCCACAGAGAGGTACAGGCAAACCACTCGAAGCTTTGCTACCAAGAATCAATCAGATTTGCTTCAGGCCCGACTTCAAAGTTTACAGGCGACAATCCCAAGAAGTGTGGTACAGAGACCCAGTTAAGGTAACGGTTAACAAAATTTCAAATAATTATTTATCGCAGTCAAAGTCTTCATTCTAACAAAAACTTTCGCTATAGCAAACAATTGGTTATTCCATATTCATGGGCAAGACTTTTCTGACGTTTCGTTACTTTATCGTAACGAAAGTACTATGACTTATAGATTCACAGTTAGTCAAATGAATTAGTAAGCTAGATCAATAGCCACAGAAATTGTCAAGAGATACTCTAAAATGAATTTCTGATTCTCTTCTAATGAAAGTATTTTCATTTCAGTGTTTTTTTTTAAGTAGAATTGTTATAATTACTATTACGTTCTGTTCAAGCAACTATTTTTTTCAGGTACCTCCTAACGCACTAAAGTACGTAATATCAGACAGAGTGAAGAAGCTAGCCACTCCGAGAGCTATACCGCAAGGAGATTAACGATGTAATCAATCCAGTAATTACTAAATTAAATTGTAATATCATACTGACGAAAATATCGTCATCTCGTAGACTTGTCGCAGAATCTTTCAGATAATATATCGAATAGTATTTATTGAAATTACATAGTTATATAAATAGTATAGAAAATGCATGATATATCGTGTTATTTACGTTAGTATGATTATAGTAAAAATGTAAGTTAAAACACAGGTCCAATCTTAAAACAATAAAACAGTAGCAAGTATAAATAACTGTTATTTTATTATATGTACAATGGTAAATTCGTCTATACAGTATCGAACAAATATTTGATTTCTCAGATCACATTTCTACATAGAATACAATACAAATAAATTATCCTTATGTTAAGCTCTTGGAGCATTGAACTAAGTTCGGTGGGGAGGCAGTTGATTAGGCAAGGCTCTGGATCACGGCGTAGGTGAAATCTTTGGTTGTGGACTGTCCCCCGAGGTCCTTCGTCCTCACTTTGCCGTCAGTTAGAACTCTGAAAGTTAAATAATAGAAATGGTTTAAAGAGTCAAGATTTACTATGAATTACACTCAAGAAATCGTTATTTGAAATTCCTGCACAAAAATATAATCTTGTGTCAATTTATATTTCTGACTGATTTTTTATTAATCTATAATAATAATCTCAGGATAACACGCAGCGCCATTCAGACCCAAGTTAAGCAGCTAAAGTGTGTATGGAGTATCCAGATAACAAATACATAGATATATTTTTTGTCGTAAATACATACATATTATACATAGAAAACACCCACCCAGGCCGATACAAACAACCATATTCATGAATACCAATGTTATTGCCGTGCGAAGAATCCATCCTGCGGCCATAGGAAGTAAGGCAGTGTGCTAAACCGCTAGATCACCGAGGTCATCAAGTCTTTGGTGAAGGAAACAATACAAAATTAATCCGAGAGACAGCGGTAGGTTCGCGCTTATTATTATTCTATTTTTGGAAGAAATTCTGATACTTGTTAATTTATACATACTTGTTGATGGCGTTCTTGATCATTTTGGAGTACGAGTGCAGGTTGACGTGTGCTAACAAGTTGGCGGAACACAGCAGCATGGCGGTCGGGTTGGCGATGTTCTTGCCCACCGCGCCCGAAAATATATGGCGTGCGCCCTACGAACGATATTCCATATTTTGATTAAAAGTACGATTAAGAATATAGATTTATTTACAAATAATATTAAAAAACATCAATTATAACTATAATTATCTATAATTGATATTTATTAATTTGAAATTAAATTAAATTGATTTATTCAAAAAGGTCATAGTAGGTTTAAATGTGATATAAAAATAGGAAACAGTAACTGATCTTCTAAATAGGTTAATCAATAAACAAATAACATTTGATATGTAATCACAAATTTATCCTTTTCATCCTTTTTAAAATATATTACATATCACAGGTGTCACAAATTCATATTATATTTGTGGTCATATACAAGGTTATAGATGAAAGTTACCACTTTCCATCAGATGGTCTGTCAACATAGAATATGAAATAATCTGTCTTAACAAACCTGTTCGAAAACAGCGCACTCAGGACTGTAGGAGGCACCGGCTACAACGCCCGCGCCTCCGACCAGCCCGCTGGCTAAATTGTCCACGATGTTCCCGTACAGATTCGGTGTGACCATCACGTCGAACTGGTTTGGATTAGACACCATTTGCATTGTGCAGTTGTCAACTATCATCTTCTCGAACTGAATTCGGGGATACAGTTTAGCCATCTGAAATGTGATTTTTACATACATTACTAACTATCCGCTCCGGTTTCGCATGGATGTATTAAATTTTTTTTATTTTCTCGGCATGTTCTATATTATAACACGAATGTAAAGCTTACTCTTGAATGGCTCTGTCTATTGCTGAAAATTTCATTAAAATCTCAACTAAAATATTAGTACTAGCTGTCGCGGCAAACGTTGTTTTGCCATATAAATTAAAATCACTATTAAAAATGGGGGTTGATGATAGAACGGTGAAAATTTAGGGTTGTATGTATTTTTCAATGCCTCACTATAAAAAAAATAAAAAAGAAATAAAAATTGTCTAAAAAAGAAAAAAACTTTTATTTGCCACCCTTAACTCTGTGTATCTATTACCATCCTTAACTATTGGTATAAAAATTAGTTATAAACCTATTCTCAGACCGACTGAATATACATATAAAATTTCTTCAAAATCGGTCAAGCCTTTTCGGAGGAGTATAAACACGAACCTGTGACACGAGAATTTTATATAATAGATGGATTATATAATCAAGCATACGACTCGCTTGATACTTCAGCTCATTAAATGCACGTAAGGCCAGACGCGTAAAATTTGTTTATTTTGTATATAAAATGAAGTTAAAAGTTGAATAGACCTAGAAGTTTGGAGGAGCTCGTTAACAAATATTTTAAAACGAGGTGATTCTGTTTATAGTAGATTTGTCGTCCAGCAATCGCTTAAAGGCAAAATTAAACAGAAGATGGAAAGCATCTAAAGCAATACCTCTTCACAGCTGCGTAAAAACAATCCATCGCCAAGCTTCATGATGTTGGCCTTATGTACAGCAGTGACCTTCTTGCGGCCCATTTTCACAGCGTAGTCAAACGCGAATTTGGCTATACGCTCCGATTTAGCAGCAGTGATGATTTTCAAGCATTCCACAACTCCTACACATAGATAAGTAATTTATTGAGTGAGATTAGCACACACAGACAAAATCCAAACAATCAATCCATCTTGGATTCTATTATCGTAATAAAGATCCGTAGTAATAGTTTATTTCATATATTTTTCATATATATATTTTTCATAGCGTTAAGTTACATTTTTATTATGTGTATAGATTCTAGGCATATTTATGAAAAGCATAGTAGGTGTTAGCAAAAGCCTGTGCATAAATTAACATTACACGTTAAGGTTTCGTCAAATCGTGATACGAGTATTATATAACAAGGGATTGAAGGAGTTACAAAGTTCGTGTAAACATCATAAAATCTGGGATCCCATTCTCCTAGGAAGGGTCTTAGACTTTGTGACATCACATTAAATTTTAATAATAAAACATAAAATTTCAACTGTTGACTGGGGGGAGGACCCCAGTCAATGTTACAGCTGTTCAATTTTACTGAAATTGAGTGACGTAATCTATGGATGATCCCTATTTTTTAAAGCATAAGAGACAAGCGACCTTGCGGCTCACCTGATGGTAAATGATAATCACCCGCGAGACCAGGGCAAGTGCGTTGCCGGTTTTTTGCAAAGAGCTTATTTCTTCCTAAAAAGAAGGAATAAGCTCTTTGCAAAATTGTATTTTTCTCTTCTTACTTTCAAAATTTTCTCTTTACTAAAAAATTTTCTCTTTTCAAAATTTGAATGTCTCAATATCCATATCCGTTCGGAAATCCATTGCTAGAAGGTGATTCCCCGATATGGTTGTACGTGGCAAAAAGTTTCTAAAAAACACACGGTGGAGGGCCGCCATTCATGCAGATGATCTGGATGGTATTTTAGTTAAAATGTGTGTTCTTACCAGGAACAGACTCGTGTTCCAGCGCCGAGTATTCCCCTTCGGTCTGCTCTCTGATGATGATACAGTCCACGTCGTGATGTCGGCACTTCACATTGGGCAGAGACTTCACGTGTACCACGTTTGCGTATAAGTCGAGAGCGTTACGCAGTTTCATGTTTAACGTTTGCAATTCACCGGTGTGAGAGAAATCCGGGGTAGCTAAAATTCCCTAGAAAAGGTAAACTCAAATAAGTAAATATCACATGATTATAATCCCTTAGTGTCCTACACTACGAGCAATACATATATAAGAGTATTCAAGCAGTATAGATCACATGCGACTCCTCCTTATCAATGACTAGCTGTTAGAGGATTCGATCCCGGTCGATTTTTCTAATCCCGGGATCCCGGGATTAACTGTAGATAATTTGATTTTTCTAATCCCGGGATTGTATTGTTAATAGAAAGTGGTAACAAAAAGACAGACTTTTCATTTTAAATATTTCGTTAAATCTTCAAAAAACAAAATTATACTTTCTTCTGATAAAATAAACTTCTGTAAATATTTACAAAATAATTTCATAATTTATTTAGACAATTGCCTAATAGATGATACATTGCTTTTAATAACAGACTATTTTAATAAATATCTTAGTTGCTTCTATAAATACATAAATATTGTTGTTTCACTTTAATAATGCAAACCAACTAGATCGTTCGTCAAACCCATGCAGCCAGCACTCACCTTGATACAAATCTTGTTGTTAGCGATAGAGGTAACAACATCTTCAAGGGGCGCGCTCAATGTCGGGTTTACTTCAGAAAAAAAGAAGGATTCGAAGTCCACGGGGATATTTGCCGCCTGTCAATGTAATAAAAAAAAATATTTAGAAAATAAACTACTACATCACTAAATAATATATAACCCCTTTAGATATAAGAAAAAGAATACATTTATTAATATTCATATTTCTAACAACTTTGCCCCAATGAAAGCAATTAGTACTCAAACGAATGAAATCCCCTTTGATTGATCCGCTGTTCCATTGCTACGTGGATCGAAATTATAACAGCTTGAGCTGGTTCAGCGTTTTGAATGTCCCACAGTTTGGCCTGGAATAGTTAGAAAATATGTAAGAAGATTATTTATTTCTTCGTGCTTACAAGCCCTTACACAAAATGTTATGTTGCTATACTCGGAAATATTTTTTGTTAGAAATTGCATTTTTATTTCCTTAGACTACTATAAATCCTTTTACAATGAAATACAAACCTTGAAGACTTCCTGCACAGAGTACACCATTTCAGGTCCGACGCCATCTCCAGGAATTAAAGTGCACTTGATGCGACCCTCCTTGTTTGCATTTGGTTGCTATATAGTAATAAAAAAAAATGCTATAGTACATTTTTCTATTATCTACTGCTACACTCGACTCTCATGCCCATTTTACTTAGCTGAATTTTAATAATGAATGAGGCATAAAACCACAAAAGAGTTTATTATCTTCTTCTCAATTGAATCTGTATACTAAATTGGACGGTAGGGAAAAAAATATAATAGAAACATTTGTAGTTCATAAACGGCTAAAATGTCCTACATAAATAAATGATTTTTGATTTGACTTGATTTCTTCTTCTTTGCACTGTACCACTTTACGTGGGGTCGGCTCTCCTAATTTTGCGGCGGCAGAACTATCTGTTGTGGGTTGTCGGGTCGGGTAATTTTTGTATAGCGATAACTTTACTTATGCTGGTCTACTAAGTGGCTGTAGGACGTCCTCTTCCCCTTTTACGTTCGGGTCATTTCTTAACCAAATAAACCTGGTCACTTCGCATTACATGCTCATACTATCTTGTTATAAGTAAATAAAAATTATTTCTATACTGTCTGTCCTATTTTAATCTTATAATAGAGTATTAGCCTATTCATACTCAAACTTCTTACTTAAACAACCGGACACACCCACACACTATATAGTGAGAGATATAGTGGTGCATGAAGATGCATAAGTTAATTAAATTTGTTTTAAATGTGAAATCTTATTAATTAATATTATAAACGCGAAAGAGTGTGAGTATGGATCATCAATCCACTTTGTTACTCTTTCAGAAAATAACTACTGAATGGATTTTGATATAACTTTACAGTAAATATAGCTTATACATCAGAATAACATATAGGCTATAAATTTCACGCGGGTGAAATCGCGGGTACATCTAGTATATAATAAATTAACAATTTCTATATGTATATAAATCAGCCAATGTATAATGTTACATTGAATTAGCAATTAAAATTGTTCGCCTGATGTATTATGATAAAACATACATATACTAAAGACATTAAATGATATATTGACAAAAAACTTAACCTGTAACAGTGTGTAGTCTTACATAAGTAATAATATAATGTACAAATAATTACCTATTACAAACTGTGATTAGATAATGAATTAACGTTTAATGTACAGCAGTACACTGCTTTTGAGTATAATAAATTTATAAGAACATTATAAAACAAGTGTGCGAGAAAAGTTATTCGATGTAGATTATGAAAAATATTTCAACATTCATACCACCATAGCATTGACACTTTCCTAGTAGCCAATAAGCATGGCTTGGCCCTACTCAAATGCACTATAAAATAGCTACAGAACAAACTTCTCTATTCTGTGAAAACACCCTTGCCTAAACCATAACACTATAATTTTTCAGAATGAACTTTTTAGTATAAATATAAATTATTAATCATTTACATTAGTCCAATTATCATCAGATTTGCCTTGTTAGGTGTGCTACTAGTTACTTATTGTATACAAAGTAAAACTTAAAAATAGATATGAACTTAAAATTACTGAGATGGTATATATTATAGATAGTATTACATATTAAATAACACATTTTGGACAACACAAAGATTATGGTTACAAAGTCATGAAGACAAAGTGGCATGCTTTATTTTCTTTGATATTTCTTTTTGGACAGACTAGTTTGTCATACCATTTATTTAATTAAGCTCTCACATATATGAGTAAACCAATCAGCATCAATACTAATAATATAACTTTCAATTAATTTAAATATTCTCCAGTCACATTCATGTCATAAATGGTATAACAGAGATTAGAGCTATTTTTATTCTACTGAAAACTTAGTATAAACTGTAAATTCAAGTGGGAAATGTCTCATGCTTTCAGAATAACCACCCAAGTTTCAATTTATTCATTAGGTATCTAAGTATAGGTAGCACTATACTTAGATATATTCACACCAGACTTATAACAGTACTGGCAGAGATATTAATTAGTGTAGCAATTTAGAATAAATTTTTACCACTTTACCCCTTATGCCAATATGAAAATATATATTGTTTCATGTATTTATTCATAATAAAAAATGGAATGGTTGTTCTATACAACAAATAACATAAAATAATAAAAACAAACTTAGTGGAACTTGCAAATAGTGATGTGTGCATGCTTTTTAAAATAATTGCTTACAGTTTGTCAGGCCTCGATCCTCATACAAAATACTGTACTAAAATACAACTCAAAATAAAAATTATAATATTATATTTCTATAATATGAATACAATGAATGTGCCAATTGTAGATAATATACTAATATTAAATATTAAATTAAATACTATAATAATAAATTTTGATAATTTTAGAATATTGTATACATCTAATTATGCAGGATAGGTAAATAGGAAAAAAGAAAACAAACTTTGCAGTATATGTAGCTCTTTTATGAAGGACAGATTTTACCTTTTTAATGGGACACTCATGACACGCAACCCTCTTAAATTGATATTCCAGAGGGCTAAGATGTCATGGCTCTGTACTTATATTAATTATTATATAGGGTGCTACCACATTATATGCATTCCCTTCTACAGAAAGTCATTTACATAATAACAAATATTTTTTTGTATAAAAACAGCTGTTGCCACTTCAGTCATAATATAAAGAATATTAGATATGTACTATAAGTTGCAAATGCTTTTATAACTAGCCATTTTTTGGGTTATGCCTGAATTTAATGGAAAGTAACCAAACTGGGGTTTACTAACTTAAGATGGACTTGTTGCATAGTTTGTTTTCTTTTTTCGTAATTAGTATAGATATGTTAGCAATCTCACCAAGGTGCTGATACCAATTGGAGCAAAACATACACTTTGATCAGCATTTACCGCACTTGTATGTACTCCCTTAGACACATGTTGCGAACCCTGCAATGAAAGAAATATTGATTTTATAGATAAACATTATAAAGCTATAGTGCAGTGAAAATCAATATCATTATATTCATTTTATATCTTTACATATCTACTGATAAACTGATATTGTGTTTATTTAGATATATATAAAAATAATATGAAACAAACATTTCTCAGAAACATGATTCAGATCAGAATTTAATATTTTATTATATGAACATAATTGTTCATAGATCCTTTAAAAAAATATATGTTATCAGCCTGTATAGATAGGTTAGCCTGTATAATAAGTGCATCAAGCATAATACGTAATAATAATTGGTCACGTGAATGTATGGATTGGAATACTAATTGTTCTTCTAGATTAAGCTCCGAGGGTTATTAAAAACCTAATTCACATATGAGCATGTAGTTTTCTCAAAAATCTGTTTTGTTACTTTGTCACCAAAAACTTGTTACGAAACAACTACTGGTAAAAATTTGTGCTGGGATAATACTTCAAATAAATGTAAATAAATCAACTATACCTGCACTAGGGCGCGGAAAATATTTCTACTAATAAGAGACATTTTAACGAAGGCTGAAAACTAATTATTATATTTAAAAATTCAAGTTATTTTTGGACAATTTCCAAGTCCAAATAGAGGAGATGTAGAGTGCAGAGTACTTTAACTTTTTGAAATTGACTGTTAGCTCATGACAGCTGACAGATTATGGAACAGAGTAGACCACTATTCCAATTTAACCAAAAAAAGCTATTTCATGTATGTTGGCAATTCCGCCATCCATAGCGAATCGATTTGAATTTTACGTCACGCACGGCGCTGCGCGCGTGAAGGGTTTGTCACGGCGCAACATTTAAACTCAGTAGACCGATAAGCCTCAAAAGTGAACAATTATTATATTAAAAATGGTCATAGTGAACATTTTACAGCTAAAATAAATTATATATTGTATTTATTACAACCAAGCAGACTCTGTTTTTTTTTCAATTTTAAATAATAAAGGTAAGTCATATTAGAAAATAATTACGTTTTTACGGATTTATTATTAATTTTATATTGCTCTAAATTATTTAACAGAACCTTTTTAAATATTGCAATATCCACTATATATATTCTCGTTAGTAATTTAATAATAAATAAGATCAGTGGAACAAGTTAAAACATTTTTTGGTAATATTATTGATCGAACCTATGAGGTTTGGTTACATTATTATTAATTACCTCAGTAATTATTCTCAATTTGTCATTATATAGTATAAGTGCTGATAAACAAATATCGTGGGTCACACTGGCACGATACTCTTTATTGATTACTTATTTTTGTACTATACATTTAACTAGTATGTAAGTAATATATATTAATAAAAATATAAATAAAATAAATAATCCCTGTTAATCTTATGAATGCGAAGTTCTATAATATAACTGATAAAGTATTTTACTAATTTGTATATATTTATATAATCTGTAAGCAAGGCTTCAGCTGATTGAAATCGTTAATTAAACGATACCAGTTACCAGTTATAATTGACAATATGTACACAAATATCCAAAAAATTAATAAGTAATTTACTATAATATAGTAAATATTTTGGTTCGTAATATTAGTTAAATCTAGTCATGGGTTTTTTAATAGTTTAAAAATACTTATGTCATTTAAAAAAATATATATACTATAATATATATTAGTACTAAATGAAATATCTTTTTATTCTACTGATTTGTTTATTTAATACACAGTAATAATGTTCTATACAGACTTGTTAGAATTTGAATAAAAAAACATAAATAAAAAGTGACCGGCTGATTTTTCCGTTCTACAATACGACTCTACTACGACTGTAATGAATAATTAAATAGTATTTATCTACTAAAGTAATTCAATGTTATTGACCGTGTAATTAGAAATCAATCCCTTTGTAATTATTATTTATTTTGAGTATAAATAGGTACCTCACTATTACTACTAGTTATTCACCTACTAACTTCGTATTACGAGTATAAACGCATCATTAAAGATGTTCATCGCATCTTTTGATAATTAGTGATTACGAATATTCATTTGATTAGAAAACCTAGATTTGTGAAAGTTATTTCATTAGTTTGTCTTCTGTTTCGCTCCTTGGTGCCATAACGAATCTATGTATCTTATTGTCATGAAATTTGCCATCCGTTTAGTATTCTGGATGACGAATTAAATTATTTATTCCATTATTATTACTATTTAAAAGTGTCATTAACTCTCTGTGTTTCTCCTAAGGAATATAGCACGAATGTAGATAGACAGGGTATATCGAAACTTAGGTCAAACTTAAAATAGTTAAAATACAAATAGCTACATTATGCAAACTTATTGTTATTTACGGAATACAAAACAACTGATATGCCGCAATTAAACTATCTCCTTGGCTACTATATATATGTTATATATTTTTTACTAGTTTACGATATATTACTACTGCTTATTGTTAATAGTTAATTGTATTACAGTTATTTTGTTGACTGAGATAACGGCGTCCGTTCATGGCCGCCGTATAGATGTCTTAATTATCTATTAACATTATCTTAAGAAGACACAATTTGTTACTGTTAAATAAACTTGCTACGTGAAATACTCATTTCCTTATAATAAAGAATAGGAGTTACGTACGTTATTTAGATAAGCAGTCATCTACTGTATCTTGAATAAATATTTTATATACTTAACTATGTGTAGATGGGTAGAAAATTGATACAAAAATGTATATAAATTAATGCAGGTTTTTCTATAAAGTTTTATAGAATTTGCCTAAGAAGCTTTCATAGTTTTTATGTTTGTGAATATTGCAATAATTTAGTCACGATGTTTATGAGGCCCCAAAAGCGTACCTATGTATAGTCTATAGCCAATATAAAATAAAACAAAACAAATGCGCGAATAAAGATATTGTTTTTTTATTTATTTTTATCATAGTACCTAACTAATGTAATGAATCTATTATTTTTTTAGAGCAAAAATAATGTCGATCGACTTAGACAAACCTCGTTATGACCAATCGACGTACACGGGGCGGGCCAAGCATTTCCTACAGTTGACTAACCCACTGAATGTTCTCGCCTCGGATAAAGAACTGGACGAGGCAAAGAACATTGTCACAGAGTTCAGGTAAGAGGCCAAATGCTGCCATATACTATTATACTAATAATTCCTCCCGTAACACAGGTGTATCTAGTATTTATAAAAGCGTCGACTTTACTCAACTTATTTATCTTTTATTTTCGAGATATTCCGTATTATAAAAACAGTGACTTAAATACCTAATAAGTTATTTCACTCTACATTTACTAAATCTCCAAACGAATTTATTACAAAAAAATTAGTAAATGGTTCCTTTACAATATTTTGTTACTCAAAAAAGACTGTACAATTTGACAATTGTAGCAAACTGATATCGCAGTCATGAATAATACAATCATAAAAATATTTAAATTAATTTGAATAAAATTGATATTGTCTAGTACAACGATAAGCTATACACCTATAATATATTAAGTATTTTTATACACCAGGAGACAGAAATATGATCTATATAGTTATTTATTTAAATGACATTATTATCTACACACTACATGATAATAATTACGGCGATATTATATGTAATCGGTTATTTTGTAAACAAAAACAAATAGTTCACGCGACATTCACTCACGAGTACGATGATGAAATAAATGAAGTTACACGCGCTGATGATATGACGCTATTTATTTTATAAGGAGCTAAGTTGACCCCAGCCACTTCGCTGCGTTATTTTTTTCCCGATTTTGCATCATTATTCATTTCAGCTCCACTTCTATTTGTCGTGTCGTAATGTTATTCCTCGATAAATGGGCTATCCAATATTAAACAAAAATTTAAAATCGAATCAGTAGTAGCTATTAGAAATTACCCCGAATGATAAACTCACAAACTTTATCTCTTTTAATATTAGTATAAATAAGATATTGACAATGATATAATATACGTGAGCTGTTAAATAAACGGTTTCTTATTAAATTAATATGTCATGGTGTACTAGCTAGCAGGTTGTTAACTAGTGATGGAATCAGTATGAAGTCTGTATGTAGGTTAGTAAACCCCATCGTGGCGTCCAGGAATTAATCACGAGAGTTTCTACGCGAACATGGGGCCTCTCTAATCCCGACTACTAATTATTCCCTCCCTCCACACATCAACGGTTATCTATGCTTAGGTACCCGGTAAGGTTTTTTACAGGGTACCTAAGCAGAGATAACCGTTGAAGTGTGGAGAAATATATAAGATATAAAAAACCTAACCTGAATATGCGTGAATATACATATACTGTTATAGCATAGTGATGTTATTGTCCCCGTGACAACTGAATCGGCGAACTTCTAATTATGGTTCGAGGATCTTAACCTTGAAATTGTATTATGAATTGTCGCCAACAAAGATTCAAAACAGAATCAAGCTTTAACAGTCAAAATATTTATAAAACATGACAATTGTAGTCTACGTGTTTAAGCAACACGATACATCCAATTTTCAAACATACTCAATATTTTCGAATTTCTTATAATTTCACAAATTAACATTATATCTAATGATCTTTCGATCTTAAAATCTCTGACTGTAAGTGACAGTGGAGATGTTTATACAATACCATCTTCACATCAGTTTAAGGAACTAGAAAACTGTACTTTTAAAGGCCATTAAGTAACTTTGAGTGTTAGGTATACGTTTAAGAAATGTCATATGTTGATAATACTTCTTTTCTGGTAGACCTATAAAATGTGATCAAGGCAAACAGGCAACTCAAAAGCAACCCAAAAAAGTATATATCATCCAACAGCAAGTAGTCTCGTTCCTAGATACAATGTTTCTGATTATTTGGACAGATCAATTGCTTAGTTAATTTTCTCTTTTATCAGGAAATCTCGTAAAATGCCACCAGGGTATGATGAAGAGAAACTGTGGAGGACAAAGTATTTGTACGACAGCGCCTTTCATCCCGACACAGGGGAGAAGATGTTTGCTATTGGACGGATGTCGGCGCAAGCGCCCATGAACACCATCATTACGGGATGTGGGTGATTTTTTTATAAATTCTATGTTAGATTAAACACCTTCATTTAAATAGTGTGACAAGCAACAATATAATAATATCATTTTTAATCTACTTTAATGTTCAAATTCATCATCTGCTTCTTCCCTATCCCATTCATTTATCGGTCAGTCGGCGTAATGGGCGTTTCTCTAGCATTCATTTCTTTAAAAAAATGTAATATAATGTACAAACATATCTCATCACTATAAATGAAAAATAAAGGGGTGAAAAATAAAAGGGTGAAGGGGTGAGTTATCTTTTGTTTTTATACTTTTTGGGTTCTAGGTCAAAATAAAATGAAATTACTAGGCATAGGTACGTGACAATACTGGAGCTAAAAGAATGAAATTAATAGGTGGCACAATAAAAGATATTTTTTTTATCATTTAAAGGTATATTTTCTTATTATTTAGGCGCCTGTCCTAGTTATTTGATATCTGTGACGAGACACTGCTAATTGTAGAAGACTTTTGCTATTGTCGCTCAAATATCAATATACCTATACCTACCAAGGTGCGATATATAATTTATTTTTTGTCACACTGTACATAAAACTGATTTTTCAGGCATGATAACATTCTACAAGACGACAGCGGCCACTGTCTTCTGGCAATGGGTGAATCAGACGTTCAACGCAGTCGTCAACTACACCAACAGATCAGGAGATGCTCCGCTATCAAAATCGTAAGCATCCCAATTATCTCCAGGATCTACTATTTATTCATTTGTTATAGTCATCTGCGTTATCAGTCCTCGGGTCTCAACCCTGAAACATATCTGAGGTGTTGAAATATCTGTCAGGTGACATTTTGAATATCTAAGCTATTTTTAGCGGGGTAAACTTTATAGTTTGTATAAAGTTTTTTGTAGTTTTAATTTCTGTCTCACCCATTTCAGCGACTAAACAGCTTATTTTATAATCTAAGTTTCGATCTGAAACTCAACATTGCATGACGACGTGATGTGTTTGATGCTGTACAAGTATACAGACAATGCTCCGTATGCTTGATGATGGTATAAAAATACATTAGGTATATGCCTTAAGTCCCCCTCCCTTTCCCGATGAGTAGGTTTATACGTAATATCTATTTAGAACTTTGTCTCAACAATACTTAATGTCTAAACTTTACTAGTAATTTCGTAGATTTGTGTAAATCTATTACACTATGAACTGTTACTATGATGAGGTTTTTACTTACTGTTACTTGTAACAACTAAATTTGGTTGACGTGTGATGTTTTCTTGCAGGCAGCTATTGGCGTCGTACTGTGCGGCTTGTGGAGGCGCGTTGGGTACCGCCTTGTACCTCAATAACAAAGTTAAGGTAAATACAACTTATTAAAGATTTCATTAAACATAAAAACACTTATGGTGTAATAATTTAGTGTGTAATATCAATACGTTATAAACACTATTTTAAATATTACTAACAAAGTCGTCATGAAAGCTGAAGTAACATTTGATACAAGTAGCAAAAGGACACAACTTTTATCCTAGTCAAACAGATTACGGACGAAAAAAACCTCGGAAATTAAATAAAACCTATTTTAATAAAAAATATTTTCAGTTTCATAGTACTTCCGGAGCTATAGAAAAAGAGTAAAAATTCAAAGTAGTACTTTAATAATAACTTAAATTTTATAGGTATATATACACGTTTAATATTTCAAAACCATTAAATTCAACACTGCAATTTAAATACAACTAAAGTACATAGAAATGTATGTACTGTCGTTGTATTTAAAATTTTTAAACCGCAGTTTTCTACACCGCTAAGCCGCCGGATCATCTACATAATAATATGTAATATCAAATATGTAGATATGTAATATGTATTAGTTACGGATAGAGCTGTATGCAATAGCACGCTGATACTAAAAAATATTAACTAAAAAATTAGCAATTTTACAAAATCAACTTAAATAGTTTTATATTAAAAGTTATTTTTCCAAAATTTTAATATTTTCAGCTTAGTTTTAAGCGTGCGATAACCAAAACTATTTATTATTTAAATATCGAAATAATTATGACCTTGTCAAGTAGACCTTTTTATCTGTAAAACTGATACATATTTAGAACTAATCTCGTTCTTGACAGTTTTATAACTTCCGATAATGTGATCAATGTGTACGATAAGTCGTTAACGCCGGGAAAATCACAATAGTTTATTGTCACTTGTTTATATAAGTATAGTAATCTTATCTAGCTACCTGTATGAGGTGTTAACTTAATACCTAATCATGAGAGGTGTGTCGGTTTGTTTGAGTTTATCATTGTACGGACTGATAGAGTATTGAAGACGTTATTGTTCAGATAGGTATCTAATTCATAGTTTATAGATTTGATAATTTTAGATGGTTTGAATAAATAATTCATCCTCTAGAGTTTACACAACGCCATCTAGTCCCAAACTAAACATAGCTTGAACTATGGGTACTAGACAACTGTTAGATATGTCTATTTAAATTTTATAACTACAAACGTATATATAGTAGCTTTAAATAAATCATTCTAATCGGTCTATCCATTTAGGAGCTACAATGCTGCAAACAGACACATATGTGTATGACAATACTGATATAACGTTATTTTTTGTAAATACATGCTTAATATACTCGTATCTATGAACCACCCAAACTGATACAAACAATCATACTCATGAATACAAAATGTTTGTACTGTACGAGAAATAGAACCCGTAACCATCGGAAGTAAAGCGGTGTGCTAAACAGTGAACTCTATTTTAAAATTGAAGTCCTAATGTCGATTTTTTTAAAAATAATGCAGTATTGCATTAAAGTTGGATATATAGGTAGGTAGGTACTTACGAATGTTACTCGTGTATTAAGGGTGGGTAGATGATTATAAGGGCAGAGGAAAGCCGAAAAAGAGATGGATGGACTGTGTAAAAGATGATATAGTAAGAAAGGGAGGAAATAACCGGATGACTGCGAACAGGGATGAATGGAAGAGAAAAACATATTACGTCGACCCCAAATAAATAAGATAAGGAAGAAGCAGATGATGATGATACAAGAGTTACTCGTATATGAGTATTTTCTTTGAATCATGGAATTTATTGTTTGCTGTACGTCTACTAAACATCTCGTTTGGTATTATAATCTATTTTAAATATGTGATAACGAAGCGTGAAAGTTCACTTATACAGTACACTGTAATAAGATGACAAATATTTACTTCTTAGGACGTCACAGCCACTGCCCACGTATACACACAAACCCCGTCATATCACAAATAAGGCTTCCATCACAAACAAACTGTCTCGACGTGCAATCGTAAAGATAAAATGTACCTAACTGCTTACGGTAAGGGTATTGTTAGTAAAAGGGAATGAAACCATATGTATTTATTTCTGTTGGATGAATATAGGTACAACCGCCAGTGTACGAGTATACCATTCCATATTCATCTAACAAAAAAAAACACAACTTATATGTAGTATATACGTTAGTAAAAATCTAAATATAGTCTTATATATCTGGGATGAGAGTGGTCCTATACCTATTTTTACTTTTTGTTGAATGAATATAGAATAGTACCCGCCGGTGTAGATATGCCGTTAGCACAGATTGGTGTGCCATTCCATATTCATCCAACTAGAAACAGATTGTAAATATGTTAGTAAAAATCTATATTTGCATGGGATGAGAGTATTGTTAGTAGTAGGGTATAGAGTACCCATATTTTTTTATTGGATGAATTTAGAATAATACCCGCCAGTGTATACCGTTAGCGCAGGAGAGTAAACCATTCCGTTGTCATCCATTAAAAAAATTACACGTAGGAACCTTACTACTGTATTTATACTTTACATGTTGACATAATTATGTGTACCTACATAAAAAAATGTTTGATACATTTTCAGAACATGAAACCCATATATGCTCGACTGGTGCCCTTCGCAGCTGTGTGTGGCGCAAACTTCATCAACATCCCCATGATGAGAAGCAAGTATGTATTTTTTATTTTGTATAATTTAGTGAGAAATTGAAAGTTCTTTAGATTTTTTTATAGCATAAGGGAAAAACGAGAGTGCGGCTCATCGGATGATCATGCGGATGGTAAGTGAATAACGCTTCCCATGAGGACCTACGACACCAAGTATTTAAAAGACCAAGATAAAAAAAATATTAACAATAGAATAGAAGAGATTTTTATTTTGCGCAAAAGTGTATACGAATGCATCTATTAAAAAGAGCAACACACAAGTTTCTTGCTCATTCTTCTTGTGATGAAATTTTTTCAAAATATGCATTGAGTTTAGTTCTTCACGAACTAGTAATACACATTAGGAGAGATGTTTATCTGTAGGTATATTAATACAAAATGAAAATTTCACGGTCGGAGGAGTATGAAATTTCGCACTAAAAATATATACTAATATAATAAAATATAAAATATATAATATATACTATTTATGCATTAAAAAATATATTTTTAATGCATAAATTGTTTTTTTTATTGATTTAATATATAAATCAATAAAAAAAACATTACACACACTACCATGTATTTGGCACACACACACACACGCATATATATATATATTTGTTTATTGTTAAAGTCTATGGTTGAATTTCGACCGACCACTCAGTTCTGTTTCTAATGTAGTGTATGTTTGTATGTAACAGCGAGCTCATGAACGGCACACCCCTATTCACCCCGGACGGACAACGGCTGGGTGACTCGAAGCGGGCGGCCGCCGTGGGCATCGGGCTAGTCTGCGTCTCCAGGGTCCTGATGGCGGTGCCTGGCATGAGTACGTATACATATATAATATACCCTCTTTATACCACTATTACCACATATAAGATATTATATATTTTTTTGTCGTTGATTTTTTTATTGCAATAATTTAAAAAGGAGATCCTCTATTCAACTGAATTTTATGTGTTTTCTCAAAACTACATTTTTGTTTGTGATGGTTCTTTAGAAATTGATAGGAATGGCGAATATATTGTATTTATTGTGAAATCTTAATAATATTATAAACGCGAAAGTTTGTGAGTATGGATGGATGTTTGTAACTCTTTCACGCAAAAAATTACTGAACAAATTGTGATTAAATTTATTTATTATAATATTATAATTTGATTTAATACGAAATTTAATTGCGAAATATAACGATAAATGTCATGTAAGTGGGATGCAGACAAAGCTGCACGGGTCAGCTAGTATTAATATATTTATAATGATTTCTCGGTTTTTCTCGACTCGACAAAACTCGAAACGAAAACCCTAGTTGCATCTGACCACAGTGGTGTGTATTTAAGCTCTAACCCCGATGGTGACGAACTACGCTACTCGCCGTGGCATGTTCTGCCGCTACCCGCTGGCGGTGATCCCGTTCCAACTGTTCCTGGTGGGGCTGTGCGTGACGTTCGCCACACCGCTCTGCTGCGCACTGTTCGAACAGCGAGCCGCCATCGGGGTTAACAGCCTCGAGGAGGACCTGCAGGTAATTTATCCAGACATTTTTTAAATGGATGATAATGGCTGCAACCGCACGATCCTAAGTACCTTTTTTTTTTATCGTGTGGAAAAATCTTCAACAAGACCGTCACCCCGCCGGAGGGATGGCGAGGTGGTGTGTGGGACTCGTACCCACTAAACTAAGACTTCGGCGGCTTGGCCTGTCCTGTAGATATTGTAGGACAGGCCCCCTCTCTCTGGTTAGGGTGCTATGGCTTGCACCCTACCTTCTCGTCGAGGCGCATGGGTACACGCGCGCGCCTCCAGAGGCCTGGTTGTGGGGTGGTGCCTCTCGATCCTAAGTACCTACCACTTTCATTATGTGGGTGCATTATGCTCGCTGGCCACCAGTGGTGGATGATGTGATTAGTATGAAGTCAGGTCAATTAGCCCATTGTGCCAAATTCATTAAGAATATGATGATGGTTTCTAAGGGGAACCGCATCAACAGATTTGAATGACCCCTTATTATGACGGCTTCGGTAGTCTAGCGGTATAGGAGACCGCTATTCTTCCGATGGTCGCGGGTTCGATTTCTCGTACGTCGTCTGGGTGTTTTCTATGTATATTATGAACCTATGTATTTACAAAAATATATCTAAGTATTTATATCATTAGTGTAATACACACAATACAAGCTCTACTTACAGTAGTACTAGATGGCGCTATGTTAATTGCCCAGGATTATTTATTTGTTATTATTATTGCCCTTATTGTGTATGTGATGTTTATTTTATACATTTAAAAATGTCCAGGAACAAGCTCAGAAGAAATTCCCCAAAGTAAAGGAGTTCTACTTCAACAAGGGACTGTAAACTGCAGGAGGATGGTTTTATACGAGCTTATATTTGTACGTATAGCGGATGTCGCTTGTATGTACCTAGATAATTGATATTATTGAATACAGTGTGCAACACAATTAACTAAAAACATAAATTTCAAATTTAACGTGCCTAATTAGGTGTGGCCACAGACACTCTGTCAACCGTCAAGTCACTATCGTTTCATTGAACTCTGATTGGCGGATTTAATTACAATACCACAACCCTCTTTGTAAATGGATTAATAACGCCAATGGGAACAGAAATTGTATTAGGGCAACCTGACGGGTGACCGAGTGTCTGTTAATACACTAAATTAGTCTCTAGAAGTTCTGTTAATTTTGTTGCAGACCGTACAAATTACTGAGGTATATTCTAGAACAGTCACTGCCAACCGCCTCAACTATTAATGATATTAAAATATTTTTATCAGCGAGGTTTATTTACCTATAATTATTTGAGTTGGTTTATTCGATAAATTAATATATTTTCTCTATGAAAAGCTGCACTATCAGTACATGGAATGTATTTAAAAAAATATATACAAATTTCTAATAAAATTGTACCCGTGCGAAGTCGTGGCGTGTTGCTAGTAGATTAGGTACAGAAAAAAATCACCAATACTGAATACCTAGATCTAAGTCAATTTATGTGACTGTAATTTTAAAGTATATCTACATAGGTTACAAAGCTAAGAAAATATTTACAACTCTAACATTCCTAGTTGTTGTGGGACCGTTGTTATATTTGTTACGTTTTATACATTATATATTTGTTATAATTTATTTTACATTCTTACATTTATATCAAATTATCGTGATGCATTTACCTAAAATATTTATAAATCTTTTCATGTAAATTTATTTTGTCTTGTTTAACAAAAATATTACCTACTAATTATTATTAAGTTGGGTATCTTGAGCGACTTTGAGCGAACAAAGAACATGTCAACACGCTTTACCACGAATTAAGTAGGTAGGTAAAGATGCTAACCGTGCTTGCTAATGCACTCTAATAAAGCACTGAAAGTCATCTTTATATAGTATAAAACAAAGTCGCCGCTATCTGTTCGCTTATCTCTTTTTATTAATTACGCAACCGATTTAATGCAGTTTTCAGCAAAAAGTAGTCATTCGAGAGAAATGTTTGTATGTATAAACATGCGTACCTATTATAGGTAGTATAGAACAAGCCGAGAATTTCAAAGATTTGTAATGCATCCGAGCGAAGCAGGAGCCGGTCGCTAGTTTAATAGAAATTACCTAAGTATTGAGATAATTAGATTAAACTAATAGTTATCGTATTGTTGCAATTATGAAATAATTCGATCCAACCATTTCGATTCGAATTGTATTAACAATGATCGTTATTTTTATATATGTTTATGTAAAATTGTTATGTCGACGACTCATTCAACATGGTGTTGTTGTAATACTCTTTTATGATCTGATTTTTTAGAACTTGTTGATATGTTAATTTGTTATTAGATAAATTTTGGTAATTTGTTTACAATTATTTTACAACAAAACATTCCATTTTAACTTAAATAATATAATGGACTACACAAACGAGTAATAATCCTAGAAAACTTAATGTCCATTAATGTGTGTTGTTATTCAATTTTACGTATTGAATTTACAATTACAGTTTGGTATGCCATCGTATATATCAATCCTCAGGGCAAAGCACACGATGTATTCTTATATTTAATACAATACCTTCTGTAATTCAATACAATGTAAGCTGATGCTTGCGCCCGTTGCTACTTTCCATCAAGTGGGCTGTAAGCAAATTTGTCATTTCAATTTCATAACAAAATACCTACTGTCACTGTATTTTTTATTGTTACACCACTTTCCCTATATTCAAATCTCATTATTCATAAAAACCATAACCTCCTACAAACTTATTCAAATTAAGAAAATAGTTGGTAAGGGACTTAGAAAACAACTCGAGCTAATACAAATTCATATGACGTATGGCGTTTATGAATAATTGGATAAGTAGATTAAACTATAGTAGGTATCTACTTCCATAATGCGTAACGCCGTGTGCTGCATATGTACAAATTATATTGACATTAGTGCTAAATTAGAAATAAGGTGCAATATCATTCCAAAGATATATGTATATTGTTATTAATTTATTAGAAAATTTATAAATAAATGTTGCATACTTTAAATTGTGCTTCGATTGTGACAGACAATAATTGCACACCAAGTGTAGGTATTATGAAATTATAACTGTTATATTATAATACATAGATTATTATGTACGAACGATGAAAACTGATGTACAAAATAAAGGTCAATGAATGGTTATTTTTATTGTATTATTTTTCTATATATATATATATATATATATTCCTCTTTTTACTTCAGAAAATAACAAATGAAAAATAGAGATATAATTTTGATTTTATATTTTTTATAAATAACACTATTTTATGCAGTAATAAATTATAAGAAATATAAATTACCATTATTAATTCATTCATTCATTTAATAAATATAGTATTTCTTCCCTTCCCTTTCATCCGTTTGCCCTTAACATACAAATGGGAAAAGAATATTGGAAGAGTATTGGAAGAAATGTATCTACCGAGTCTGTAATTTATCAGATTACATATTGAAAATAAAAGGGACCCTTAATGAAAGATATAATGCGTTTCTCATTATATATTAAAAATAATTGTATAATAGTAGACTATAAATTAAGGCAAATGTCTAAACTTATTACATAAATAATGATTATTGAATCACTGTATACCAATATTATCTTACACAGAATATTATTATATTAATAGTAATCTAGGGCTCATATACATGTTATAAAATCATCTTGATTACTAAATTACATATTTATCAACATTTTATATTTTTGGATATTTGATACACTTGTATATTAAAGACTACAGATTAAGAATATAATTAATCTGATATAAATGTTTTGTATCGAATGTCACAAAAATATATCATTTGAGAAATACTCTTTTAGTTATCAACCGGCAAATATAAACTAAATTATGGCATCAGTCCATGAGGTTAAAATTAATAAAAACTTAAGTACTGAAATAATATTTTTTAAACCTCTTGTAGACTTATTTGAGTATGGATTTAACAATGAAAAATTTCTTATAATCTCATAGCTCATTTCACTTAGAAATAAATAGCCAAGGTCAGAATAATATATATAAATCATAATACTACATTTGAAATAGTATGTTTGATATGTAGTTTATAATAAATACGATTGTCATAGTAAGTAAATAAAAATAACAACATTAAAGTAATACGGACATTTTCAATACCAAAGTAACATTTATATTCAGTAATTATTGTCACAAACTGATCTATAAGAAATAAGTTTATTTATACATTGTGGTAGCGTAATAAAATTAATTAATAATTCTTTCGTTATTAGTAAATAATAATACGTCATAGTAATTATATTAATTTTTAGTGTAAAAATGTAGCAGAGGTAATATTATTAATTTAATAAGGCAGCCTCAAAACCAATACAAAATATGATAAAAACTTACTCTGAAATTTATATTCATCTATTATTGCTACTGAACTGTATTGTCTTTTGTTTAAACATTTTTCATAATAAAAAATAAAGTTACAAAACATGATAGTTAATATACATTTACGGAAAGTTCTAATTAATAAACAATTAGTAAATGCGATAAAGTTAATAAACAACATAGTATGATATTTAATTTGCAGTAAAAAATATTTCGAAATTATTATGAGATCCCCATACAAAACAATTTAGTATTATATTTTACATTTTCATTGATCATACGTAATGTTTCGAAAATGTTGTCTCTCCTCTAAAGGAATAATTTTCTATTATATTAGAATTAATTTAATTTAATTACATTTATAGAATATACGGCAATATTTATACATATTTCAAGCATAGTCGAACGGAAAGACTGAAAACTAAACGTGATAATAACGTATCGATATTACCAAGGACATTTTCGTAATAAAAAAAAAATTGGAACAATACCAAGAACACTTCAAATACTGTTAAATTAGCATTTAGTTTTTTAAATTAATCTTCAATCTTACTGGTGCCGTAGTTACAAATGAGATTCATAGAGACTAAATTTGTATACTGTTTAAATTTGCATACACTAACATTACTAAGAGGGACTGTGAGTAAGTTCAGTAAATCTATCAATCAATCTCAATCAAGCACTTGAAACTTTCTCTCCCCATTTGAAATGAGGTGTCTGGTCCCAGTTACTAGCAATGTTGTATAATAATGTTTCGCAATACAAAAGTGTACAACTAACTGCACATTTTTGTTCTGAACGCAAGACTTCTTCCTTCAACAATATAGACGAATTAAGGACCTAAGTACGTTAAAAATAATATTTACATTCTCATTTAAATATCATAATAGCCAGTGCATTTTCTTATACAAAACATCCGATCAGACAGTATAGCACAATACATACATCACAAATCATACATTGTAAGTTATATACGCATTCAAATAATCCCCTTGATTGTCTATTAACAGTTTCGGTGGTGGCAGTAGGCAAGCCGCATTCACCGTATTCACTGTACTCACTGGAGCAGAGGTACCTTCTAATTCTTTACGCCGTTTTCGATTTTTCTTATCCCAAGGAGCATACGGTATCTTTAGATGAACAGTTTGTATGTGCAATTTGACAGCACTACTCTGTGTGAATCGGCGGTTACAATGTTGACATTGGTAGCGCTTTTCACCGGTATGTACCTGTGAAATGAGACTGGCTTTAAACGTTGTCGTGTGCTGGAATTTAGGAATTGTGTAAAATAATAAATAATATAAAAATGATAATGAAATAAACTTAAACAAGTATTTTTTATGGATTATGAAGAAATTATGCTTTGACCTGCATTTCAGTATGAGCCGAAATGTACCTAACATATTACATACATCACAATAAAAAAAATACTTGCAAAATTAGTCATTAAAAATCTCGGTAGTTTTTCCATGTATAACCGAAAGGAACCTGAGGTAAATTGAAAAATTTAAACAGGTCCATTCTACCAGAATCAAATTGATATAATAAATTAACTAGAGCTCACCACAAGATGGCGGTCTCTGTTACTGGGCATGCTGAATCGGCGGTCGCAGTGCGGACACTCGTACGGCTTCTCGTGCGTGTGTGTACGCATGTGGACCATAAGGTTTGCATATTGCTGCAATGATAATAACAACATGTAATCAACTCAAAATTTACATCTCACTTATATGTTAAACGCTAAAGTTTGTTTGCTTTTTTTTTGCAGATGCCACTCCAAACCCGCGGAAAGACTTTTGGAGCGGCTGAATGCCAACTCCCGCCTGACGGATACGACTTTATTCTGAGGGTACCGCCAAGGGGTCGTACCTTGGCTCAGGCCGTCGTACTTTCGCTTGTCGTTTGAATCAGACGGGGAATCGAACGGAGAACAAAAACAACTGAGCTTATACATCAGATTAACTTAAGGTATAAATTTCACGATGAAACCGGATTAGTTAATATATCGCAACATAACATACACAAAAAGAATAGGCTAATTATAAATTACAATATACTCAGTGTAAATATATGAAAAAGACTGTACAATTTATAAGGGTGTACAGTATATTTATAAAAACATAAGTTAGGGAAAGTGCTATGATACAATTAGTAATATAAATAATATTTTACTACTTTAAAACGTTACGTGTTTGTTTCATTCCAAAAGTAGGTTTTCTTATGTAATTGGAATGAGTAATTTGTTATCATGTGATGCAGAACCACTTATGCGTTGCCATTCCGATGGAATAAGGTGTCATGTCTCGTATTGTGTAAACGCACGGCCTTATCTCAGCCCGCAACCAAAACAGTTACTTACACTGGTTGGAGTCAGAATAAGGTGAGAAAAAAGTACCAATGCAGATGACTTTTTAGAAAAGTCTACTTGAGTAGATCGTTAATATATTCGCCATTACTTAATCAAAGACACTAACCCTAGTAGTATGTCCGCATACGTCACACATATACCGCTTGAGATAGTCCGCGCCGGGATGCTCCGACTCGTAATGTTTGCGCGCTTGAACATCATTGACCAGGAATTTCCCACACTGAAATAATATAGCATAATTTAGACACAATGACCATCTACATTAGATATATAATTTAAAATTATACTTAAGAAAAATACTGGTTACTAAACACAATAAAAACTCACTTATTATTATTAACATTAAAGATTAAGTAAATTGGACATTGGAAACTAACCTAATAAGAAATATATCACTACCCATTAATATAATTAGGGTTGAAGGTAATAATTTATTTTTATTTATTTAACTTCAATGCACACAATATACAAAATATAGTAAAGTACATTTGGCGGACTTAACACCTTACCAACCACCAACAATAAAATGCAACAAAATAAAAAATAAATAATCACATTGCTACAAAGATATATGGGGAAGCAAGACACAATAAACGACTATGTATATATATGTAAGATAATGTATGTTTAAATTTTTTCTTGGCCTCTATATATATATAAATATGGACATACCACTTCACAGTTGGTAGCGGTGGGCAATCCTATGTTGTGTATTTCAGACTTCCTCGAGCCGCTGGGTCGACCGGGCCTGCGTCCACTTTTCACCATTCGCCGCGACTTTATCGACCTACCAATAAATAATAAAATTATTTAAAAGTAATTCAGCCACATAATTTATTTTATGTAAATTATGTCTATGTTATAGTTTAACCCGTCTGTACCTAATTGAAATATCAAACAGAGATAGAGCACCTTATAATACCATCATATTTCAATTCTTAAGCCATAATAAACCCAAGTTAAGAATTAAATGACGGCCTCGGTAGTTTAGGGGTTTAGTATACCATTCCGATGGTCGTAGGTTTGTATCCTCGTAGTATGCACAAATTTGTATTTATGAGGATGATTGTTTGTATTGGTAAAAAAAATAATTAAAATCGTTGATTAGATGGCGCTGTGTGAATTGTCCAATGCTATTATTATTATTAATTAATTCTTTATAAATGCGGTCAAAAAGTGGAAATATGTAATATACAAACTTGTTGGTACTAGTATGGTTACTAGAACTGCCAAGGTGCGTGGTGTAGGCCGCTTCGCTGAGGAAACGTATATCGCACTCAGCGCAATACCGAGGATCGTTATCAACCACCTCCCCTGCCGCCGCCGCTCCCTCTCCAGTTCCATTAACTTCTCTAACAGCCGTGCCCACTCTCGCTTTCTCATCCTTTGTTATACTTGCATCAGCTGCAGTCGTACTCTCGCTCAGAGCGATTTCCTAAAAACAATAATAACTTTCTATTACCCATTACCCATTTAGATGGTACATACGCATAACTGTTCCGCATTGAATATCCAACACTTTGATGATGTGCCCAAGATAATTGCGCGGAGATCGCGGCTGATGAATTCGTTTCGTTATTACAGATAAATTGCGGAACTATATCGACATAACGTATATCCCCCAGATAATAATAGTATTATCCACCAAATCTGAGTAGAATATGGGACAGTAATAAATTGTAAGTTCATTCATAACTTTGTGGATTTATATCAACCAGTATATTAAAGTGTGAAACAGTAGATATATTATCAAGGCTGGAAGTGATGTTTTGAAATGTTACATACATAAATGAGACATATTCTTTTTATTAAATTGACCTACCTCTACACTATGAGCTATTTTCTTATGACAATACAGTCCACTTTCACTCACGAAACTGTGGCCGCACAAATTACAGATATAAGTCGACGGGTGTTTTATCCTGATATGCGTTAAACGAGTTGAAGCCTTCCTGTGAAAGACATTAAAACATTAATAATTTTCGTTACATATTTACTTCTAATTCATTTTTTATTTATTATGAGTTGCATAACATTTGATGTTGCATGTCAAAAAACTTCGTAAATAACTCACTTTTATTTTCAACGCATAATATTTAAAAAACCCATTTTAAAGTCATACATACTTGAATTCCTGTTTGCAGTGTGGACATTCATATGTAACATTTTTGTGCCATCTATAATGCATCTGTGCTTGGCCCCTATAATATTAAGAGAAAAAAGATATAATTAGACAAATTCAAATAGTAAGCAGAGTTTGGTTTTAACAATAATCACCTTTTGTCAAAGACATTCTCATAAAGTATTCTTTATACATTTTTTTTAGTATGCAATAGAACTTTATTAAACTTATAGTCATTTCATAGACTTTTGTTGCAAACTATATCTATGATCTATATAAAAAATCACATATCAAATACTTACTTGTTGTAGCAGACATATCTACACATTTGACATGAAAACTTGAACAGATGAGTGAGGTTCATGTGCTTGTACATCTTACGGCCATCACGGAAATGTAGTTTGCACATGTCACATTGAAATTTGCCTGCATATGCCTGCAAATATATTATACAATAGAGACATTTAGGGACTCCCTTCTCCAAATGTTCAACATTTAATTTTATTTTACGCCTTTTTTCTAATAAATATTTATCTTCGCAAATGACAGATCATACATATATGACCATAGATCAAAAACCATATCATAATTCATAAATCTTAAGATTTACACAATATTTCTTTGGAAAACAATATCTAAATTTTGGTCATCATCACTGTTTACATTCATCTACATTTATATTAGGGACTTTATTTGAGACATGGTCCTCAGTATGACATAACTATATAAACATTTCAATATTTTACAATATTAACAATACTCACAGGATCATGTTTCTTCATGTGTTTATTATAAGTGGCTGTTTCTCTAAAACCTCTATAACAGAATTCACATTTATATTTAGAGAGTAGATAATTTCTGGTATTTTTCCTTTCATCAACAAGCTTATATTGTTCCTCTTGAGTAACTGGAGTGTATATTAAATAGTCTTCTGGAAACTTTGTGGTTTTTCTCACTGGGCGCATTGTAACTACACCCTTAATTCGCTTGCCACCTTTATTATGGAGCCAGCTAGGTCTCGAATCATACCAGTTGCCGTCTTTCTTGCGCCCCTTTTGTAAGTGCGTCCAGATATAATGCTGTTTTGCTGATGTTCTGTAAATAAATCAATCCTCATTATAACTCTTACTGCTAGGTACAGTTTGCTACCATCAAGGTAGGGTCATAGCCTACTTTTTTTCTGAAAGACAAATCTATGAGAGAGGAACGAACAAAAACACATCAATTTAAAACATAATTTCATAATTTTAGAAAGGTGACTTTGAAGGAAATAGTCTGTATGGGTATCCATGTTTCAACTATTTCAGCTGCCTGCTTTGTCAAGGTCGCAGATATGTTTCCTTGCACAGTAGAAACATTTGTATTATTGAATATGATTGTTTGTATTGGTCTAGGTGTTTTCTGTATATATTATGTAAGAATTTTCAAATAAACACATATTTAGGAACCATCCATAATACAAGCTCTGCTTATCTTCAGACACATAGTGCTGTTGTTAATATTATTAAAAAAAATAATCAACTCACCTATCAAAATTGACCTCAGGACACTCTTTGCACACATATTTGTACATATGCTTTTCTGTAACATGTGTTTTTAATAGAAATTGTGTTTTGTAGTAATATATACATAAATCACATCGAAAAGGACCACTCACATGCTGAAAAGTATTTATTGTATTTATTGTAGACAATTGTAACCTAGGTACAGATAACATAAATATGTAACTATTTCTTAAACTGTGACAAAAATTTGAGGATTTGATCATTTATCAAATCAATGGTCATAATTTGTCAAATCTAGGGATGGCACTTAATTTCTTACCTTTATGATTGACTTAATCTTATTCAATGATAAAAATAATGTACAATACATCATTTTATGGGGCTTAAAAATTTAAATATTTACTGTTACCTTATCATGCATACGTAAATGAACTTTTAAACGATTCTCATTGAAAAAAGCTTTGTTACAGATATCACAGCGATGTTTGCCAGTGCTAAACATTTTGTAAACCTCCACTGCAGCCTTAGCCTCTTTTTTACTAATTGGATACACATTAGCATACTCTTCATCTAATTTTAAACCATCTGCATTTTTTTTATCTATTTTAACTGATGATTTTGGTGGTGTTTGTTTTCTGTCGGTTTGAGTTTCCTCCACAAATTTCTCCTCATTATCATTGTCACTGGCAATAAGATCATTATTAAAACTATCATCTCGATCTTCATTATCATCAGTTTGTTGAAATGGAAAATCATTATTGAAATCAAATTCTATAGAAATATTATTAGCAGTCTCAGTTTTAACAATTTCATTTTTGTTTTCATTATTTTCCCACATTTCACTTTCAAATGCAAATCTTTCTTCGTTAGGGAATGTATTATAATGAATAACTGATATTTTATCATTTTTAAATATATTTATCCTATTATTTTTAACCCATTGAAACTTGACCTCTTCATAGTGTGTTTTACATGTATCTAAATACGATAATGAGGGTTTTATGTCAATTGCTTGATGATTGAAATTCTCAAGATGAAATTTGCTTATCTAAAATGAATAAATTGTTGTATAAAAATTAACAATATTAAACAACATAATAATAGATTGATTGTTACATGAACATGTTGATATAAGAACGAGAGTAGCAGACCTCATTATTCCTGGCTAGCATTTCTTGTAAAGCAAAATTAGCCCTCTGGCATTTTTTGCGGAACTTGAGAAAATGTGTAACATAACCACAGCACTGCCAACAAAGATAATCTGGGGTCCCATTACCTCTGCATGTCTGGAATAAAAAATGATAATTAACAGCATATGTTTAGATCATATCAATGCATCTCGGCTTCACATGACTGAAGAGCATAGATGACATAAGTCTTTTAACTATATAAATGTATTAAAGATACAAAACTTTCAGTAAACAATTCAGTAGAAAAGAAGGTGAATACTTTACCAGCATTATATCAGTTGTAAGCAGAGAATAAGATATGACAAAAACAGCAATATTGTTTCATTTTCATATATTATATAGTGGTATCCATACAACAGTAATGTACCATGTCACTGATATATTCAAGTTTAAGAACATGATTATATCTGTGAGTGAAAGAATTAAGTTTTCTTTTTACTTCAAATTAATACAACACATATTTATGAATTCATTCTCTGATTTTTGAGTAATACTCTTTCTGATGTGCCCAGGTGCCTCACATAAATTGAAATCAATATTCAAACCATAACTCCAGAACATTTGATTATACTACTGTACTACTACTACTGTTTATTTAAATTGTTTTGGTACAACACACTGCTCAGCCCAAAAATATAACATGAGATATATAAATTAGGTTTTTCTTTCGTAATACTGAATGTGATTTTATATTTTTTGGCAATATATAAAAATCATATAGTCATAATGGAATTCATAAACAATTCATAAACTTTGTAAATTAAAGCTACATGTTACAGTTCCTTCATAATAAAAATAAAGTTAATTTATAAAAATCAGTTCATTGCATTCTCGTTATTGTAGAGACAACAGAAACACGTACCTGTAATCCGGATATCGTGTTAAAATCACGTCGTAAGTGGCCATTATCCATACTGTACAATTTCAGATTTGTGCTAAAACACACTACGCAGGCCTTTAATTCAAACATTATGCGTTTATTGTTAATATTTTGTAGTCATAATTATTTTAAAACAGTAATCCTCAGAACACTTCCACATTATTTTCATAGCATTGTATTTGGAAAAAAAAACACTGTAAAGAAACCGTAATGACAGAGAAGGGAATGGAACTAATGAAGAACGAATGAAATCATAAGTTCATTGCCAGTTATAAATAAGACAGATTCTGAAAACCGGTATACACCGATTAAAAAAAAGACAATGTATATAATTAATATTCCCATATACTTAAGAGTAAAACCTAATTCTTTACAAAATTTTGGGTAAAGTGAGTGTATTTAGGTGATAAGTGTAAAAACGGTTATAAACATTCAAACAATGTGTTAGCGTCTTTTCTGTCGTACAATATTACCGTTATTATCATCTCATTACTTCTCTACCCGTATATACAGTCTGTACGCACAGAGTTTGCGTTTCTGACAGATCGGGATCGAACGGGGGATGCAAGTTTGAACTGGCGCGATATTTTAAATATCCTTTATTTGCCTTATTAACGAGTAATAACATTGAAAATATAATAATTATTTCAATTACAACAATCGTATTGATTTTGGGCTAAAAGTATTAACTACTTAAGAAATAAAAAAAACGATAGTTTTTAAAAGTCAAACCACATCAAACTGCGCTGTCTCAAGATTATTTGGTCACATGACTACAAAAACAAATAGTTAATAAGATAAGAATTTGCGTTTTATAGAGTACCTAGGTATGTTTAACCCACAGTTTATAACACAATATTACATATTAGAAACTGACTATGACTTCAACATACAGATAAATATAATCACGGGATATAAAAAACACATAATTTTATATATTTATATTCAACCATAAAGATTCAATCGTATTAAATACAAAAAACAACAAATAATAAACTAGGTACTTTCCATTTATAAATCAGTATAATTCATATATGCATTTAAATAATCACCGCGAGGATTGAGCGGTAGTTCAAGGAGCGACTGAGGGCACGGCGCAGTGTCCGTACTGATTCCTTCGACAGATACCACCGAGTCTTCAATTTCCTTTCGCCGTTTTCGATTCTTCCTATCCCTGGGAGGGTATGGTATCTTTAGGTGGACGTGTTGTATGTGTGATTTGCAATCAACTTTGTGCATGAAACGACGGTTACAGTGTTGGCATTGGAAGCGCTTTTCACCAGAATGTGTCTGTAAAATAAAGTCAGCTTTAGAATTTGTTAAGTATATCATTCAAGTTCAGCTCAGTTATTTACACCTATTGATCGTGTAAACAGACCGTAATGTTAAAATCTTTCTCACAACATGCCTTAACCATTATCATAGATTATTTTATTACTTTTATTAAAGGAATATAACTTAAAACCCTTTTAATATAACTTTTTTTTTTAGTTTTAAATTTATTCAAAATATAAAATAAAAATTGCGAATTTATGCCGCCACTGATGTATTTTAAAGATATAACTTACAACAGCATGACGGTCCCTGTTACTGCCATTACTGAAGCTTCGGTCGCAGTGCGCGCACTTGAACGGCTTCTCTTTCGTGTGTTTACGGAAATGCAACACAAGGTTTGCGTATTGCTGTGCAAAATAAAAAAAATATATTAATAGTCATGGCGAAAATAAATTAAGAAATAGATCATACTTGTAGGGCTATATTATAGGAAAACAATAGATTGACATTTAAACAACATGAATGGAGAACTATATTCAGTTCTCCATTCATATTGTTTAAATGTCTATCACATTGTTTAAATACACATTTATTATGTACTTAAATTTAATCGTTTAAGTAACTTGTATTACATACAATCCTACTCCTATTTTCTGTTCAAGACATCTATCATTTATATTAAGACTTTTATCTAAAGGTAAACTAATTTTGGAACTGGATAAAATTTTGTTTATCTATTCCAAAAAAAAAAACAAATAATTATTTTTTATAATATTGGTATAAATAATGTGTGTGCTCTGATGACTGAATATCGTAACTGGCAACAAACTGACCTTAGTAATGAATCCACACACTTCACACATGAAACGCTTATGGAAGTCCACACCAGGGTGTTCTGACTTATAATGTTTGTCCGCCTGCACGTCGCTAACTAGGAACTGACCACACTGCAATAAAAAAGAAATTAAAGCATTATTGTCGATTTTACCAACTACCATAAAAATAAAAACCCTTATTATTATTACAAATGCAAAAATGAGTTTATTTCTAACTTTCTTATTGCGCTTGAGTAAGAAATAATAATGCTACAATAACAATACTTTATTTCCTAAATGTAGGTAAGTAATATAGTGGTAAAAATATGTTATCTCATTCAGTTCAGATATTACAAAACCGTAATAAAATTGCTGTATTACTTTAGCGTACACTTGGTCATTAATGAATTGTCTTTATGTTAATGTACCCGTAAGGAAATGTGCAGCCGTATAGTAAGTTTTTTCTATCAATGTATTCAAAAGAAATAAACCCACTTTACACACCGTAACAGCTTAACATATCATAAAATTTTGCATATGGGATGGAGAATGGCATGCTGTACTTTTTACGTTGTAATTGTAAAGCGTACAGCGAGTAAGATTTTCCATATTTAATTAGGTAGCAACCAATGCAAAAACAGCGGCGACGTCGGCTCGAGCTGTACGACTCTTGTCGGAAATGTGTGTAATGAATGAATTGTAGAAAACATTAAAATTGTAATCTGTATGAAATGAGAAGTATTAGCAGCGGCTTTATATTATTGCTCATGTTAAAACAAGTTTTCATTCCAAAATAGTGTATAATGGATTTTTAACATTACACATACATACCACTTCACAGTTGTTGGATGTGATCTGTCCTAAATTATGCACATCGGATTTATCTGCGTGGTTCTGTTTTCGCACATATCTCGATTGACAGGATCTGGCAACAATTATAATCTCTTCACATACATCAAAACTTTTATCATAAATACGAAAGTGTGTCTGTTTGTTGACGGGAAGATAGATTATATCAAGATGGTGGACATTTTGTAACTTTTATATAAAAAAATAATCCTCCAAGGGGTGAGAGTTTTAGCAGACGAATTTGCGAGTGAGCATCACAATTATGATTTTAAGTAAAATCATAACAATAAACTATAAACCATACAAACTTATTGGTGTTAGTGTGCTTGCTGGAGCTGCCGAGGTGCGTGATATACGCCGCTTCATTGACAAATAGTACATCACACTCCGCACAGAAGCGAGATTGCTTTTCCGAGACTCCCTGGTCCTCTGTAGCGACTTTTACTTTTTCTTCTGTGGAATTTATTTCGTAGGCGTTTTTGTCTGAATTACCCGCAGCCGCCCCAACAGACTTTTCACCTGTCCATTCCCATACAGCCTCTGCAGCTGTATCACCATCTTCTACTGTGGTTCGGTTTGACTCGAGCTCCTATAAATAGGGTAGGGGATTGTTAGTAATGGTAAGACTACCAAATTCGAACAGATTGCTAAAAACAGTTTTTATTATAGTGATAACGTTACGATCGCTCACCTTATTTTTGTGTGCAATTAACTTGTGGTAGTATATTCCTGTTTCGCTCACAAAACCATGTCCACACAAATCGCAGATGAATGTCGACGGATGCGATATTCTTATATGTGTTAAACGCGTAGTCATCTTCCTGAAAAACAAATAATAAAATAGTATGTTAACATTTTAGTGGCACTCTATGAATAATAGACTTATTTTAATTCTTAGCTCATAAGAGACGACTAAAGCTAATGACATACATCCGATTAGTCGTCAGACTGTTCATTATAGATCCGGATGTCTATGAATAATAGACTTATTTTAATTCTTAGTCTCATAAGACCTCCACCAGCTCCCTATACGATCTTAGGGGGAAGCTGTTGGAGGGGATACGTCGTGGTGAAGGCGAAGGGGAGGGTCCGGTGTACTATCCGGACCTGGTGTCTACTGCGGAGAATTTTAGGAGGCTGCGGGAGTTCGCGCATCAGTGGCACCGGAGGCGGAGCGAGCACGAGAGGACTGCTGGTGGTACGCGTTCAAGAAGGAAGGACACCGCTGAAGACGGAGAGCTGCCCGGCACCGAAGCCGTACAAGTTTCGTCCGCTGCCCCAGAAGGGGGAGAGTGCGATAGAGGGGACAGGAGTAGAAATAATTTGTAGGGATCAAGAGAATGCGTGCTTTTCAGCGCGCATTCCCCGCAGATTCGGCCAGTATAACCGAGAGGTTGGAATGGCCATGGGTTGGTGGAGGGTTGTTCATTATAGAATCAAAAAGCGCAGCTTTTTACGAAATATTATATAATTTCGTTTATATAAACCTTTAACAAAATACAATATTATGCATAGCAAGACTTGCGTCAAATGACAATAATAGAATAAGTACTAGAAATAAAATCGTAACATAGCCATGACAGCCTAGTAATCAAGCAAAATCTCTCTTTTTATATCGAAAGACCCAATACCCAGGAGTGGGATAAGATCGTTACTATCATGATTATAATTACAGTAACCGAAGTTATAAATCATTAGGTATACATACTTAAAAACCCGTTTGCAGTGTGGACAGTCATAAGTAACATTCTTGTGCCATCTATAATGCATCTGTGCTAGGCTCCTGTAGAATAAAAAAGGTATATGTCAAAAACAAAACTAAGAAATAATTTGTCAATGGTTTCTGTTTCCATACCATATGTTACATATTGTAATCTCACGGAAAGATGTTACATATTCTACCATATGTTACATATTATAATCTTACGGAAAGATTACAGTATGTAACATATGGTACGGAAACCGAAACCATTGACAAATTATTTCTTAGTTTTGTTTTTTAACATAAGGTTAAGATTCTTACCATTATTATAAATGCGAAAGTTTATTCGTATGATGGATAGATGAATGGATAAATGTTTGTTAGTCTTTCACCCAAAAACACTAAACAGATTTCGATCAACCGTTACAGTAATATAACTGATAGGTCAGAATAAGACAGGCTATAAATTTCATGCGGGTAAAACCGCGGGTACAGCTAGTTTTTAACCAACCACAATTTAGATAACCGCGGGGGTAATAATTATTGTAAACTAAATCTTACTTGTTGTAGCAAACAAAACTGCACATCTGGCATGACAACTTGAACAAGTGAGTAATATACATGTGACCGGATAACTTTTGAACGCTCTGGAAACATAATTTGCATATGTCACATTCATATTTCCCCGCATATGTCTGTAAAAAGAAGATAACTCACTCTATATGAGAAAATAATGACTGGCGTAGTCCAATTATTTGTGAAACTTTCACCTTGCATACATACTGTCAAAGCGCTATAATTAAAAAACTACTGCTGCCAGATAAGAATGGCAATGTCACCGACTATTATGGCATTTCCAGTTCAAGTCTATGCACTGAATTGAGGTGATGATTAGATTTTCTTGTCCATCACTTTATAAATGATCATACAACAGCCACAGGTTTTGATTATTTCTTACGATAAATTATGGCGCAGTGATGCAACTTCATACAAGCACAGAATATTGTAATTATTTGCACAATTGTACTTACTTGATCGTGTTTCTTCATATGTTTGTTGTAAGTATTTTCCACCCTAAACCCTCTGTAGCAGAATCCACATTTATATAATGAATCAATATAATTTCTAGTCTCTTTTCGATCCTCGATAAGTTTGTACTGCTCTTCTTGACTGATTGGAGTGTACTTTAGATAGTCATCGGGTAATTTAGTCCTCTTTCGCACTGGTCGCGTTCCGCCTTCACTTTTGATTTGATTACCACCTCTATTACTTACCCAGTTGGGTTTGCCTTCATGACCGAGTAAATGTGACTTGATATAATGTTGTTTTGCTGATGTTCTGCAAGTATACCATGAAATTGAGGTTGTCCTTTCATGAATATTTTCTTAATAGCTCTAAGTAATGGTTTGATTAGTAAGAGTAAGAGTGAATAATGGAGAAGGTAAGAACCTTCATCACACTGTCATGTGATATTCACGCAGAAAAGAGAGAGACTGTTATATTTGATACATATATATAACAATTAAATCAGATTCCGGCATCCAAATTAAAAATAACAAATTTAATTTGTTAGTACATACTTAAGCTAGTAATTTTTTGTAATATTTTTAAGCCAACCATGTAATGGCCATGATAATTATTAGTTTGATGATTTTATGAGTTTTGTATATGTTCCTATTATGTACATATCATCACACTCACCTCTTATAAGTAACTTCAGAACACTTTCTACATACATATTTATACATATGTTTTTCTGTCATGTGTGTTTTTAATAGAGATTCTGTTCTGTAGTAGTACATGCACAGATCACAGAGGAACGAACCTCGTGTATGCTGAGGAATACATATTTTAATTATTATTATAGTATTGCATGCAGATAGAAATTAAAAGAGAAATTATTTATGCCTACCATATTAGACAAGGTTGCAAGTGCATTTACTAGTACTGCTATATATAATAACACTAAATAAACTAAAATCATGTCTTTTGGTTCTGCAGCTACAATAACAAGGAACTATTATCTATTTTCCACACTTAGCCTATAATTTAGACTATTGTGCATATAGAACTACGGCTAAAACAAGCAACTAAGCCCCTAAGCCAGAAACCACATTGTAGCAGCCTATGGCGTCTTGGTAGGAATCATGGTCAGGTGATGCTTCAATGGAAGTTATTGGAAATAAATGTTTTTGTGTCACAGTATTTTAATTGTGCATATTAATAATTTCTTACCTTGTCATGCATTCGTAAATGTACTTTCAAGCACTTCTGATTTGAAAAGGCTTTGTTGCAAACTTGACATTGATGTTTTCCAGTGCTAAGCTTCTTGTGTGTCTCATGTGCAGCTTGAGCCTCTTCCTTTGTTATTGGATATGCATTAGCATACTCTTCAATAATACAGGGCTCTAAAGACACTTCAATCATTTTATTGGTTAATTGGGACACATTATTTAAACTTTGTTGGTTATCATTATCAATCAGAATGTCATCATTATTACTATCAAAGGCATCATTGTTACTATCAAAGGTATCATTGTGTCCCTGACTATCATTATTTAGTTCAATTATAACTTTATTTATACCATTTTGGTTCCAGTCAAATTTCTGAGGCTTATCTTCATCAATAGTATCAGTTATAATGTGTTCTTTCTTTACTGGCTTTGTGTAAGATTCCTTTTTAATCATGCTTGAGTCTTCATTTGGAAGTATGTTATAGCGGACAACAGGAATGTGGTCCGTTTGAAACACAGTTATTCTTTTTCGTCCCTCTGATTGAAATGTGACTTCTTCATAATGTGTTGTACATGGATCTATGTACCATAGTGTGGGTTCATTATCAATCACTGCACAGTTCAAATTATCAAGGTTTAGTTCAGTTATCTAAAATTATAAATTAATATTCAATTCCAGCATGTATAACCCATAAAGGTTTTTAATCCCAAAATTAAATAAAATTATATAAGAAAACAGTACTAAGCTATATTATAGTACATTTTTAATTAAATCTATTAATGAAAGCTTAGATAATAATGTTTACCATTAAATACACAAATAATCAGAGACAGTTTTAGTATTAAAAAAACATAAAATTAATTCAATGCAAGTATTATAAAATTTGAAATTTTGAACTAGGTTTATACCATTACTTTATATACATAATGTCCGGAAAGTTTAAAGAGTTAAAGATATAAAAATTATAGCAAGCAAAATAGTAATATGTATCTAATAATGTCACAATTAGAATATTAACATACTTCAACATTTCTATTTAACATTTCCCGTAGAGTGAAATTTGCCCTCTGACATTTTCTACGGAACTTCATGAAATGTGTGACATAACCACAGCACTCCCCACAGAGGTAGCTAGGCAGGCCATCACCATTGCATGTCTGAATGTGTAAAAGTAATTAGCGTTAAAATTTAGGTATACAACAACATTGTAAAGAGTTCCAGCTCAATTATGAGGACTATTCCAATGGTGATATGGCAATAACTGTAGTCTAGCAGATAGGATGCAGCTTTAATTCATGCTCGCCATTTGTAGTCATGAGAATAGAATAGGTAGATAATGGAGTAAAAGAAAATATGTATTTACATTTAAATATTTCTCAATACATCTGTATAAATAAAATAAGGCACATGGAGTAGGATTGTTTGTATTAGTATGGTTGTTTTATTTATTTATTTACAAAAAAATGTATTACAGTATCTATATCAGTTCTATCACTTGTTTAGTGAACACAAGCTCTGATTAGCTTGGGACTAAATGGAGCTGTTGGTGTGGAATTGTAAAGGCTTATATTCAGAGTATATAAACTATACACTCCTTGAATCCATCCTCTATTTTCAATGGTTGTGAATGACCTCTGTCAATACGTTTAAACAAAATTGGATAACTTTAAAATGTATTAATGGATAATAATAATTATTAATTATTTAAAATTATTAGTTAAATGTACTACAGATAGGATACCCTATGTAGTTCATATTTCATACCCTTTAATTTATTGGAATTTTCAAATTCGGTAAACACATAAGCCGCTATAAATATACCTGTAATCCGGAAACTGTATTATAATCATGTCTCAAGTGGCCACCATCCATAATAAATAACTTCAAGTTTGTACTAAAACATACTGCACAAGCTTTCAACTCAAACATAATTAGAATATATTCACTCCAGTTTCAAACTGTGTGTAGTTTATCCAATTAAAGGGTGTATTGGTGTTCAAAATATTGTACTAATAATTTGAAATAATTGTATAAATTTCAGATAAAGAAATAATATTTTTGTGTTATTGTTTATTTGAGACAATATTGACGTTACACATGTTTTTTTATTTATTAAATATTTTACGGCCCTGGAAACGTTACATATGTTTCCATTAGTTGTCGGCTTATGGCGAGTATTAAATAGTGTTATGATTCAATCGAAAATTAATATAAATTACCGATTTTTATAGGTTACTCAGAAATAGCGTCCATGGTTTTAAACGAAATAACACAAAATTTCAAAGTATAGGTATTAACAAATGTGGGATATTAAAATAGTTTTTTTTAAGTTCGTGTTGTTTCGATCCCAGCATCGTCACTCTCAAGTTCATTTCACTCTTGGACCTTGGTCCGAATGTAGTGGACACTGTTTATATCTATCGATTCAGCCGCTGATATAAAAAAACAAACTACAGATCGGCTGAACGTCCAACTCTGGCCTGACGATATAGATTTTAGTCTGAGGGTGTTAGAACTAAGTTTACAATCGATGTCTAGACTGGCTGGTATAGCAGATGAAGTATGTTTGAATATTTGAAAAGAGTGTGTTTTGTCATCTTGTCTGTCGTCGTATTGAAGTTATACGGATAACTTATCTGTATTATTGTAATGTGTTTTTATATTAATTTATCTTGATTAGAAATATATTTTGTTTATCTTATTCCACGTTGTTTACTTAGTTACACACCACTATAGTTACTCTGTTAACATAAGAAGTTCAGAGGTAACTTCCCTCACAGAATGCACCCTAGCGGTGCCCTCAGACTAAAGTCTTCGAAAGGGTTCGAACTTTGCCTGGACAAAGGCTGTCAAATGTGGGTAGGCAGCTAGCATAGCCGAAAGACGTGTAGATCTGCGCTTAAGCTTTGTTTTAAGTTAATAAATAGTTGGATCATAGAACCTGACGAAAGTGCTCCAAGGATTTTTTCCTAAAATTAAACTCCTTGGGCGAAATTTGAAAGTTTAGAGGCTAAAATAATGGATTACAAGAACGCCAACTTTCTAACAGAACTTCATTTCATTTGTATCAGCTGATGCGTCACAGCAACGTATAATATAACAACGCAGTGAAGGCCCCGCGCATTTCCGCAGCCACCTGTGGAACAAAAAAACGAGCAATTTGCTCTCGGCTCCAAACATGATATCATTTCATTACTTAAACTTATGTCTACTTCAACGCATACATTAGCAATGCAACGCCCCACTCGGCGGATATCAGCGCATCTACTATTAGACCAAAAGATCTGGCTCCTCTCGACAAACCATTCCACAAGCGGATGTTGGACAATGTGCTATTTTGAAAATATAGGAGGCTGTCGAACCATGGTACTAGAGGTGGATGATGGTGCAGTGGAAAAACGTAGGAAAATAATATATGGTCATTGAAAAATGATATTTCTGCTGAACAGGTTCAGGCATATATGGCGTGAAGTAAAAATGGAACAGGCTCCATATTTCGAAAAACTTTTAAAGCTGATGTTTTCATCAAATGTTAAATCGAAAGTTTTAAAAACTTATATATACTGCTACTAATTGGCCGCCGAACAAAATTTAATGAGTGGTTTCAAAGACGAAATTAATTTTCATATATTTACTAAGAATATCGAGCGTAATAGATTATTAAAAATCTACTACCAAAACGTTCGGGGGTTGCGGACAAAGCTTCATGAATTTTCGTCGGCTAATGGCAGCATCAATGTTTTCAAATGTTTTTCATAATGAATTGTCGTCATTTGTATCGGAATTAAATGTCGTTGGATATAATTTTTTTCGATGTGACAGAAGTGGAGCACGGAATATATTATTGTTTTATAAACATCGCGGAATAGACATCGAACTAACAATAAAACCGGTTGCGATTGTGAGTTAGTGTGTGGCGGCCTATATCGTAATAACAATTTATTATTTGTGGTTGTAAAAATATACATTATCGATTTTTTTGAATAATCGACTGCGTCTGAAGCTCAGTATTTTGCAGTCTTTGAGGTGATTGAATGTATTGGTTTTAATGTGTCCAATATTTTAATATGTGGAGATTTTAATTTTAATTCGGCATCCCTTGCGGTGCATCATAGATATGAATATTTGTTATCGCTCTGTGATTCGATCAAGTAAATTGTATACAAAATAGCTACGGAAGTACATTAGACCTCGTTTTAGTTAGCAAATCATTGGGGCAGGTGACAGTGAATAATTGACATTACTTAATAATGGACAAATATCAGTACGCCACTTAGTTTCTTCATAAATACTAAATATTATGGTGAAAATCAATGTTGTGATAAGTTGAGTACTGTAAATGACTGGGATTTTAATAAAGTTGATTTTATCCTTTATATTCAAAATATAATATAGACTGGTGGTCTTTTTAACAGGTGATCCACAACTTGCATTGAATATTTTTTACAATATTATTAATGCTTGTGTCGATGATTGTGTCCCAAGAAAAAAGCGCCAGACTGTACCATCTCGATATTCTTATCCTGTGTGGTACACGACTGAAACTAAGCGCAACATTAAAACTAAGTCGTTTTATCACACTAAATACAAAATTACAAAATTATCGTGCCTTATTTTCACACTTTAGGGCAATAGTTAAGCTTAATATAAAAAGGGATTTTGATAATATGTTTTATAGGTATAAAATTGAAAACGACATAAAACAAGACCCATCGGCGTTTTGGCGATATATAAAAAACGTAGATATAGGGATAATGTGAGCAGTATTCTACATAATGAACGATCGGTACCGATACATGAATGTGCTCAATTATTTGCAAACTATTTCTTTTCAATATATGCTCAGAGTCCACCAAAATTGAATGTAGATGAAGCGATGGCGGCAGCAAGTGAAAATAGTAATAATCGGATTCACATACATGCATATTGTCGCAGGACATTAACATACCCTCAAAAAGCTTAGCCAAAAAATGCTGGTACGGATGGTATTCCTCCTTATATATTGAAGGATTGCGGTTCGGTTAAAAATCCTTTATGCATATATTTAATTTATGTTTAAAAAATAATTACTATCCTGATGAATGGAAAATATCACGTGTAGTTCCCATTCCTAAAAAACAACCGGCTTCTAATGTTAATGACCATAGGCCAGTAGCTATCTTGCAGTGTTTGGCAAGTTGTTTGAATCTATTTTACACCGTTATATCGCTCAACAAACAAAGATGTAATCACCGACGTTCAACACGGATTAACGTTCCACTACATTTGATGTCATTCTGGACCTATACAACTGCAGCTGTTGATTTTGGCTCACAAGTTGATGCAATTTATTTAGATTACAAAAAAGCATTTGATATGGTAAATAACGATATGTCTGAGAAAGTTAGCATCTGTCGGTTTTACCCCATCACTACTTAAATTTTTTGCGTCCTATTTAAAAAATCGAAAACAATATGTTCAGTATGGCGCCATATTTCTCATTCTTATTACACACATTCTGGGGTCAGCCAAGGCTCCAACCTTGGACCGTTAGAGTTTCTTATCATGATAAATGATTTGCCTGAGACACTTCAGCAAATATTTTCTGATGATCTCAAATTATTTTTTAAAATTAATAGTTACTCTGACTGCATTCGTCTCCAACGAGATATTGATTGCGTCAAACAATGGAGTGAGAAGAATAACTTAATGTTTAATACTAACAAATGTTCAGTATTAACATTTAATAGACTAAAAAACCTATTAATTTCAATTATTGTCGGCTCCACGTGCTTCAAGAGTTAATCTGTTAGCGATTTAGGGGTGTTAAAAGTGAGGATTTATCCTTTATAAACATATCGTCATGTGTCGCAGAGCATACAGATCTCTGGGATTTGTCGCATTAAAAAGGCCCAAAACCTGAATAGTATTGAAGCTATAAAAATTTTGTATAATGCTTACGTTAGGAGTATTTTAGAAAGTAATGCTATCATATGGAATCCACACGAGGCAAAATATTCAATGATGATTGAACAAACAAAAAAAGTTTATGAGATGGTTGTATCATAAACAATATTTGTAGGTTATCCTCATATATATCGAGCACCTTAAAAATAGGTATGTTGAGATATAAGGCGTGTATGTATTTTCAATGTAACATTATAAATAAATAAAAAAACGCCCTTGAGGTAAGACGAAACATATTTAGGCGTGTCATATATTTTAATTGTTAATTATTTTATAATTAAAAAATTGTCCATAATACAATAAAATATCTTTTGATCAGCTTTCAGGTCCCAGAAATTAATAAACGCGATCGTAAACATAGAATATTTGCTCTGCCCCGGTGCAGAACCTCAGGTGCTGATCATATACATATCAAATTCGTCATCAAAATGTGGTATCTGTAATTTGTCAACTTGACATATTTATATATGATACTGCCCCAGAGTTCCACAAAGCGGTAACAAATTTTGTGGAGTCACAATATTAGAATAGGTATTATTCTTGTCTAAATTATTATTGTTATTGTAATTTCTATAGTATATAGTATTGTTGTTTTCTATATATATATATAAAACTGTTATTGTTACTATAATTATTATTACTATTAATCTATGTATTGCGTAAGTTTAATCCTTGATGAGTGCATTGGTATTATACTGTAATACTTACTCACCGAGAGCATGTAAATAAATAAATAAAAAATAAAAATTGTCAAATTACAAAAATAATTTCCGGCAACAATAGTTTCGTCAGCTTAATGCGCTTCTCAGACTCGAATTTGGATCGTCCTCGAGCCAAGGACTTTTTTCCTCAATTATTTCCTACCGGTTGAAAACTTCTAAAATGGTTAAGAAAGTTGAGTTACATAACAGAACTTCACTTTCATAAAGCATCACATCGCATCGCATTACATAGTGAAGGTCAGCTGCGTTTCCGAGGGTAGGTTGTGGAACATGTAAAAAAATCTGTAATTTGCTCTCGGCTCAAACTGATATCATTTCATAGTTAAACTTAGTCTGTTAGCTTTAGCCGCAACGTGATGACCGCTGATGGCTAGACTGAGTAAACAAATCTGTGCTTTCCTCTCGCTCCATTTGTCAGATGTTTATGTGCTATTTTGAGTAAGGAATCTGTCACCTAGCCTAGATGTAATGTGGTGGGATACTAGACAATAATATTGTCTTAATATTATTTGAAATCAGTACTAACATAGATGCGAATAATTAAATATCCAGAGTCAAACCGATAGCCATATATATGTAAAATAAAGTTTAATGTAAGTAATGGTATGTATTTTTTTCTGACAAATAGTGTTTGATAGAAAATAATATATAATTATATTAAAAGATCTTTTGCATTAAGTTTATACATATTTATTTCTTTAGTATATGTGGATATAATTGTACTGTATATTTACAATTAAAAAAATCAAACCAAAATCTGTTTGTTAAGACAAAGATGAAAAATGTGTAACTATCACTGTTAGAATTAAATTAATTATTTATGAAACAAATAATTAATTTAATTCTAAATAATAAATGATTCCTCTGGTTAGAGAAGTCTGTTCTGTTGGTTTCCAGAATAACATCAGTAGTGAGCTCGTCAATTTTATAATGTCCACTATTCAGATTCTAATGTTTTAAAATCAACTTCTAAAGTAACCTCTGTTTTATTCTCATCTTCTTTTAAATCTATTGCCTGCTCATTTGGGATCAAATAACCTAACACATCATATGCAGGTGGTATTATTATAGAAGATACTTCTGGTAAAACAACTTTTTTGTTTGACTTTGACTTTGGATGGTGTCTTGGAAACGATAGTTTTTTATCTAAAAGTATTTTATTGGGGCTGTCATTGGAGAGAAGCAATGGCCATAAGAATATAGTATTAAACCTTTCCATTAATAAATTAATTTGCTCTTTTAAAATAGTATTTTTCTTTGCTAATTCATTAATATCCCTTTTACTTGGTATTTTATTGGTGAAGTGTGATATTAATATTCGACAACCAGTTACCGTGGCATAATGTGGCGGTAATACTACTTGCACACTACGGAAAGTATTTTTGCCCCATATATCAGGTGATTCATTAACATTTATGGTCTTTGTATTATTTTTCCTTGAGTAAATTTTTAGTTTTTTTGTATTTATTTCTTCCCGTTTCTCCCCCAAACCTGGATATTTAACAAAATAAGAACTCTGGATGAAAGCATTTTTATCTAATTTAGCTTTCAATAACATAAATAGATATTGTAAATTTGTTACATTCATGTTTTCTATGGATTGTTTAGATTCTTTATGCAATACAATTCCTTCATCCTTTTTTTTATATTCTTCTTCATTAATAGTTTCAGTTGCAAGAGTAGCTACTATAGCATCTTCAATTTCCTGTTCTGAGGATTCTTGAGTTATTCTATTAGATTTCTTTTTAGTAACTTCTGTTTGGATACGTGATTTCAATTTTTCAATTGCTTTATTTAAATTTTGAGAAACACGACCATGACGTAAACGTCGTGCTCCGCGACGGGGCGCTAATTCAATATCACAGTTCGGATTCTGTTTCATCCATTTTTTTAAAGTTATATATCTGGCTCTTAAGTGCCCTCTGTCTTTGCCCGGAAAATGTGTACTCACACTAGAATAATTAAAACTAGAATCTTGATTAGCCATTAGCTGAACTAATTTTTTATCTTCTGCTGCTGTCCACACAATTGATATGCAATTTTTATTTAATACATTGTATCGATTACGCAGCTGTGTTATTGACCTACTAGGAAGATATCGCTTTATTCTTTTGAAATTGGGACCAAAGTTATCAACGCAGGTAAGAATTACAGTGTCTTCTTCAGGCAAAAATCTGCCTTTCCTTTGTTCAGTAAGTCTGAAATATTTGTTATAAACCTGAATTTTAGTACGGTTCTCCATTGCTGCTGCTACTTTGCCCCAAGGAATATATTCATCTTCTTTGTAGTATTCAATAAATCTTTTAAGATATTCTTCTTCTTCTTTAGTCCATTTCTGCCCAGTAAAATTATTGTTCATATTGGTTCTAAAATAAACAAAAGATTGATAACCTGTCCGACCAGAGTTTAATTCCTTTGCAATTTCATCCCAGTTTTGTAAATAATGAGCATGAGCAATTTTCTGTAAAGCTGTATGTTCTGTTTTAGACCAACTATCTTTATTTATTGAAGGATGAAGAAACAATTTCCATAAGGCTCTATATTCTTGAGGTGTATGCCTATAGTTCAGTTTGTTAGCAACAGTTTCCCAATCATATTCTTGGTCTATTGGTAATGCTATATCTTGTAATGGCAATTTATTAACAACATTCAACTGTGCTGTTAAAGACTGTAAAGTTAATTTAATGGACTGAGTTATTTTATTCTTGGGTATTCTTTGTAACTGTGCTATTTGAGAATTCAATTCCCTTGTTTTTAAACTTTGTGACATTTTTTGAATCAAATGCACAAATTCACTTTTATCTTTAACAGTCCATCCTGGTACAGACGCCACAGAAAAAAAATCAAACATCTCAGATTTTAGCATGAGTACTGTGTCTTCATTATTTGGTGCAGGATAATTATCTTTGTCTCTGAAATAGGGCTTACCACAATTAATGTAACGGAAACTTTCTATTTTATCCTGTTTATGAACATCAATGTGTATTTCTGATAATTCAGAGTTACACTCTCGTAAGCGGGAATAGAGCATCCTTTCTAGCCTTTGCAATTTCTCATCAGTGAATTTATTCAATGCTATAGCCATTTCTATTTTAGAATACTTCTGTGCTTTTGAACTGGAGGTGGCAAAACTGCATACAGTACTAGACTTTTGTGAAATTGCATCATTAAAACCAGGTTCATCATCAGTTTCTAGAACTGCAGTTAATTTTTGCAATTCCTTTAACTCTGTCTCTGATTCCTCATCACTATCAATGTCCATGGTTGTACAAAACCTATAAATACAAAATATATTATTACTACCACATTATTTCATTTGAGTTATAGGTACATACATTTAATTTGAGTACAATCAATAGTTACTAAAAAGCAAATATAGAATTGTTGTGGTATGAAACCACACTAATGAAATGCTGTAAAGCAAAATATAATGTGAAAGACATATCTTTGTTAATACATATGTTACCAATATATTTTATCAATAAAATCAAATTTATCATGGACTGTCTAATGACAAACATATTTGTATCTTTTAAAATTACATGCAAGTTATATGCTAACATATAACATATTACCAATAAGTATTGGATTTCAGGTGATATTATTTCTGAAAGCTATTGTTGTTTTCATATAATATCCAGTATTGAATAAAAAACACCCAATATTCTTGATAAGTGAAATGGTTAGAGTGTAACAAAAAATAAGCGAAATATCTCAAAAATATCATATGGTTTCAGGGAAAGTTGTAGAACAAAAGTTGTTTTATACTTTTCAGACCAATACTGTATACCTATATGTATATATTTTTGGTTGGTAAACAAAATTTTGTCATTGCATATTTTACTGATGTAAAAATCAATTTATACATAAGTAATCAACAATTATTCATGATCGGCTTGTCTGCATCCCATTATATGGGATCGGCGGTAGTATATCATCTTTCCCTGATCCCTATCAGATCATATATGAGATTACTGAGTTTATATTGATATCGTATTTCACACAAATCTTTTATCTTATGGAGTATGAGAAGAAATTAATAAATATTATCTGCCTTTATTTTTTCTTGTAAATTGTCCCTATAATAAGAAATCATATACTTACAGATTATTACTAAGTATCTATAATTGTTAACAGTCTAACTTTGTTGTGAATTACTTAATATGTAAACTAAACTATATTTTCAATAGTAATTATTTCATAATAAGCGGTTGAGCATTACATTACATCATTGTGTTATTTATATTTTTTGTTACTAGACTTTAAATCAAATCATGAATTAATCTTTGACACTATTCAAACTTTATTAAAAGTAATTTTATAGTTCATATTCTAATACTTACTGTACTCGTACAATAAATTAATACGTCTGTATTAGTTATATCTAAATATTATAATGTATATTATCTATATTTTTAAGATATAAAATTAAAACTAAGAAAATTTTAATTGTTTTGTAGACTGAACTGATCACAGAATAACAGATAATTGATCAACAAAGAATAAGAATGTACTACTTAAGCACTACATACTGACTGACTGACATATTATTGTAAACTGAAGCAGATAGATATAGATTTGATCAATATAAATCTATGGTTGGTACAACTTCTAGGATTGGCCACACATCCTTTGGAAGTTTTTGCACTTAAATAATTATTTACAACAACATTCACGTCAAAATGAGTTTATCGTACTCTACAGTAATCTTGCGCATAATAGTTTGCGACTCGGATCGCTTAGTTTGATTCGCGGAACTCTTGCGAATTAGTTCGTCCGCTTAAAATTCGAGTCGGATAATAACTCTCACAATGCCCATTTTCTAGGCCCCTAATTTGGTCTCGTCTTATAAACGCTCATTATAATATAATAACTAAAGTCATAAATTTAAGAAAAGTATTTAATCTGTGGTTTACACAACACAGATCACTTAGTTAGTGTCACAGACTCTGAAGTATCTTTTTTGGTCACAGACACAGATCACAGATTTGTTTTGGTATATTTACTTTACTCTTTGAGTGAGGCTGAATATCAAATTAACTTTATATCACTTCTTGCTTTTAATGTAAATAATTATAACAATAATGTTTGTGTATAAGGAATTTTAAACAGACTTTCTATGATTTTTGTAGGAGCCATAAACAGGTTTGTAAACCTTTGGTTCTCAAAAATTATAGTATTTAATGTATTATTTAATATATTAATTAATATTTAATTATTTCAAAGTACCTAATTGTTTTCTAAAATTTCCTGAATGGTTTCAGTATGAGCGAACCGGGAATAATTAGAAAACTTAGTGAAGAAGTAGTGAATCGCATAGCGGCCGGGGAAATAGTACAAAGGCCGTCTAATGCTTTGAAAGAATTAATAGAGAATAGGTAAATATATATTAATATATAAAATATATTTTATATCTTAGTATTTAAAATAGTAATACTGTGCAATATATATGTACAGTGCAATTTAGTCCCAAGCTAAGCAGATATTGTGTTATGGATACTATACAACTAATAGAAATACTGAAAACATATACATATAAAATACAAGCACTCAGACCAAAATGTGTGCATAGTTGCATGTACATGTATGTAGAATGGAATTCACAACCATTAGGAGTATGATGTGCTAAACCGCTAAACCACTGAGGCCATAAACATGTTAAATAATATATTTTTAATTAATTACTTTGAAATGGTGCACTGACCTGTGCTGATGTTGTATGCAGAGAATATGAAGATCAAATCAGATCTGGCAAATTCACCAGGAATCTACTACTCTGGTATCTATGATGAACCATAGTATTGACCTGACTTGGTATATTCCTAAGAAGTGTTTTTCTAGTGGATGATAATGGAATGGTGCTCCTACCTGTGTTAATGGTTTATACTGTCGGGGCACCAGTGGAGGATGATAGAATGAACATGAAGTCAGGTCAGTTAGCCCATTGTGATAAATTTAAAGGAAATTTATCACAATGGTTTCCAGGGGGAACTGCATGGAGGTCAACCAGAAATGGTACATTGCTAGCAATGGGATTGTTACTCCACATCACGAACAATCCCATTTCCCCCTGCTAACAAGTGTTACCACCACCACCACAATTACATGACACAGCACTGTTACAACTGCTAGTGCTTTATTCAATAATTTCTTACAGCTTAGATGCAAAGGCCACTAATATCATTATTACCGTAAAAGCTGGAGGACTGAAATACTTGCAAGTAAGTTATAATAAAAGTAACAATATTTTATAGTTAATATTTTGGTTTGTTCAAATCAACAGATGATCTCAGAGATTGTATTGGATTATTATGAGGACTTTTGTTACAAAATTTATAGTATATTTATTTTATATTTATTTTTTTAATAATAAAAAAGTTCCTGCCCCTGATAAGTAGTCATGGGAAATTTGAAAGAAATTAAATTTAAAGCATTTTTATAGTAAATCAAGTACTCTATTTAAACAAAGTTTTCACTCAATTGTGAGTTCACAACTTGCATATTAAACTATATTTCACACTAACAGTAATATTGGGTATCATCAACTACTGAAATTAAATGATACATATAAATTCAAGAATATAGTCTAATCATAATATATCCTAATCATATTCATAATATCATAAGTTCAATATTTAGTCTACACCTCTGATTTTACAGTCTTGCATGTATTATTATATTTTTGCAATATAGTACATAATTCTGTTAATTTAAGATTCAAGACAATGGGGGTGGTATTAGAAATGAAGATCTTGGCATTGTATGTGAAAGATTTACTACGTCAAAACTTTGTGAGTATGATGACCTGAAGAAAATCAATACATATGGATTTCGAGGAGAAGCACTTGCTAGCATCAGCCATATAGCACATCTCACAATACTAACTAAGACAGCATCTGGAAAATGTGCATATAAGTATGCTATTTATATGTTTCTAATTAAAGTAACAATAATGATGTAGTAATATATGTATGTAGTAATAATGATGATAAACAGTTCACAATAAAGACTAATTGAAAATAATATTGTTAACAGGAGGGACTATATTTTTTTATATATTTGAAATGGCAAGCAAGCTGGTAGTCCACCTGTTGGTAGGTGATAACCAACACATATACTACAAAAAAACTTTACTTATAAGTGGCTAATATATTTTACATGAATAAATTACTTATAATTATTTGATTTGATATATATATGAACAACCCTATGTATATTTCATATCATATGAAGTTGTCATTCCTCTATATTCCGAAGTTTCATTGGCATCGATATGTAATTATGACGCCTAGATAAGCAACTATAAATTCTGTGTCCAGTAGATCACTAGCATAGAAAGCTGTATAGTATTAAGTTTGCTATACTGTGTACATTTAAACTATACTACTATATGTAAATAAAACGATATTGAGAAATAATGAAATACTGAAAACAATATTTCTAGAGCTTCATATGAAAATGGCATATTAAAAGGGCCAATAAAAGCATGTGCTGGTAATAATGGTACACAAATCACAGTTGAAGACCTATTTTACAATGTGATAGCCCGTAAGAAAGCCCTACGTAGCCCCACAGAGGAGTATGCCCATATTTTGGAAGTTGTTGGAGGATATGCAATACACAATAGTCATGTGGGTTTCACTTTGAAGAAATTTGGTGAGAATACTGATTTGAAAACTGCAATAAACTCAACTATACTTGAAAATGTTAGAATAGTAAGTATTTCAGTCAGAATCTATGCTTATCTAAGTTTCTGAGAATCAACAGCATTTGTTTTTAATCAACCCACTAAAAATAAGTTTAAAACTTCGAGCTTTAACCCTTAAACCCTTTTTTCATTAAAAAGTAGCCTATGTTCTTTCTCAGTGTCAAGACTACCTGTGTACGAAATTTCATTTAAATCGGTTGAGTACTTTTGATTTCAAAATGCGACAGACAGAATTACGTTCGCATTTATAATATTAGTAAGGATTTTAAACATTATAATAAGACTATTTTTAATTTATATGTAACTTAATTGTTATTAAAGCACCATAGGATTAACAAATATGTATATTTAATTTACAGATACATGGAAATAGTATAGCACGCGAGTTAATGGAAATCGAGGCAAAGGACACGGCACTGAAGTTGTCGCTCCACGGCTTCATCACAAATGTAAATTACTCTCACAAAAAAGGCGCCTTGTTACTATTTATAAATCACCGTTTAGTTGAATCTCAATGTAAATAATTGTTTCGTCTAATTTATAGATTTTTTATATACTGAGAGTCGCAATCGTGCACACGATTTGCCTGATGTCAAGGGATGACTTAATTCGGAAATTTACCAAATTTGATTTTATGGAATACTATTCATATGATTAAGAATGTGGTAATATAATAAAGAATCTCTGTATTTGTTTCAGCTATCCGTAAAGCCGTAGATTCAGTTTATTCCACTTATTTACCAAAAAATGCACATGCGTTTGTTTATCTTAGTCTGGAATTAGGTAATACATTATTTTATTATACAAAAATTTAAGTATACAGTTAAATATGTACAGTACGTACATATCCGAACCGCCTCCCCTATCCTAAATTTCTATACTTTCTCATACGTCGCAATTTCATCACGGAATATTCTAATTTCGCACTCGGCGTGGATGAAGTTTGAATCCTATTTATGCTTTGAAATAGTTCTCTATGATTTTTTTAAAATCTACATTTTTTTCAAAAACAGGAATTTGTATGATATCATGACTGTTTCTATGATTGGTTTTATGTCTAAATATATTGCAGATCCAAAAAATGTTGATGTAAATGTACATCCAACTAAACACGAAGTCCAGTTTCTATATGAGGAACAGATTATTGAAAAAATAAAATCTTGTATTGAAAGCAAATTATTAAGTTGCAATTCCACAAGAGTTATGTACACACAGGTTAGTACCCACAACAATTAATTTTATGTATATTTTTTAGCCTAGCATTTCAAGAACGATCTCGCGTTATATCGCTGGTTCAAAATATTATTTCGAACATTTTAGTAGCATTTATTAACTGTATAGTCATGTTTACAAAATCAAGAAAACATATTTCTTTTGTTGATTTCTAATATATATTTTTGTGTAGATGAGCTGAACGTGCTTGTTATTAATAAAATGATAGTTTTAAACAAAACATCTATACTTATTTCAGGCTCGTCTACCGGGTGCTACCACAGTTGAGGAGATTGTAAAAAAAACAACTGACAGTGCAAAAGTGTATGCTCATAATATGGTACGGGTCGATGCTGACGCTCAAAAAATAGACAAATTCTTTCCTGTTATGACTAAACCAATAGAAAGTAAACCGCCGGAAACAGATAAAACTATTGACGATCCACAACACAGCGAAATGGAAATGGAGGTGGACCAACAAGAAATCGTGAATAATAAAGAAAATGTAATAGGCGATGATTCCAATTTAGTTATGGAAGATGCAGATGTTTTAGCAAATTCACTAATTAATGAACCTAATGAAACAAATAAAATGCCGGACAAATGGAAATATTATACTGCAACTAATCAAACCAACTTATCGTACATAGATCCGAAAGAATCATTCAAGACTAGGAAATTTCAATACGAAAGAATAGACACTAGATTGTCTAGCATTAAGGGGTTACGATTGGAAGTAGAAAATAAATGTAGTAATAACTTAAGAGAGATATTAGCAAATTTGATATTCATAGCGTGCATAGATTGTCACAAGTCCCTGATACAACACTCTACGAAATTGTATCTTTGTAATACTATAAAATTAACGTGAGTATAATTTTATTCAATAATGTATAAATAGTGCATATACCTATAATACAAAATTATAGTCAGTAGAATTTGAAGGACGGAAATGAGGACGATGAATGATTGAATGTTCTACTGCCGTTATGCAAGGAATAGTGACTAATATTTGCATTAAATTCAGATTATTTTACAAGCCTCAAATAGTGCAAGTAATTTTAGCGAAACGATGATATAAGGAAACTTAAACATTATATATATATTATATTATATATATTGTAATTGAATATTATAGTTTCAAAATAATAACATCTCAAACTTTAGTTTAGATAATCTGATCTGATCTTACAGATTTTTGTATCGTATTTATTTAACGATATTGTACGATTTCCAGAATTTCGGTTTAATAAAACTATCGAACCCTTTGCCATTAGAAGAATTGTTTGTCCTTGGTCTCAATGCACAAGATGCAGATTGGAATTCTGAGTTAGGTATGAAATTACTTTTTTTATGTGATATTAGGTTTTAGTACAATGGATCATATACAAACATTGGAACAGATAATAGAAAAATATAATGAATTTAATAGACCTTTATACTTGGCATTTATCGACTATAATAAGGCCTTTGATAGCATTAGTCACAACGCTATATGGGCAGCATTGAAAACGTTTGACATTAATGAAAAATACATAAATATTCTGAAATATATATGTGCAAATAGTACTAGTAGAGTAAAATTAGAGACTAGGGGAGATACAATAAAAATCGAAAGGGGAGTCAGACAAGGCGATCCCTTGTCACCTAAATTGTTTATTGCTTTATTGGAAAATATATTTCGGAAATTAAAATGGCAAAGTAACTCTTACCTAAGTCATCTCAGATTTGCAGACGATATAGTTGTACTGGCTGAGACACCGAAAGAGTTGCAGACCATGCTAAATATGCTTGATCAAGAAATCCTGCATTTCGAAACAAATTCGAACAAAACTAAAATAATGACTAACAGCCTAGAAATACCTATCAAAGGAAAAGAACATAAAATTGAATATGTAGACCAGTATATATATTTAGGCAAACAAGTATCATTTAACAAATTAAATAACGACGAAGAAATAGGAAGGAGATGTAATATAACATGGAAAAAATTTTGGTCACTTAAAAAAATTTTCAAAGATAACTACCCCATATACATGAAGAAATTAGTTTTTGATACATGCCTTTTGCCCTGTTTAGTATATGCCAGCCAAACATGGACGTTTACAAAAAGAACATCACAAAAAATTTTAACAACACAAAGAGCAATGGAGAGATGTTTACTGGGAATAAGAAAGAAACATAAAGTAAGAAGTGAAAAAATTAGACTGCAAACGAAATTAACCGACGCAGTCAACCATGCCCTGCAACTCAAATGGCAATGGGCAGGTCACATCTCACGTGTTACAGATGGTAGATGGACTATTAAAGCTACAAAATGGAAAGGACCAAACGGAAATAGGAAAGTTGGAAGACCAATAAGACGGTGGGCTGATGATATTGTAGACTATATAGGAAAAGACTGGTTAGCTATAGGAAAAAACGAGACGAGAGAATATTGGAAAAAGATGGAGGAGGCCTTCACCCAAAGAGGGGTCCATATCTACAAATAATATAATTATAATTGTAATATAATACTATAATACTAACAAAGAGATCAAAAAAAAAAAATTACTAACAATTTTTTTTTTTTATTTGTACAAACTTCTGGATGGTTATGGAAATAAAAGGCTTTATTATATTATATTATGTGATATTATACACATATTGTCGTAAACTAATTATTATATTATATATATATATATATTTCTTAAAAAGATATAGCTATTTAAAAAAAATGTCATTGTATCATAAAAGCCTCACTTTGATTAACCATGATTCCATTTTTGTTTTACATTAGAGCAGTCCGTTAACTTCTAGTGTATTTATAAGTTCCTAAAAATGTGTATATTTTATTACTAGGGGACATGCACGAAATGGCAAAACAAATGACCAATTTGTTAATAAGTAAAAAGGCCATGCTAATGGAATATTTCTCTCTGGAGATAAGCTCTGATGGTGAATTATTGTCATTGCCGTTACTGCTAGGTAAGTTTATAATTCCCTTGTTTAATACGAGTAGTTTGAAATACGCAGTGAATTTATTCGGTATTCATTGTAATCTATATTTTACAAAAATAATGATATAGTTTTATAATTTCCAATTATTTGAAGATACAAATTATTGTTTACTTTTTAAGCCAATGTAAATGACACTTTATTTCTCATAAATATATCCTAAAATAGTTACAACTAACAATGATATTTAGATTATAATTATATTTATATTATTATATCATTAATCTTCAGATGGTCATACTCCCTTCATGGGCGCATTGCCAACGTACTTAGTGCGACTTGTTACTGAAGTCAACTGGAATTTGGAAAAAGAATGCTTCGACACCTTCAGCCGTGAAACAGCTATATTTTATTCACAACCAAATCCAGATTCTAACACTGAAGTAGCGAAATCGGAACACTGGAAGCAGGAACACGTAATTTTTCCCGCCATTCGACGAAATTTCTTACCGCCTACATCTTTTGTGAATAATGGCGCAATATTACAAATAGCTAGTTTAAATGATCTATACAAAGTGTTTGAACGATGTTGAACATTGTTTTTTGCGTCTAGTTTTTGCATAAATAAATTTGATTGACAATATCTTACTTGTTATTAATATCCTAATATAATAAACGCGGAAATTTGTGTGTGTGGATGGATGTTTGTTACTCCTGTCACGCAAAAATTACAAAATGGATTTTAATGAAACTAATATATGTATAGTTTATACATCAGAATAACTCATAACTATAAATTTCACTCGGCCGAAACCGCGGGACATCTAGTTTATATAATGAAAGGAATTAAATTATACAAAAGAACAGGACATTTTTCCTGTACAAGTCAAGAAATTCGTAATATAATCACCAAATCTAAAGACACAATGTTGAATCACTAACTCAATATTTTCATTCTGTAGTTTAGGTACTTACTGTTAAACTATGTCCACTTGTTTCTATATCACCATAAACTGATTTAACCCCGAAAATTTAGAGTAGTACACCCTGAAGCCACTTTGCGCATTTTTGGTAAGATTAAGGTCAATTTGTTTTTTTGTAATAAATAAAAAAGTTCTGATTTATCAATTTTATTAAACAAAAAGACAACTTATTTCCTATGCGTCAACTACATAGTTGGGATGTACCACTAGTAATGGGTCATCCTCTATCTCCTGCTCCGTGGATTTCTGGGTTGCCTTCAGCCCGGTAGTTGATAAAGGAATAATTACTTGGTCCTGTAAAAAAGACAAAACAATTACTTAATAATTATTATTCATAACTTTAAATGACGTGAAAAAATAACAATGTTTGTCACTCAGTATTGATGACAATGTTGTTTTTATTATTTACTAGCTGTACCAACTACTTCGTCGCGAAATTATACTTTATTTTTCTAAAATAAAAGTAGCCTACTTATTACATTAGCTACCTGCCAAAAAAAGTACCGTTAAAATCGGCCCAGTCATTTCAGAGATTAGACAGACAGACTACAATTTAAAAGGTGTTATTTTGGTGCATGAACCGTATTTATATTCATATGCATGTAGTAAAAAACGGTTATTTCAATATTACAAACAGATACTCCAATTTTATTTATATGTATAGATATCTTCTCATAAATACTCCACTAGTACATAGTACTTTTTGACAGAAATTCTTCAATCACTTTTATTATAGTCTGAATGAATACATTCTTACAAACAATATTATGTCATAAAATCAAAAATTTTTGCCCATGATTTTTTTTTGTTTATGTTACCACATGAAGAATTATTTAATTTTATATTATATTACATTATTTAATTATATATTTAATTTAACATTGTACTAAGTTAACTGGCGAACATGGGTAATATTCTCGTAGGGATAGAACTCTGAAGTAGGATATTAATGTATTTGTATTATAATGCTATGGTCTGTGAACTAGTGACATTGTTAAATAATAAAGAAACTTACATGGTACATGAGGCGATCAATCACTTTCTCTACAAGGGTTTTCCTTTCAAGTAGTTCATCTTCATTTTCAATATGCCCTTGTGAAACTAGCTGTTCCAGGTACCAACTCACTACTGCACTCTTACGCATACCAGAACTCTCCTCTCCTAGTTTAAAAATAGAACAATGTCCTTAAGTTATATGTGATAAATATTAAGGATAAAACGTAATTACAGTGGTAAATAAAAATATATAGTAACATATTGAAAAGTGGCAAATGAAAACAATTTTGTAGATGTAACATGGCAGTCGTTAACACGCGGTTGACGTCTCTTGTAAGTCTTATTATTGTGTAGTTAAATAAAATACTGACAACTGAATTATCAAATTTATAAATAGATTTGGCTGTACCTCACATGCCCACTATGTGCTTCTTGCCTGTAAAATGGTTGCCTCTGGTATTAAAAATTGAGCGGTACCATACCAGTGAAGATAAACAAATTTTAAGGGAACTAAAATATAAATATTCATCAAATTTTACCTCTAGTTTCCGTCTCAGCCTCTTCCTTTCTCATGAACACCACAAGCATATCACTAAGAGCTTTGTAATCTTCAAATGACAATGTAAGCTTCTTTTTGGGCGCCGAGTCTCCATTCACGTGGCCGTCTGAAATTATCAAGTGAAAAATATACCTATAAACTCAGAAATTCTAGAAATACAAGATATTACTCTAATCATATTAGATACGGTTCCAATCTGACCTGATTGTTGATTACTATGAAGCCATAGAGTTAAATCTTTGGTTAGCAAAATATAAAATTATATTTGAAAGGAGGTTTCTGCCTCAAACCACTTCATTCTAGTGTTTAAGAAAAAAATGTGCATTTTTAATAGTTTAATAAAGTAGTTATGTCTAAGTATCTACAGAGAAAACAACACTACTCACTTGTACTGCCAGTGCCATTAGGTAAGTCCTGATCAACATCCATGGTAGGCTCAAACTGTGGATCATCTTCATCCAAGTGTATATCTGGCTGTTCAACTCTAATAATGGATTTGTTCAACAGTCTGAAATATATACATTACTTTGTGTTACATAAATATTATTGATTTAGTTATTTTAGGAAAATAGCCTAAAAATATCTGTGCTGGGGAGCACCCTGAGTCACTTCTTATATTGGTCCGTCAGTAGCGAAATCGAGCCCAATTTTACATAGTCTACCCGCCGAACATATTTAAGCCCCACGATGTTTGTTTTATGAGACATTAGCATATTTAAATAAAGATGGTGGCAATTATATAGACACTAATCTCAGCAACACAAGAAGTGACCAGAAAATAAAATTATTCCAACACCCTTTTTGCAGAATACAAAATTCGTACATTTTCTTTAGAATAGAAAATCATTTATTCAAATAAACTTACATTGAAGCACTTTTGAATAGTCATAACATTTTTTTTTTTTTACTCAATCCATTCCAACCGCACCACAATCTTCAATTGCTGCAAATCGTAACATGTGTACCTGTAAGCCTCGTGTACGTGTTGAGGCGCGACATGTCCGCTACAGTGCATCTTGGCCATGGCCTCCGCCAGCCGGACCATGGACTCCAGTTGCCTTACGGTGATTCGCCATGCGCCGCCTCCTGCTCCGCCCGTTCCGCTGCTGTCGCGTGATCGTAATGCGGAATAGTACTCCACTAGTAACTGGCCAGCTTCCTATGGGTGCAATAACAATTTGTCTTTTATATCAACAATCTTCATTGGATAACTTGAAAATATGGTATATATACACATATATCTACATATTGTATTGTTATCGTGAGTAACACTTCATACGGAACAAGTATAATATAATCTTTTTTTAGTTAAAAATACGAAAATTTAAAATTAAAAGATAAAAAAGTTTTTACGAGGGTAAGAAGTATTTCAAAAAGAAATAGCTTTCCACTAGTCAAATAATGTAACAAAAATCCTTGATAGTATTTTTTTACCAATTGGAAAAAGTCTGAGATACTTAAACAAACAGATATACAATACAAAAAATTTAAGAATTTAACTTGATATTTTTTTATTACTCTTGTGTATTAATTTTGTGAGCCTACAATTTAATAAATGTATTTTTTTTTATTAAACAAGTTTAAATATAGTTTTAATAAGTGTTATAATGTTCTACAGGTATAATTTGGAAATAACTTACTTCTGTAATAATAGGCTTGAACGATCTCGCAAATGCAATATATCTCAGCAGATCTTCTCTAGAATATACACAGTCATATGTCTCTTCCTTATTACAGTGGAGATCCACAATCTTCCGAGCGATAGCATAGTCAACCATTTCGCTACTCTCATCTATTAATATGAAGAATAAATCAAATCTGGACATGATGGGTGCACTCAGTGCGACATTTTGTTGCAGTGATTTTGCGCGGTCATACCTACCACCAATGGGGTTGGCAGCGGCCAGAATCGATGTACGTGCATTAAGAGTCGCACGAACGCCAGCCTAAAACAGTATAATTGTTTTAAAAAGAAGCTAACACAAAATGTTAAGACACATTCACTTTGCTAACGAATTAAAATTAGAATATACATTTTTTCTAATATATTAAATAATATTTAACTATACAGAAAACTAACGCTATTTTTTTGCTTTTCTTAAAAAATAGCCTAAAAATTTGTAAAATTTAGATAATGTTCAAGATCCGTTTATTACATAAACATACTTTCATATTTGTAATATTAGTATAGATTTTGAATTCAATATCTACATTGTCTGTAAGAGACTGCTTTATGTGATAAAGTCGCCTTTTAAGCACATTTAAGCAGTGTTCTATGTTTACTTACTTTCCTAATAGGCATGAATGAGTTTTTATTACTAGAATTAAGTCATATTGTTTAAGGTTATTCAGTTGCAAGTTAAGCAAAATATTAGCCACATTTGTTACCTTGGCTATTGATATTGTCTGCTGTTCCATAGCCTCGTGGATGGCTACCTGATCGCCAGGGTCCATCTTGTCGAACTCATCTATACAACAAACCCCATTATCCGCCAACATTAACGCGCCGGCTTCTATTACAAAGTCGAATGATTCCTCGTCCTAAAATCAAGTAATGGTAGATAATAATGTAATAAATAAAAATTAGAGGATTATTCCATGCAATTCTTAATAGAGACAACATAGGCAGATTCTTTGATAACTAGTACAATAAGCTTAGGATGTAGGGTTGTTTTGGATGTGTTGTCTGTCCAGTTTCTCAAAATGTAGAATATCAAATGTATTTTGGTTAATATTTTTTATTGTTCGGTTTATGGACAATATCATATATATTTGGGTCATCATAGTTATTTATCCATGATGATTTAATGTTACTATTAGAACACCAAATTGATGATTTAATTATTGTTTTCAGTAAACCAGTATAAATGCAAATATGTATCTCTATTATTATTAATAGGTGGAGATTCCAATATTGATTACTAACTATGCCCGCGGGTTATTATATACGACTATTTTTTGCGTGAAAGAGTAAGAAACATCCATAATTAAAACTTTCGCCTTTATAATATTATTATTAACATTACCTTTACAACGGCTGCTGTGAGACCCGCGGCCGAAGAAGCTTTCCCGCTGGTGTACACCGCTCGTGGCGTGATCTCGCTTACTTGCTTCAATACTTGTGACTTCGCCGTACTTGGGTCGCCCACTATACATACGTTGATATCGCCACGAAGTGTAGTCCCTTTAATAATATTGAGATGATGATTTTTAATTACATCTAAGGTTGAGATGGCTTTTTTTTATCTTAAATTAGATTAGATTAATTACATCGAAAAACAAAGAAATAGACCACAAAAATCTTAAGTAATAAATGGGCGATAGACTTATCCCATTTTATTTTAATTTAAATTTGTCAATTTGTTACTTTGCAGACATTTAGTATAATTTATAAAAAAAAATATGTAAAACATCACTAACTTCTAAACTCCTCGAGATTTCATTCAAGTTATTGATAAGAAGAAAAAGTCCTTGAGTGTTAAGTGTATAAATGAGCAATGAAAATAATTGTATACCTTCCATAGTTGTTTTAGCAACTCCTCCAAAAAGCATGAGCAATATCCCCCTTTTTACTTCATTATTACCATGTATGCTTGGGAACAAACTCGCAATCAAGTTGTTATACAAATTACGATCTCTCGACATTTCATATACCTACAAAAAGTACAAATCAGTTAAGAGAATTACCATTATTAGTCAAATTGGAGATAAAGAAAAATTAAATCAAATTTAATTAATAAATATAATGGTCCAAAATTACCTTATCCCACTCCTTATCAGTCATCTGTTTCCTCATATCCTCTGTGGTGAGATCATCAGTGGCTAGTTCCGCAGTACCAAACCTGCGTGATATTGCTTGCACACTGCACGCCAAAAACGCTGTCCTACAAAACAAGAAAAATGTATTACGGTCATGTAATATAATACAATTATAATATGAAAGAGTCCACAGTTACATGGATTTCAAAACAATGTTTGGTAATTTTTTTTTCATTATGAAATAAAGATAATAATAGTTAATGGTTGTTACTTGTAATGCAATTCTCTGACTCCCAATGCTTTTAGGCCCTTAATTCCCTCCATTTGACCTTCATTGGCCTGCCTGGTCCTTGTGGTAAGCTCTGCTTTTGCACCAGGTAAGGAAAGAGACCCAACATCGGGAACAACAATTAAGGTTCCAGTGAAATCATAGCGGTCACCAGCCTGAAATAGATTTAAAGTTTTAACAAAGTATTAACTTGGTTGGATGTTTCAAATTATGATCAACAAAATATCTGAATTTGTTAATATAATAAATAATTTAAATAGATTTGAAATGGTTGTTAATTATAATTATTACTTACATACAATTAATTAACATACATTACAATTTATATTTTACCTGCACGGATTCAACAGCCTCAGCCCTCAGTATAACCTCAAGTGAACGGGGGATACATCCCCTCGGTAGCTCTGCCTGAGTTTCCTGTATGCGTATCTTTTGGAAGTCCACAAAAACGGACTTGTCTGCATCCAGCATAAACCGTCTACGATTCGCACATACTGGATTACGGCAAATAGTTGGGATTGTGTACTATAAGAATAATTATTATAAAACTATATGTATAACCAGTTTATTAATTACAACATATAATAAACATATTTGAATATATTTTTAAAGCCATTAAGTATATAATAATAATAATAATAATATCGGGACGATTTACATCCAGACCCAAGTTAAGCTAGCTAAAGCTTGTTATGGTGGTGGTGGAGTTATTGTACTAGATAAATGATACAAATACATAAATATTTTTGTCAAGTCAGACATAAACTTGTTTGTATAGTTTGTGAAGCCAGAGGAATCAAACCAGCAACTATGGGAAGTAAGGTATTGAGAACACATAGGCTGTCAAAGTATACACTTACCTTAAATTGTTGTTCAACATTTTTAATGACAGTTTGACAGTCTAAGCAAACAAAAGTGCCCAAGACCAGCTCAGGGTGCACTGGGTGAGTTCGGACAATCTGTCCTGATATTCTGATCAGTGTACCAATTTTAGCTGTCGTCAATTCTCTTACTTTATGTCTAGTAGGTACATCAACAAATGATATATAACATTCTTTATCTTGTAAGTCTTTTTTCATACCACTGTCGGCCTGACTCAACACATAGTTGAAAATAGCTTGATTTAAAAATGGATAAATGCGGTAGTACTCCTCAATAATAGTGGTTGCAAGATTCTGGTTGTATTTTTCGATATCGTCAAAACTGACTTCTAGTGTACTTAATTCAGGTTTCAATAATTCTTTTGCGTGTTTTTCATATTTAATCTCATTGTCTTCTTTGAACCTGAATATAGAAATTAGATAAAATTTACAATGTACTCAACTGAAACGAAACTAACCTCAATGTTATAGTCAGTTAAATATATGTTATTCAACGATTTGCAATTAATAAAACATTAATGAAATTAATCTAATTACATATATAAACACTTACTCTTCAAGAAAGTCTTGAAAAAGTTTTTGACATCGTACACCAACTTCGTCTCTAACTTGACTTTGCGTCGCAAAAGTATCGGCGACATCCATACTGTTATTAGTAAAATAACACTAGTCAAACATAAACTTAACAGTATTCAGTTTTGTAATCAAGTAACAAACAATGTTTATATATTTAAACTCTTTTTGGAAATAATACTTTTGAATAAACACAAAAAAACAGTTAATACAACAGTTTTGACATATTCTTTTAATTCGTTCAAAAAAAATCTTTGTTTGGCATTTTGGCGGGAAAATCAGCTGGGTTGCAATCTTAGACTGTCTTCCATATACAGAGGAGCTAAATATTTCAGCTTTCAAATAAACCTCATATTTTGGGGAGACTGTGACAGGAATGGTTCTGTTAATCTTAAATTAAAAGTAGTTTTAAATTGTGTTTTGTATTATTATTGTTTCATTTGTTTTCCTGGAACTTATTTTTATTTTGAAATAGCTACGAATCCAAGTAAGTTTATTTTTTTAATGACTTCACTATATAAATGGAAAATAACAGTTTGATTCCATGCAAATGTAACAGTTGTGCAAATGTTTGCTTGTAGTGAATAATTATATAATTCATATATAAAAATATTTTATCCTTATGACACAGTACGGTTAAAAATAAATGACCAATATGAAATTAAACAGGTAGATATAGACAGAATATAAAGAAACGTAAAAACACGAATAATAATGATAATAATTCTATAAGAAAACAAATCCTTCTTTGTTATAAATGAATTATCTTAACGCATATAGACTGCGTTATAAAGCTGACAGAATAAACACATAAAAAATTATTTTAAGTCACGTATCATTTATATATGAATATTTTAGGGTATTAAAATGTAAGGCAAATTCAACATAACTAAAGAAATAATTAAATGTTAACTTTAACTGGTCTATTTATTTAAATTTTAGGTGCTAAAATAAAAATAATTGTATGAGAAAATAATATTTTTATATAAAAATACTATAGATCCTATAACCCCATTAATTACATTATTCAGATATCCTCCAATTTTCATTATATTAGTAGACAATTATTGCTACTTCCTTTTGACTATTATTAAATGAATATCCATAACATTAGTGTTGGTATGTCCAGTGACTACATGAAAATCACCATTACTATATTTATCATAGAAATTGTAGGAGTCGTTATCATTTAAATATTTATTCACATCAATGTCAAGATAATGTGAATTCGTAACCAAATCTAAATGGCCAATTGCACCTGCGGCATCTGTCGGTCCATCGATACCGTCTGTTCCAGCACATAGTATATATATTTCAAAATCCTTGAAATACTCTTTTATGTTATGGATATAGTTTGAAAACTCAAGAGCAAGCTGTTGATTTCTACCACCTTTGCCGGTTCCTTTTACATCTACTGTAATTTCTCCTCCGAGCACAAAACATATATCTTTTCCTTTTAAATACATAGAACTAATATTATCTACAAAATCTGGCTTTATTCCTGGTATTTTCAGATTTTCTGTTTGTTCCCTTAAGTCCCTTGAGCTTAATTTTCCATTTAAATATTCACAGAATACTTTAGTTAGCTGTACATATTGATTTGCTACCTCTGATACTTTACCCGTAACAGCATTTGATAATTCCACTGGCACATAATTTAGATTTCTTGCTTCATTCAAAGCTGCTTCAATACTTAGTCTATTGGATCCTATTAAATAATTTTTTACTTTTGTGGATGGAAATGGATGAGAATTGTAACTGTATTTTAAAACTTTTTTGATGGATTCTGGAAGGTTATTCTGCAATTTATATTTATTTATAATATCGAATGTTTTTAAAGGACTATCTAGATTTTCGGTAGTTGGGCCACTTGCTATAAAATCCAAAGGATCTCCAACAATGTCTGATAGTATTAGAGAAATCACTTCGGCTGGTTGAGCTTTTATCGCTAATTGGCCTCCTTTCAAATCCGATATACTCTTTCTAACTGTATTAAGTTCTGATATATCAGCTCCAGAATTTCCTAGGTCTTTTATTAATCTGGTTTTTTCCACCAATGTTATTGGGCCCTTAGGCAATGGTAGTAAGGCTGACCCACCTCCTGATACTAAAACTATAAGTAAATCATTTTCATTAAGTTTTGATATAATATCTTTCACTTTCTTTGCTGTTTTCTCAGCATTAGAATCCGGTAAATTATTTTTTGCGCCTTCATAATAAAACATGTTATTATTCATTGAGTTATGAGTACAGCTTCCTACAGGAATGCTTATAATGCCATGCTTGATTTTTGATCCAAGGATAGTTTCCATCTCTATTGCCATATTTTGAACGGCCTTACCAAAGCCAATAACATAGACATTCCTGTTTTTTAAGTTATAGTTTTCTCTAAATACAGTCAGTTGTTGATTACTTGCATTGAATTTTATCGAGTTTTTAATAAGATTCTCTGGAAGCACTGCTGACACACTACTCTTAAATATTTGAACTAAATCACAGATAACGGACTTAGCCATGTTGAAATACAGATTTCTGGACAATAAAAATGATATCCTACACTGTACTTGTTGTTGACCGTATTAAATGTCACTACACTACTGAAAAAAGAAGTAGGTTATCCCGTTATCGAGGTCATTGATGAATAACACAAACAATCACTTAATAATGCCTACGATAAATTGTATTTGATCAAGAGGTTTATTTTTATATGTACCTACATTATTAAATAGACTAAGGTAATGAACCAATATTATTATAACCTTAAATAGTTATTTATGATTTTCGTGTAATTCCTGTTTATCCTCAATATTCAATAATAAATAAATTACGTATTTAATTTCTCAGGTCAGCAGGTCATTGGGAATTTTTTTATTGATAAACAATGAACCGATGAGCGACAATAGTGTTAATTTGATAACTGGCACTGGCATGCACAAAGTATATAGATCACAAACTAAATAAATAATACAATTAGAGTGAGCTAACGCTCCACCAAATAATTATATATTATTCATAGATGATAAAAATACAGCAAAACAGTATTGACTTATTGGGTTATAGTAAACAGTGTGACCATCTCAAAAATAATATATGATTAATATTATTATTGTTTATTTGATGATGAACAATGACTCATTGAAATTTATTCTAATATATTAGTAAAACTACATCCAACAGTATGCTAATAATATTATAACAGTCCAAGACAGACTTTCATTTTAGTGGAAATGGAATTTTAATTAAATTTAGAGGGATAGCAAGGCTGTTCTGGCAATCTTATACAGTAGCTTCTTTATATAATTTTGGCACCCCATGTTTGTTACTTTTTTTATTAATATGTTTTATGGCTCTGAATACAAGTGTGTGTATCGTCTATCACTGTAATTTGTCTATCATGTATAGTTCCTTTGCCTTTCCTATGATATAAACAATAAAAAAGAAACAAAACTCGAGCGACTAATCTGTGATTTTCCGAGTATATTCACAATTTAACCCGTTCTTTTCCTTTATCTCGTCTCGTTTCCTGTTTTTAGTGGCATAAAAGGCAACAGCCTCTTGCCAAAGAAAATTAAAAAAAAAAATCTGTGATGATAAAATTTTGTTCCAACTTGTCAAATCTTTGCCTGTTCCATCACTGAAAAGGAGATGGACGAATATGGAAAAAAAAAAAAATTTTGTTCCAACTTGTCAAACCACAAAAAGAAAAAAAACAAAGTTTTGTTAAATGTGGTTGTGATGGGGTTTCCAATTTTTCTTTAAGTTTTTTCTGTTTTATATTGGTGTATTCGGACAGCCAGTTTCAGAAAACAGTACTTTTAAACATTGGTGTTGCAATTTCAGTTTTAAAATTCTAATATAAATAAATAAAATTTGAAAATATTTAAGTGTATTTTTCGGTGTGTTTGTGGAACTACCGTCACTAATCCTTAACTGTTGGTGATCATTATGACTGAGAGTCGTGTCGGATTCCTTTATAATGCAGCTGAAAATCTATCCTTGCAGTGTCAGACGCGGTTACTGAAAAGTTACTATTTGTAAGAATTTTTAACTACTATACTTAATGAAATAAAATACGTATAAGATGTAAATATGTATATGTTCTTTACAGATCAGTACCTTACGGTCTACTCTGCAGTCTGATAATAAAATTTAATGTAATTTAACCCATTTGTACTGTTTCTTTGAAATATAACAAAATAAATCAGTAGGAATGTTAGTCAGTTAAGTCCATGGAACATGAAATATGTTGTGCAATCCACTGTCATCTTTTTTCCAAGTTTCTTTATTATTTTATTTATTTCATTCAGTTCATTTTAGTATATAAAAAAATAAAAGTATATTATTCACCCTCGAGGACATAGCTGAAAACCAGTGTTTTGCTCCTTGAGTGATTCTCCACATTGAGCTATGTACCAGTATTTTGTATTGCTGTGACACACATGCAGGTTTACCCTTTTTGAATTGTTATATTATAGGTACTTGTCATGTGATGTTATAATTAAGCCTATATGTGTGTACTAAGACACAAATAAAAACTATTATCTATCTATCTTTTATGTATTTTATTTTAATAGAATATTTTGCATTTAATATTTTAAAAACAAAATGTGGAACCATTTTGTATTTTTTATTTCACATGCAAATAGTATTTGTATTTTCTACTTAACAACATATTGTAAACTATATTGCAGATCTCTGGTCATATATATTTCATTGATGACTATTATTTTAGAGATTATTCTCTAATCTATCACTTTATTATTACAGAATGAGATGCAAAGAGGTATCAAAAGGGAGTACTCTTCCGGAGAAATATTTTTCCCGTAAAGTGAGGTGTTCCTATTGCTGCCTTGAATGGAGTAGTGGTAGTAAAGTGCAAGTAAGTTATATCTATATTTTGTATATCAACTTAAAAAAAAATATTTAGATATTAGTACCTATTCTCTATATTTGTAGATACTATATGATTTTAGTACAATTTATGTTGTTCTTAAGTATCTGGTAAGGCTTAAATGCATATTAATTACTGTGTATATTATCTTTTTTTACTGTATATATTGAAATTATAGGAAATTTTCACATTTTAAATATAACAGATGATTGTAAGAAACAGGATACAAAGATATAATTTATTGTTTTTAGATAAGAACAAAGAAAATCTGCAAGAAACAAAAGAAGAATATACAGTCTCGAAATAAAAGGAATAATATTAATAAAGAAATATTTACCAAGGAGTTAGTAAGTACTCAACTTAGTCTTAAAAGTAATACTTATTTTTTAATTTTTGTGTTTAGTACAATTTAGCATTATAGTGAGTAATTGACATACTTGTAAAGTCTTGAGAGTTTAATCAATACATATAATATATATTTACCTCTCATATACAATATATTATTCTTAAGTTTATTTATTAAATCCTAAGACTAATATATAAAATAAGTAAGTAATGACCTTGACCTGTTTTTACAATTACAGGAACAAATATGCTCATTTTGCAAAAATACTACAGTTGTACCATTATCAAGATCTAACAAGAACAAGACATGTGTGGCAAAATCTGTTATTAAAGAGAATATTACAGAAATAAAAACTACATCAAATAAAATTAAACCTCAAATAAAAATTGAAAAGGAAGTGAAGAAAGAAACGCAAATTAATGTATATGCAAATGCTAAAGATATATTTTCATTGAAGAATGAGAATAATAAATTAACAAATATAATGAATAAACCACCAAAAATTATAAAGAATAGTAATAAAAAGAAAAATAAGTTTGCAGGTCTCTGCGAGAAGGCTGTTTTAGCCTCAGCTAAACTAAAAGACGAACAAAAGATTAATAACAGGCTCAAATTGTTCCTAAAGCCATCTTCATAATCGAAATTAGGTAAGTTATACTGAAAGAATGAAAAGAAAAAATTGCAACTAATCCAGAGATTACCCCTAACTACAAATAAATGTAAATGTAAACCTATAGATATAATGTATATTATATAATATGCTACTTCTGATTCATGAGGTAATAAACAGTTTTAAGTACTGATACAGTATATTTAGTTCCTGATCAATATACATTTATGTTTATAGTAGGTAATATTTTTTCAACACACTTGCAGTGGACCTAATTTCGCCGGTTTTCGATATATGTATACAGCAGATCATAAAATTATAGCAATTATAACGCCAAGGTTGCGTTATAATTGCAAATAGTGAAGTTATATTCAGCACTATTTGCTATTTCTTTTATCAAATTTCGAACTGACCGCCACGAGGCACTAGCCAGTAGGCAGCGCGCTGATTTAAAAACATAAAACGGCGGGACATACGTACCACTTTAAGAATTGTACATTCACTGTTTCAATAATTAAAAACGAACAAAACATAATATAATGCCTTTTTATTGTTTCCTCGCAAATATATTGATAAACGTCGTACGATGTACATGCGTATTTAACATACTCGAAATAATTAATGAAATTCCGCCTCCTGTATTATAACCATTATCATGAACATATATCGTAATATAGGTACTTATTACTTCTCATATTTAAAAGTAACCGACAAGATATAATAAATTGTACATAACTTTTCTACAGAGTCAAGTCCAAAGGATGAATTGATAATAGCTAAAGTTAAAATGGAAGTGAATTATTTTGTACATGTTGTAACAAGTCCGCTCAAGATTGGACTCGCTTAAAATCGCACCGCCTTGCTTTAATGGGGTTGGGACGGTTTGTGGTCATTACAAAAGACGCATCACATGAGTGTGAATATGGAGGCGCCGATATGTTTCTCGCAGTTCTTTGTTGATAAACAAAATGTACGATCATTCTCTAATATTCTCAAACCTAAATTATTAAAAAGTGAAGATATGGTTTCTTTTCTTCTACATGTATTCGAAGAACCAAATACACTAAAGGAATTATCAACAGACTTTTTAACTATATTAAGTGTTGTGAGATTGAATCTTATAAATAAATGTACACAAGATTTTAAAGATTGTTTTCCCTGTGATCCAAATATATTACCGCCGTTTTTACAACCAGTAAGTAAAGAATATATTTATATAAATTGCATGAGAGCATTGAATGATATTATTCCTAGGCATTTCACTGGAAGTAGCCATAATATGAAGATTTTTGAGAAGTTAACGCAAACAATAATTTATAATATGAAAAGACAACATATTAGTCTTCAAAAGGAAATCGCGAATTGGAATTTTTCTGTGAAGCCTTGGAAATCCATTCGTGAAACCAGTTCCAAAAAAGTTTTACATCATTTACTGATGTGGATTTTTCAGTATATTTTATCAGGAATAATTTGCTTGAATTTTTATGTCACGACTTGTAAAATAGACGCTGATGACAATAAACTCTATTTTTTTCGAAAACGAGAATGGCAAAGTTTTTATGATAAAATGATATCAAATATGATATTAAACAAAATAATAAAAAGATGCGAGTCTTATTGTTCTGGTAAAATGTGTAAACGAAATTACAGTTATAATGAGAAAGCTAGATTGAAAGTAATCAGGAGAGATATACCAAAGTTACACTTGGTATTAAAAACAAATCATAATTACCGACCAATTGCCAAGTATAAAAATAATGCTTTAACGACATCAGAAAAATATAAAATCAAAGATAGGTTGCAGTTTCTTAAAATATTGACTGCTAAAAGCAGTAAAAAAACAGAAACTGAATTTTTAAATATTTATCACGATTGGGTTAACTTCAACAAACCAAAACTTTATTTTGTAAAAGCAGATCTTAGTAACGCTTTTGGCTCAATAAATAGACAAGCACTAATGAAAATTCTCGACGAAAGATATTTGAGAGTTATAAATAATGATAAATACTTACGCTCAAGAGAAAAACTGAAGCAGCAATATAAAGATATGATCTTAGAAATAGCCAAACCGATTTTAGTTCGCGCCGGCTCCACAGTTTTCGAATGGAAAGCGGGCCTAGTGCAAGGATATAAGTACTCGCCGGCGCTTTCAGAATTATACTACACCCATATGGATGAACTATATTTTCAAGAGCATCTCAAGAAATCGAAATCTCAACTACGGTTATTCACAAGAGTTGTAGATGACTATTTATATATCACAGATTCGCTAAGAGACGCTCAATCATTTTTACAGGCAATTTCACAATATAAAAACGTTAATTACGATAAGACCGTTGTCAATTTTAGCCACCCGACAGTTAAATTTAGCGATGAAATAACTTTTCTTGGTTATACATATGATACAAAAATGATACAAGTAAGAAGAGCTAGCAATATTTATCTCGGTCAAATGTGCTATAAAATAAGTTTTACACAAGCTGTATTAAATATTAACAAATTCCTAGAGCAGCGTATTGGTCAGTCCAGTATCCAAATAAATTCTCACATTTTTAATCTATACTATAATAATGAAGAAGCTGTCTGGGGTCACATTTTTACGACTTTTTGTTTGTCCGCGAATAAGTTTTGTACAATTTTAGCTATTTGCGAAGTGAACGAGATGAGTAGTTATTTAATACTTTACAAAGAGCGCGTAACAGTTCGTCTTAGTAATGCCATGATAGACATGTTAATAAGGTATAAACCAGTTGATTTACCTTTTGTATATTGCATAAATCACTTTCGTTATTTGTCTTGGAAGGCTTTGTACTTGTGCGCGCAGAAAACTTCAAAATGTAATGGGCTGGTTCCAATAATAAATGATGAATTGGCTAAAGCTAATTGTATGTTTGGCAAGTGGAAGGAGCACGCGAGTAGGGTTGGCAGTAATGGTGCTAGTTTACGTCCGGCTGTGAAGGAAGTGTGTCGAAGGACAGATTTGAGGATCGTTATGAAAGGATTTAGTACTTTGCCTGAGGGTTTCCAATGTTATAACCGTCGTAAAATAATGGGCGGTTTTACATAAACTTATGTACATTATATACACATATTTGATTTCTTGCTAGTTAAGTTTTAAAAATTATAAAGATTTGTAAATATATTACCTTCAGTGTATAATACAAGTGTCAGGCAAATTATTTTATATAGAAATCTTTAGTATCTTATATTTGATTAGTTTAAAAGCAGTTAATCTGTTAGTTATTTTTTTAAATAAAAGAATTATTGTCACTTGGATGTTTTATTTAAAATTCAGTCTATAACATTTACATGGACGGAAATATTCCCTTATAATAAGGCACGGAATATAAATAATACAAAATAAAAATGGACAGTAGCATCCTTCAATGATGCAAGAGATTCAATAAATTCATGGTTATACTATATAATATAATAACATCGCACTATATAAAAATACAAAATGGAATATGTTTTGACATTTCACATATAATATTCACAATGTTTGAAATATCTATGTATATGAATATCATACATATATAAATAACTTTACTTTTGTACAATATATTTCTATTTTATACATATCTTAATTAGTTGAATGTTTTAAAATCTAAAAATAAAGCTTAAAATTAATTGTGTGTAAAATAAAGAAACATGAAAAGGCACTAATTGGACGGAGATTCCATATCTTTATCATACTGAGATTCAAATTTGTTTTTTATTCATAATAGGTACTACAGGGGAAATCTACAAAACCTTTCAGGGTTTTGCTTATGTTTTCATAGCTGCGCTTAAATATGTAATAATATGTAGGTGATCGATGTAAAAATAAAAATGCTGCTTCAGGCCGTAGTTTAATGGGGACTACCCACTATGGTTTATCACATTCATCGGAAATGGGTCGGTACTTTAGCTATGTCAATCTAGATTTTTAATTATTTTTTTTTCTTCGAATCTGATAGTTACAGTGAGACATTTTATATTTTATTAAGATTGTCTCTTATGCTCACTAGTAAACTTATGTGGTACCTATGTATATTCGTGATTTAATGTTTTACGGGTTATTTGAAAAATTCATTTCCTTAGTTACAATGATGTCTTATACATAAAAATATTAACTAGTTACCCACTAATTCAGAAAAACCTAATCGATGAGACCAGAATGAAATGTAACAAAATAGAGAGAGAGAGAGAGGTGTAAGAAGTAAATTATAAATGAAGTTAATGTATATTTTCCGCTCATATTGTATACCTGTCATAACGTTCAATGGTCTTTATATTTTAATGTGCACCACATGCGTGACCACAGTAGTATTAGTATGAACGGTAGTAGCATAGGAGCGAGGGCACAGGATAGATACCGGTGAGTGCGCGAGATAAAGCCGGGCGCGGAGACGAACCGTCCCAATGTTTATAATGTTTCCTAGATATGCGGGTGGGCGCGCGAGGGGAAGTCTACCCTACATTTATGGAAAGCGTGCGTGTGCGACGGAGAGGAAGTCGGGATCGGAGGCGACGTAGTCGTCGACTGGCGTCGCATCGTCGTATATATGCGTACTAGACGCCCGGCCACTGTAGCACGATCAGTAGTAGGAGAGGAGCGAGGGCAGACGGGCGGAGCGTGTGGCCGGCGGAGAGGAAGTCCGGGTCGGAGGCGATGTAGTGGTCTGCGGGCGGCGCGTCGCAGGAGACGAGCCTGGCGGCGCGGGGCAGCGCGCGGCCGGCCAGCAGCGCGGCCGAGCGCTGCCTGTGGTGCACGCGCCGCAGCCGCACCGCCGCGTCGCTGAAGATCAGGTCCGCGTACGGCGGCGCAGAGTAGAACATGCTAAAACTGCAACCATACCGTCGACTCTTTACCGTTGCGTAGACAAGTTGCGTCTCGAAACTTTACAATATTTTAGTAGAAACATTTTCACATAAAATGAGCATGTATTATATATTTTCTGAAGCTATAAATATATGTCTTGTTTGTTACCTCTTCACAGCTATACGGCTACATGGATTTTAAGGAAGTGTATCATGAACATACATCTACGACTATCAATTATCTCTAAAAAGTCGCGGGTAACAGCTAGTCACTTGTATGTAACTACATTACTTCAGAAACAACTGTACTTATTTGATTATTCTTTTTCGTTGCATTTATAAAATGACAAATATTTATATAAAAAAAATGATTTACTTAAAAATATCGACAGATAGTATGACTACAATCGTACTAGTCAGTGAATTTCTTTATTAAAAATGTACTTAATATATATTTAAATAAGTAATAAATGTTACCTAAACTCATCAGACGTAGTAGATCCATATAACTGCTGTGCGTAAACCATCAAGTTAGAGTAAGTATCCAATTCTGTATGGTTGGCTCTCCCCATAAGCACTGAACCTGGTACTCTGCCTAGGTTGCAATGTTTATACTCGTGCATTTTGGCTCGTGTCCCTGTAGAATCAATTATAAATACGTAATTGCAATAAGTATTATAAATCTATTTAAAAAAATAATTATTAACGATATTTCATGAATAGTAATTATTTGGTCCTTCGAGCCGGACAATGAATTGAGTGTTAATGTTTAAAGTCCTACAAAAGTATTCCAAGTAAATATTTCAATGATGACTTGTGATCGCGTTCACTGTGAAGTGATAGATGAAAATCAAAAGCCTTGGGCTACATGAGTCGGTTAGTACCCACTGTCCCCCTACAAAATATGAGTGATGTATAAAAAGACCTCATAGTGTGACTTTACCGTCGAGGCATAGTAGCTGCAGGTCGTCGGGAAGTAGGTCCCGCGCCCACCACTCGCGCCGCCGTCCGCCGGAAGCCTCCGCTGGCGCCGTGTGTCTCACGAACGCTACGTCCCCGCCGCCCTCGACCATGCACCGCAGCGCGCCCACGTGCCCGTAGTACGGCTCGCTCGCGTCGCGACGGCACCTCCTGTGTCATGACCGCCTCGATAGTACAGCTATTACAGATCAGATGAATGTCTGACGGTCGCAGGTTCTTTCCGCACACAATTTGATAATTCATATTTATGAGTATGCCAGTAGTTATTTTCTATTAATACATTATACATATGTTTATGTATGTCTGACAGTTGTCATGAACAATTGATAGATTAAACAGCTGATCGGATCTTGATATATATGTAACATGAGCATGGTCATAGGTCATTCTTATATGTCTAAAATGTAGATAAAATCGCCGATAACAACAAGTCTTACTAATATTATAAACAAATTTTAAAGGAACTTTCAATAATGACTTATACAACCTTATTAACATAGGCTGTAAATTTCACGCCAGTGAAACCACGGACACAACTAATTATGAGCTAGATATTATGTATTGTGTAATTAGACGAATTACAAAATATTTGTAGTAGTAGCCACTTATTGTTTTGTAACTCGTATTACACGTATGCGTACGTACCTGTAGGAGGCGCCATGACAGAGGTGGCACAGATTGTCTCTGGGAACGGACCCGCTGTCCACGTACTCGGAACTGAGAGCGCCAGGAGCACACGACTTGGTGAAGTATTCCGCGGCAGCGTGCGTGCCGTCACAACCGTATGGTCTGCGTGTCAAACATATAAACAAATATGATAAAAGCTATTTGTAGATTGACTAATTGTAGATGTTCTCATTCGATACGTTTTTGACACAAAATAAAAAATGCTTAAAAATATATCATGAAAACTGTCAACCATGTGGACTAAAATAGTCTGTAATGCAAACTGGAATCTAACTGACAAAATCAGGTGCTTAGTGGCATAAAGTTAGACTCTAATTAAAATCTGTTACAATATAGCGAAATATATATAGCGAAAGAGGGAAAGTAAGTTTGTTTTGATTTGATTTCATATCTAAGTGACACGACATACATTTTCATACATGGCATAATACCAAATGGAACATAGGCAAATAATGTATTGATCCGGTTAACCATCGTACGAAGTCCGGAAAAGAAGGTAGGTTTGTTAATTAGGTATTTGATAATTTTGTTGAAATTTACATACCGTATCCATCCATTTGATATGAGGTAAGCGAGTGGGTACACCCATCCTGCCGCCATGCCTATACCGGCGTGACACGTGTTTTTACCACGCAAATACGTTAGATCCGTGTCAGGGTCTTGTTCTTTTGCGACTGCCACTGCATAGTACCAGTTATCACCAGATGAGTATACCTGAGTGATTGAAAATGATAGTAATAACCCAGGATAATTCACGTAGCGCCTCTAGTCCGTAACTGCGCTGAACTTGTACTATAACTATAACTTGTAGAACTGATAGAAATAATTACTAGCTACCCGCCCCGGGTGTACGGGTGCATGGGTGTACATGTACTATACATATAAACATTCCACTTGAATCACTCTATCTATTGCAGATAAGGATTTTAATGCACATCCTTTGCGTAGTTTACAAGATCTAGGTCAATAGACATTGGAAGCGGCTTCATTTTATACTATGAAGAGATAACATTTAATGTTTCATATTGTTAACTATCGTGTGACGCACCATTAATTAAAAATGGTAAAGTCAATAATCATGTAACCTGAAACGGAACGTCAGAGGCCAGAGCCAAAGTAATCTATGTGACATTGACAAGTGGATGACGGATGATTGAACGGAGGCAGCGGGAGTTTTTGGAGCGAAAGTGTTTATATTGTTATAAAAACAAATAAGAAATAGGTAATTGTGAATATTGTAGGCATTGAGGTGTTTCTCTCTGACTAACCGGCATTACGCCTAAGTCGTCAGGATACTAGTGATTTTAAAAGTTCAGAAGCGGTACCAATCCCGCCTACAAATTCCACCGTAAGGTAATTCTGACTAGAAGTTGTGGTAAGTGAATTTACGTTAATAACACGCATACCATTAAACGCAGTATCTCACTTGTTTTATTAAACTTTTGGATGAATTGCTTTCTACATATTAAATAGATTTAGTATGTACGATAACTTGCGAGAGTAATGACATGACATGTAGCACGATATTGAGGTATACAATATACCTAAGAAACAAGTATTATGAATACATTAAGTATAAAACAACATGGATATCTAATTAGTTTAAAATACAGAGTAACTATTGTTATGTTATTAATGCCTATGATAGAGTATGATAGGATATCAACAGATTAGAAACAGTTACTTTAAACAGTTAGTTATTAACTATGTTGACATACAGGTTGAACATGAGAACACATACCATGTTATACATATAAACAGTGAAATGGTATTGCTGAGTTTGTTGCTAATTCACAGTAAATTAGTCAAACTTACTGTTCAGTTTTGTGTGTTTGTTCTACGTGAATTGAATTGAAGAATTGTTATTATTTCTTTACATAGGTATACATATATGTTTGATGATCCCATTTCAGATAAATGACAATCACAGGCATAGTCCAGGTATATGTCTTGATTGTGGTTATATTCCCAAATTGAGATTGTTATATATATTATATTGATGCTTTGATATGTGTTTATTAATGAATTAATAAAGCATATCAATATAGATAGACATAGTATATTGTTGACATAAACTGATACAAGCTACATAACATGTTATATTTCATAATATTACATATTAAAGACATTTTAGATACTATCTCATGATTAGCTGTGAAGTTCTCAGTGAAAATAGTACTTAACTCTGATAGTACAATTATTATATATTTCTTGCTGTGTTTTGAATTTTATAAATGTATATATATATAGCAATGGCTAACAATTGGTAGTAAACTCCAATGTTAAAAACCGAATAACTGTAAACTATTATTATTAATAGTTCCTTATTTAATTATTAATTAGTATAAAATCCAATTGAGATCTATTAGGATCCTCAAGGTTATAATAATCATATAATATTGATTATTAATGTGTTGAAAAAGCACCTAGAGATGATATCCAATTCCTCAAAGGTGTCATATTATGCTGGAATTATATATTATATGTATGCTCATATTGAATGTATTATATGTTTGAGCAATTGGTTCACTTCTTTGATGCTTCTCTTGAAATTCATTAGAATGGCCCTTAGCAGCCATTGTTGATCAATAAAGGTACTTAAAGGTCCTGTGCAGGTACCTGTAGCTATGTACATTTGTCATTTGAGACAATGTTTAGTAAGTGATTGTTGGAATTTATAAGCACCCAATTAATATGTGACATGTTAGAAAGTGATAGATTACAGGTAAGACTATTCTTACATGGTTCAGTTTTGTAAACTATGAAGTTGTCTTTTAACCTAAAGAAAGACTTGGTAAAGCCAGAAATGGATGTTGTTGGGTCTTGATTGTACAAAAGACCTGTTGACTTTAGTTTAGTTTTATAATTTATGAAGTTGTCTTTTAACCTAAAGAAAAGCTTTTGGTAAAGCCAGAAATTAATGTTGTTGGCTCTTGATTCTATTATTGATTGTACAAGAAACCTGTTGAATTTTCTAAACAATACTTGAGCAACAAGTTTGTCTTTAAATTTACTATTAGTGTTATGAATATGAATAAAAGTTTTTGGAAATAAGTTAATATTTGTGTACATACAGAATGTTTGGATATATATATTGAGTCGCAACAGTGAGAGTATTTGCCTTTTGATGAGTTATAACTCTCCATACAGTAAATTGCACAAAATGTCATGATTTTATAATATGAATATATACAACATAAGACAATTGTTATCACAATAATGAAAATAGACTATTGTAATATATTGCAATGTATTGCTATATTGTCCAATCTTGTGTACTGCATAAGCTAATGAACTGAAGAAGTTATCCATTGAGTCTTATTATTTAGTGTCATTTGTAGAATGACAGTACTAAGAAAACTATAAAGTGGACAGATTCATTGTTAAATCTATATTGGAATTGAAATGTCAACCAAGGAGGAAATCATAATTGTTTAAATTCAAATTGTATTATATATTTGTGAAGTACAGATAATAAAAAAAAAAAAATAGAATATATAGAATATATTATTGAATATTAATATAAATAAATGTATATCAGAAGATGATAATAACTGATTTAAAGCATTCATGAGTTAATAATGAACTCATCTTGAAGTTAGCACATGGATTGTGTCAAACAGTGTGGTCTAGAATTGTGAAATTTGGATAATAAACTTTATAATTCAGATATTATGGCAGGAAAATGGAAATAAATGAGTGCATAGCACTCTTTTGTTGTATATAGGTATGGACAGATGGGAGAGAATTAAGTGAATACATGTAAACTGTGATATGGTGAAATAGAGGAGAAAGAAAAAAATGGATACTATTTTTAAATGGTTTATGTAACTTACCTTTTATGTATTTGTATACTACAGGATTATAAAATATTTTATGATTTGACTAATGAAGTTTCTGTATATTAATTAGTTATTATTAAATAGTCTCTGTGGGAGGCAATGTTAAGATATTCAAAGTACATAAGCTTTAAAATTATTATAGAGGAAAATTATGAGACACAGACAGACAAGATTGTTAGGAAAGTAAAGAGATATGGATATTCTAGAAAACTTTGCTGATGACCTTGGTAATGTGGTTATTAATAGGCTGCATAACTTTCCATGCATGGAAATTCGTATTCCCATTCTATACAACCATTATATATTTATGAGAATTCCTGATTGTTGGTGTTTTATGCTATGCCTTTATAAGCATGTGGTTTGTTTTATTTAATATAACTTTGTTACCAAAGAGGATGAGACTGAAGTTAGTCAGTTTTATGAAGATAGCACTCCTATACTGTGCCACACTTCCAATTATCTTCTGTGAGTCTACTGTACTGTAGAGGACAGTGCATGGTGATTTCGGTATAGCTATGACAGGAATATATAAGTAAAAAAAAAAAAGAAGAATAGGAAAAATCCTCATTATCTTGTGAACATAAGTTAATCACTACAAATGTAACTTAGATTGAAAGTAAGATGTTGGTATCCGTTGGGATGAACAGTGATTCACAAACACAGTATCAGTATAATTTATAGAAAAAAAAAAATATATAAATAGCAATGATTCAAAAGAAGATTGTATCATATGTACAGGTATAAATACATATAGTAATGCCTATTTAACATTTAAATAGTATTGTGATTGATTGGATTGTATGACGCCATATAATGAAATGAAAAATTTATAAGCCAAGAGACCCGTGATAGCCAAAGAATATATATAAGAAAATGGCAGAGACGACAGACAAAAGAAAAGTAGGACAGCAGAAAAAAAGATAAGCAGATGACATAAGAAAAAAAAAAAAGGAAACAGCAGGTAAAGACTGGATGCAAACTTCCATAGGGAGAGACGTGGATAGTCAGTATGGACGAGCTGGTTTATGAATATGGATACTGGCGTAATTTATGAGATTTTTATATGGTTTACTGATGGATAATAAACTACTTTATGAATAGCATATATGTAGAATGAAAAATAAATAAGTTGTAAATTTTACATGTTATAGAGAATTATTTGTTGAGAAAATGTTTGCGAGCTGAGCCATTGTTCTTTAATTATAATGGTATTATAGTGAATACAAATGTAAGAAGCACAGGTAGTTAAAAGAAAAAAAAAAACAAAAGGACAATTGATTGTTGTTAAATGTATGAGCATTAAAGTTTTGAAAAGTGTACATGGGTATACTAGATTTAAGTTGAAAGGATCCTATTGAACCTATAACTGTTTTAAGAGACCTTTATATCCAATGCAAATAAAATGAGAGAGAATATAAGTTGTGGAAGTAAGGCTATATCTGTCAATTTAATCCCAGGAATATATAAGAAAAGTTACTAGAGGACATAAATGAAAGTTAAGATATAAGAAAGTTAAATATTGTTAAGAATTACAGTTTACAGTTATAAATTACTGTTGTAGATGGTTTTGCCAATTTTATTAATTTCTAGTTAACCTTTGTTAAATCTTGAGATATTGTATCTATTAAGATTTTAATTGAAAAAAAAAAAAAAAAAAAGAGAATAATCGAAGCATATAATGCTAAATTAACGAGCATGTAAGAATTGTTGGTATACATGTTGACTCAATTGACTTGAATATGAGATTGGATGTGTTGTATTTAGACCATTGTAACTTTTGACATAATTGTTGAGTTGTAGTAAAATAAAAGTGTTAACTAAGGCTTTAAATAGTGAACTCATCAACATATAAGAATTGATGTTGTCACTTGCATAGCATACGAGAACGGATGTATTAAATAAGTGAGGGTGTTTTAATGTTGAATTGTACAAAATTACAGGTGTAGAGATATTGGAAGTTTATAATAATAACGGTGATGTTGTTTTCAAATATTTGGTTAAGTTAAAATTTTTATAAGTAATGATCAACGCAATCAAATGCTGGGCATTTGATTCCATAGATTAGTCTGAGCACCTATATGCACTTGTATGTGTGGCTGAACGCTCTTTGGAGAAATCGGATTGACTATTGTACTAACTAAATAGTTTAAATTGAAATTAATCCTTTCAGAACTGATTTTATGTGTCTGGAATTTAAATATAACTAATGGCTTGATAACATGGTCTGCTAGTAAGCAGAAAGTTACAGCCGAATACGCAGAATATTTTAGAAAATGTGTTGTAATTAATGGGAAATTAGAAGAGGTGCTAATTTATAGAACCCAGACACCGTATACAGACACTTTAGAAATATTATGAATAAAGCGCTCGAGGTGTACAAGATAGTTACACTGCAAGATTGTAGTAAGGACGATCACAAGGTAAAATTTGATACACCTCGATGGAAAATAGTCGGTAAATATACGCGGTGAAGAGTTGTACATGAACGAATAGATCTGAAAGATTAAGGAATGCTAGTGATAATGAGTGAGTGACAATGATGAGTTACAATCGATGACAAGCTGAATTATGAGCAAAATGGCTAATAGAACGGGCGGTTGATATGACAATGAAAAATGATTTGCAATACTTTGATGAAATTATGAGATTAATATAATAATAATATGACTATGAATACGATTTATGGATTTTAAGGTAAATGATGGTGATTTAGATTTGATGATATACTGATGAGATGATTGCGCTGAGATCGCGGCTAATGGTTCCGTATACGTTAGTTCACGGAGAAAATGGGGATCCGCGTGTGCTCAATGCGACGTACAACGAACGACTCGCTTTTTGTTGATGCTACTCAAGATTTGGTAGATAATAATAGGAGTAGGGTATGTGGTAGTAATATATTGCAAGTTCGTTCAGAAATTGATAGATATATATCAACCAGATATATAATTCGAATTTGGTACATAATTAAATTGAATTAAATATTATAAAGTCCTTTAAAGCGTTGGAGAAATAGTAAAATGGAACCAGGAAATCCAGTTCTTAAAAAATGTAATAGAATAAAAAGTAAAATTTGATGGGAGTGCATATAACCCATAGTTGAGTTGCAATGTAGATCACTTGAGGCTGAAGTAAAAATAGCATAGTACCATAAAGAATATGGCTAGTTGGAGGCCGTAACTCCTTGCGTGCGCAAGCGGTGAATGCCTCATTGAGAAAATGACCAGTTGTTAAATATTTGATGTGTTTCAGTTGGAGGCCGTAGTTCCTTGTGGCGGCAAGCGGTGGCTGAGTCTAATGAGAATCTGACCAGTTTGAGGCCGTAGCTCCTTGTGTGGGCAAGCGGTGGCTGAGTTTAATAAGAATCTGACCAGTTTGAGGCCGTAGCTCCTTGTGTGGGCAAGCGGTGGCTGAGTCTAATAAAATCCAGATCTATTGAGACCGTAGCTCATAGTGGGCAAGCGGTGGCATTTTTTTAATGTTTTGTTTTAACAGGTATTTCACTAATTAGCTAGGCAGCCGTGTTTGCAGAGATGCTGACTAGTACCTGGTGTGAAAAATTAAGTGATACACCTTAAGGCGGAAAAATATAACAAAGACTGAATTCATGATGTTGAAATGTAATGTGTAGTTGTCAGTGGCAACTTTCATATTTTAAGTATGTAAATTATCTCAAACTAAATTTTATATGATTTTAATTTTATTATATTACCCGATGTTAACTGTTATGATAATATCGAATGAGGCCCTTCGATAACGTTGGATGGCCGAAGTGGCTACGAATACCATCGATTAAATATAAAGTGAATAGTAGGCTTACGAACGTGAGTTTTCACGTTCGTTTGACGAAAGTTAGTAATTCGTTTTATGGAAATTGCGCAAGGTTTTACAACAAACTCCCAGAGTCTGTACTCAATTTGCCAGAAAAAGAAATCAAATGTGTCATAAAATATTTTCTTTGTAAAAAAAAAGCTTATTATAAAATCGAAGAATTTATAAATGTCATCATTTATAAATCAATGTTTTTTAGAAAATATCTAACTTGAAATTCATAGCGCTGTCAATGTTGTCTGATTGAACGGAGATTAAGTGCGTAGCAGTTTTTATGTTGATTGCCGCATGCCTAATCCTTGTTGTTAATTAAATATAAGTAAATCAATATTTATTTAAAAGAGCAACACACAGGTTTCTTGTTTGTTCTTCTTGTGATGAATCTGCGTTCCGAATAAGAGATAGATTGAAGAAAGACTTGACTACTCAAGGGTGCTTATATTAAGTTTATTTGAATAAAGATTATTTCTATTTCACATTAATCTGGAACAGTGGGTTTTGGTTTATGTTAAACTGGTGTTGTAAAGAAAATTGAGATCAGTATCTACAATCATTTATAGTCCCCTAAATGTACAGGGTTCAAAGGATGCAATAGATTACTTGACCAGTGAGCTGATGGTATTATTAAGTAAATCATAACTGAAATTCAATGAATTATGTTATATTAAAATAATTCTCTGGTAAATCAAGAGTATCGTCGAAGTAAAATAGTAGTAGTAGTATTGAGGGTATTAGAACCACTTGAATAATATTGACCTGTTATTTTCTATTGGTTAGGTGAAGGCAGGCAGCGATTTTGTTCTAATTTTATGTCACGAGAATATTACTTTCTCTTTATATTTTTTTTCTATATATGTAGGTAATTAAGTTTTACCTTTTGTAATGTGATATGTTAAATTTATCCGTTAAAATATTCATGATGAGAAATGTCAAGTTCTATTTTGGAGGTAAAAAAAAAAAATGCAATGTTCATAAGATCGGAAACTTACATTATATGTGAGTGTCTGACTCATAGAAGTCAATCACCGCCAAATAATTGTTTGTTACTCTAAAAGGTTGTTCGTGTTTTTGGGTGATTTGGATTATGTAAATTAATATATGTTATGTTATATTTTGTGCATTTCTGAATGCATGCCGAAACTTAGCTCTGTTAGTATTGATTTTAGATTGTAAACCTTTGATAGTATACTAAGATAGTCAATGTTATGAAAGTAATGTGTATCTTTAATTTATTTAGTTTAGTATTTGTTATATGATCCTGTAGACACTATATCCTTTGATAAGCATGACTACGCTCATCAGTTACCTATGTGTCTGGGCCAGACACTATTGCAGGATGGCCGACTGTTAACTATCGTGTGACGCACCATTAATTAAAAATGGTAAAGTCAATAATCATGTAACCTGAAACGGAACGTCAGAGGCCAGAGCCAAAGTAATCTATGTGACATTGACAAGTGGATGACGGATGATTGAACGGAGGCAGCGGGAGTTTTGGAGCGAAAGTGTTTATATTGTTATAAAAACAAATAAGAAATAGGTAATTGTGAATATTGTAGGCATTGAGGTGTTTCTCTCCCTGACTAACCGGCATTACGCCTAAGTCGTCAGGATACTAGTGATTTTAAAAATATGATCTAATTTTATATAGTAATTCATATAACTTGACTGTTTTCGCCATAAGTGCCCCACAACGCTTTCTGTATTCACAAGGTGGAGAATACCATATGGCATTAAACTCGCTTTTTTGTACAATTTTTATTGTAGCCTAGTAATAAGTAATCAATAAATAAATTAAATATATTGCATATCTGACTAACCTCCTGCATGAAGGGCACGAGCCGGTGCCTGTAGGCGGCGTGCAGCATGTCAGCGGCATCGAGTAGCACGAAATCTGCTGTTCCTTCAGCTACAGCTCGCTCGCAGTGGCGTGTACTGTGTCCGCGCCAACACGACAGCGCCGGAGACAGCAGCGCCGCTTTCAACGCGCCCTGTACGGGAAGAGAATTGTTATTGCAAAATACTAAAAAAAATTGTTCCCAAGTATGGCAGCAATTCTTTTGTTTTGTTAAATTTTGATTTCTTTTTGAGTAAATTCCCGCCCTAAGAGGTTTACAACCTTACATCTACCAGGGGGTTATTGCACCCAGAGTTGATGCCGGGGCAAAGGCTATTAAAAGTTTAGTAAGAATATCATTAGAGCATAAATAGAAAGGGCAATAACATTATTTTAACAAAAGAAAAAATGACTATTTTAAAGCAAGGAAAAGAAAAAAGTAAATGTCACACTAACTAAGAGCTTATAGAATACTATTTAGGTCAAAATATTTTTAATAAATTATGCATTTATTACTACATTTCACCATAAAACAACAGAATTTCTATAGAACATTTCAACTGGAAATTCAATAAGTAAACAGTTGCGTATCACATATTTAACGCTACGTAAGTGCTATTCATAGAGCCTATAATCTTTCATTCAATTACAAATATATATAACTACTTACCGACATCTTAAAACACTTCTCCATTTCAGGTTCGCTTGTGACGCATAGTACGGCCCGCTTCACCGGACAGTCCATAATGCCCAGTATAGCTTTCTCAGCCTGATTGCCTAAGTAATTGTTATTCAGGATGTATTTAGCAGTTTGGTCTTCTTCTTTCAAATATCTGAAGTTCACTGTAGCATCCTGAATATTATAAGCATAATATTATTATTTCAATGTTCATGTAAGGTAACCGAACCATTGTTATTTAGCATTAAGATAATCCAGAAAACAATCATACTCATGAATGTTTTTTGGATTATCTTAATGAATGAATACAAAAATTTGTACCGTGCGAGGAATCGAACCTGCAACCATCGTAAATAAGGCGGTAATACACCTCTAGACCACCGAGGCCAATCAATTTATGTTGTTTAATTAATACAAATGTTGATGATTATTATTATTACATAATTAAAACATTGTTTTAGTGACTTTAATTCGAATTATTTTTTGTTCCTATGTGTAAACGTGAAATGAACATTTTTAATCAAATAGGTTTACTCCTTTTTGGAGCCATACATATATTAATAATAATAAAAAATAGGAAACTATTCTAGCTTTTATGAAAAATATGTTTATGATACGAATTTACGAAGGTTAGCACACATTAATTAACTAGGGGAATATGAGCATTGTGAGAATTACACTCTCTTTACAAAAATGCAATCGATTCTCTCAAACAAAAAATATATACATAGTTCAGATTGGATATCTGAACTATGACTTTCTAGGATATATGGTGCATGTATACATACCCGTATCATGAGATCGGTGGTACCATTGGATCTGAACAGCTGGAACGGCAGTTCAATAGGACGACCAGAGTCGTCCACACGTTTATGGAAAGGCGATAATGTGCTTGAACTGTAACTAGATTAAATATAACAGATCTATTAAACAGTTCCATTTGTGAAATATGAACACAAATTGTAAGAACTTAATTGTTTTATTACAGTTACTATAGCTATAATATATACTATAACCTTTTAGTCTGTTATAGCACTAGTTCTTCTCATCAGTATATATCTTTTATGTAATTCTAATGATAAACAATCCTACGACTCAACAGATGGGTAGCACTATCGCCATCACATTTTCATGAAACGCTTCTGATGACCTCTTATCTTGTAATTTCTCTGCCTTCAACTGAAACACAGCTTACGAAATATAACATTCTTGGCGGCTGAAATAAGTGAGACGGAAGTACCCATGCTAACGACTTTCCTTATATTATTATTATTGTACAAATGTAAGTGTTTATAAATTATCATACAATTTGGAAAGGTGAATTAAGTCCTGGGTAGAAGCTAATATATACAATGTTTAATGAATGTACCAAAATGATATTATGTATGAGGGCAGGTCTAAAAAGGTTTGTATTGTATATACTTACACATCCTTAAAACGATTTTTGTTCGTATCATCCCTCCTGTAATCATATGGATACCGTGGTGACTCTGATGTAGACACTAGGGGGTTTCCAAAAGAATCTCTATTTCTAAATCCATTAGTATGATTTGTGACCTTATTCAGAGGATTTGGTTCTCCATATAACTCAACCAATTTCTGTAACAGTCTTTGATATCTGTAAAAATAATTTGAGTTACAGACTATCTTGATTCAACAGCATTATTTTTGACTATGGAAATGTTTGCTTTTTTTATTTAAAAATTAAATTCTAATATGTTAAATCTTTAGAACAGTTTCATGAAGCGGAGCGGATGCCTTTTTTGAAAAATTATAGCATTTTATTTTAAAAAGGGTAGAAGTAACACAAAATAATTTAAATAATGTTTTAATACCATATAACTAGCAGAATCTATATTACTGTACAAGTATGAGTGTATTAATGATATTGTGCCAATTGTCAATTGCCAATCAAAATGTCCCTAAATTTAGATTATTACCTCTCTCTTTGTTTGATGGTAGCAGCGCTGCTTGTAACCACGGCGTCAGCTGGCACTTTACCCCAGTTGCAATTTTCTGATTGCGAAACAGGCGCACGGGACCCATCTCGACATATAAGCTCAAACTGGTCCTCTGTCACGCCACCTAAACGTTTAGGATATAAGTTAATTTGTCAACAAACTATGCACTAGTAATATTATAGAAAACTATCCATAGTACTATACTTGTTAGTGGAAATTCAAAGTACTTATATTACTATACTATTCTATTACGTTAGTAATCAAATAAAAGTGCCACTACCGAGAATCTTTTGAGAGAGCAAAGCATGCTGCAAAGTGGTATCCTTGACGAAGGCGATCTCTCCGGTAGCATTAGCAATGAGGCATTTTAGAGCTCCTTCATAGCCTGCATATGGGTCAGCTAAAGTGCATCGAACGCCCGCGCCGCCAGAACATAGCTTGCATAATCTAGAGGAAAAACATCAATTTTGTACAGACACATAAAAGAATATCTATGTTTAATACTATCATTTTTAATATGGAAAGGATCTAAGGTAACTTTTGCCGGCTCTCAATGGATCTAAGGTAACTACTCAGACCAAGATCTAACTACAAAGACTAAAGTCAGTTTTTTAAAGACAATACAGATTATCATCTTGTAAATGGTTTTTTAAATAGTTTTTTTTTGTTCTCTCTTTATCGACAATCAGTAACGGTACTATAATGGTACTGGTTGGTGGAAAACAGTGTGAGGCTGCAGTTGATTTAGTGCAAAACTCATTTTTAATGAGGCCCTATGACGTCATTATTATAAATTAAGATCTGGATTTTACTATTTTTTTTTTATTTGATACTAATTTAATAAAGTTACAATATATATATTTATTTTTACTTACTTATCTGAGTTATCACCAATTGGGTTGTATAAATCTTTGAGTGAGTTAGGTGCGCAAGATTCACCAAAGAACTCAGTAGCAGATTTAACATGATTATTGCAGTCTGTTATTTTAAGACCACCTTCTTGCATCAACTGAAAAAAATGTGTATAATTTTAAATCACTTTGGGGTTTAGGATTAGATTGATACAGGAAATATAAAGTTAAGAATAGAATAATAATAATAATAATAATTTATTTGTTTAAAAAACAGAAGATAAGATTAATAAACTATTATACTAAGAGACAAATTTCTGTTACTACTTCTGCTCAGAGGATCAGGTAAAATGAGTATTAGCAATCCTGTATAGGAGTTTTTAAAATTGTCAGGTGAAGAATGCAGCTGAATTGACTTGAAAATATATTTGAAAATGGAAAAAATATATTATTTAATAACAAACAGAAATTAGACTTACAAAGTTTATTCATTATTATAACGAAAAACTTATGTGGTTAATAACCACAGAAGTTTTTAATTATTTTTTTCTGACAAATAGTATTATAAATTACAAGTGGTTTGCAGAAAAAGCTTTGTTGTTTAGAAATACTTTTTTTAAAACATATCAATCAAATTTTCAATAATTTATATTGTTAAAAAATAATTACATATAAATAAACATTTTTTATACAGGATGTCACACCCTTAGAATGAGGATAATTTTACTGTTGAATTATCAACACAAAATTGATTAAATATTCCTAAAAACAAGATCAGCTAGTTAAATTAATAGAAGAAATGGTGTTACATACCACATGTACAGGCATGACCCAGCCTGCTAGTGCCCCAACATTAGGAAAGCATGCTTTCACCCCTCGCAATGCATGCAATCCTCCACCTGGTTGTATATTTGGGAGACTGCCCTTTTTTACAACTGCTACAGAGTTTTGGTAGGGTTCCTCTTCTCCATACAGCTACATAAATAATATAAATATATAAATTGAGTGAGTGTAAGGCTAGCTTCGGGAAACAAATGTGAAATTACTAATAACAATGAGCTGTATTTTAAATAATCTAAAAATGTATTTTACAATATACTAATATAATTTTTTTTGTACTATGAATTTATAAAATATAAAAATCATTTAATATTAAGCTTTCCAGTGACAGTTGCAGTTTCTATTATCTATTCTATTATGAAATAAACTTTACAATAAAAATAATTAATCATTTTTATTTAGTAAAATTATAATATTTGACATGAATATTTATGTCAAAGTGCATAACTTAGAAAGCTATATGACTGGACATGTTTACCTCCTGCGCAATAGGGACAAGTGAATGAAATCTGCCAGCAACATATACTTCTCCAGCATCCAGACCCAGTAATGAGGCTTTTCCTTGATCTACTAGCGACATGCATTCTTCAGTGTCAAATGCCTGAAAGAATAAAAATTAATAGTAAAATAACACACAAAAAACACCTAAATCCCTCACACTTAATATTTGATAAAAGACATTGCATAACACACACGAAATTATAATTGAATTTAGAATACACAAATACCATAGGCAGAGAATCAGTGAAGGATGATAGGATGATGACGAAGTCAGTTCATTCATCCATTTTTCTAAGGTGTTTGCATACCTGCTTGCATTGTATTTCAATGTAGTCCTTCGCAAATAGACCTCTGTCTAACATCACTGTTTGCATCAATTTTTCACATTTTTGTTGTTCCAGTGCAGAAATAGTGCACCATGTCACTAAGTCTTGTCCTTCTACTTTCAAACTTCTATCTGATAAAGAGTTTGCTGCGATACCATATTTGATCGCTGTAACAACTGAAACATTTTATTAGAATAGGTAGTTTATTTATGTAGTGGATTTCCATTGATTATACAAATTTTAGAGTTAAGGAAAATTATTAACAAGTACTCAACAGACCAACACAAATATTTAATTATAATTATGTTAATAATATTGGCAATAAACAATTTAAATAAAGTTTGTTTAATGTTCTTTCAACTCTATTCATTGGATGTTTGGTTCGAAAATAAGTCACTACTCACCCGACAGAGACGTAATAAAGAAGTAAAATTGACGTATTAACATTTTGATATGTTTTTATTAAATAATTATAACTGAATATAATATTGTCATGTCATAATTATTAGTAAATAAGAATAAAATTTTAAACTTCAGTGCTTTATCATCTGAGACGCGAAGAGCCGGACACACCCGTAAACTTTTAATTCAAAGTTTGACTTTGACATTAACGGCTTGATAGTTTAACCACAGGTTATGTATTAAAACTTAGAGCTGACCGCTGAGTTGAAATGAAATACTTTTTATTTACTTTTTTACTGGAAATATAATGGTATTCCCGGCATCTTTTTTAATAAATTAAATAATTTAAAAGTTCAGTCGGTGGGTATTTGTTAATATAATTAAATAATTAAAATTATTATTGTAGACTGACAGTGAAACTGACAACATTGAATATCAATTCTGTATATAACCCACCACCCACAGTAACTCAATAAATAGGTAAATATAATTCTTATTATTGTTCTGTTTTTAATTTTAGGCGCATTTTTCTAAACATATTATTGATTGTAAGCAGTTTTTATAATAAATATTAATATTTTCATATTAGGGGCGTTGCCTCAAAAAATGATTTTTAATTTGTAATTTCTGTTGCAGGTTTATAAATATTTTTTTGTATAAATCCACGTGTTGCTAAAGGAAATGGTTGTATTTACATGTGGACATTGCGGAGAATCTGTCCAGAAGCCTAAAGTCGAAAAACATTATTTAACAAAATGTAGGAATCGGAATCCCAATTTGTCTTGTATGGATTGTTTTAAGGATTTTTTGTAAGTGACTTTTCCTTCTTAATAATTTTTTTTATAATTTACACAGTCAGATTGTATTTTCTTGTAAATTATATATAGTATGTGAGTACCCATTGAATATCAATATAAATTGAGGTAGACTAAAGTTGTCTACACACCTCAGTCTCACTTATTTAAGTTGACAAGCATTTTGTTTTACAAGCTGTTTCCATTATAGATTGTAAATATGTAGCACAATCACGGGAAAAGAGGCATGATAGCTTAATCCTCTGGAATGGTAATACATTAGTGGTATCATGTGTGTAACCCAATAATGTGATATCCATAGTGCTATTTTTTTTTTTTATGGTTGATAATGGGATGGTGCACCCGCCTACGCTAACGGTTTACGCTGGCGGGGTACCAGTGGAGGATGATAAGATGAGCATGAGGTCAGGTCAGTTAGCCCATCGTTACAAATACACCAGGAATTTATCACGATGGTTTCCAGGGGGAACCGCGTGGAGGTCAACCTGACATGGTACATTGCTAGTAATGGGTTCATGAGTCCCCACTACTAACAATCCCCTTCCCCCCTCCATATGCTATTCAGATGGGCTCGGTGGTATAGTGGTGTATTTATATCAGTTACTGAGTACCCATAACACAAGCCTTAGCTAGTTTAACTTGGGTCTAGATAGTGCTGTGTAAATTATATATTATTATATTCATCTATCTATTCAGCTTGTTTGCCATTAGAATTACAAATATGTGCCTGAATAACTATGTATAATTAATTTTCAAATTATATTGCTCGCAACCAATAAAAAGGGTTTTGTTATAAACAAAAATATAATTATAATGCATATCTTTCTTTATTTGCAGTGGTAATGAATATGAAAATCATATTAAATGTATAACAGAGGAAGAGAGATACTCCGGAAAAGGGTTTGTTGCAAAAGAGAAAAAAGGTGAAAAAATGCAAAATGCTTGGGTAGAGATTTTACAATCTGTGCTAGATGAGCATAAAAATGTATCTGGAAATGTGAGACGCATAATAGATACAGTTAGTAAGCACAACAACACTCCACGCAAGAAGCCGAAATTTATAAATTTTGTCAAGAATGTTTGTGGTCAAAAGACAAACCCAAAGGATATTGATCAAGCCTGGGACTTGATCTCTGTAAAATTATCTGAATTATCAAATGCACGGAACAATCAAAATAAAAATAATGAATCAATTACAAATGGTGATACTGCAAAGGAAAAAGAGAATGGTGAAGATGCTGACCATGAATCTAAAGATAATGAAACGGAAAATAAAGGTGACACAGAAGTAATTAATGGTAATGTGGAAAATGGAGAAGACAAAAAGTTAACCAAAAAACAGCGCAAGGAAGAAAAGAAACGTAAGAAGTATGAAGCAGAGTTGCAAAGTGCTGTAGCTCCATTGGTTGAGGAAGAAGAAGAAACTCAAGTGAAGAAAGGGAAGAAGAAGAAGAACAGGACTGAATCTGTAAATGGTGAATCTGAAGAGAATGTACAAGTAGAGGGCAAAAAACAAAAGAAAAGAAAGAGGCAAGATACTGTAAACGGGGCTCAGGAGTTGATCGAAAATGTTAACATTGAAAACATTGAAAATGAACCACTAAATAAAGAAAAAGCACAAAAAAAGAAATTGAAGGTTTTAGACACAGATCTAGATGTTGAAAATATTTGTTTACATGATCAGAATGTTGCTAATACTGAAAATGCAGAAATTACTGCCAAAAATGGCAAATTTGATTGGCATGCTGTTATTATTTCAGTTTTGGAGAAAAAAGGAAATGAAGTTCCCTTTAAACGTTTACAAAAGAAAGTTTTGGCAGAATTTTTTGAGACGACTGGTCAAGATGTTGATGATAGAATTGCAGATAAATTTATCAAAAAATTGAAGAGTGCTCCAAATGTTAGGGTTGATAAGAACAGGGTGCTGCTTTTGCAGTAGTTTAACATTAGAATGATTGATTAGATTCTATACAAGATTTTTAATATAACAATAATGTTTCTGATGATGTTTTTCCTCTATATCTGCTTTACTTCAAAATGTATTAGATATTTTGATTTTAAAGTACCTACTTAATATAGTCATTTCGACGATAGAAACTGTTATTAATATAATAATATTTTTAAGTAAAACTGCCACTAAAGATTGTGTATATGTTTTTTTTATTGAAATGCATTGTAGCTATTTTAAGAATCTAAAATTCAAGAGACCAAAAAGATGTGTAAAATACTTTTCTTACTACTTAAGATACTATAATTATATCTAATTTATATCTGTGGATTCATACTTTAGGTGCATTTTTTCAGACATCTATATCCTATGAAAAATCGAATTTCAGACAGTTTTTATAGTAAAATATGAGATATATTAATACTTCTGTAGATCGGTCAATAAAGACATGAGATTTCAGTTTTGTAAGTTTTATTTATAGATTAGCTATAATTAATTTATTGTATGTAGAAATTTAGTAACTGACCTCGTCATAATTACAATTGCCTACATATTTATAACTAGGTTAATCATGTTCTCATGGTTAAGAAATTTCATTTTTAATAAATATATCATGAAAATACTATGAAACAAACAATGTATAATAACTAGATGCATTTATTTTGCATTTCTCAGTAGTGTCTGAATTAGGGTTCATGATTTCTCGACCTTTTCAATTTCTCGGGTCTCAAGAATTCTCGAGATTAATTTCTCGGGTCTTCTCAGGTTGTCTATTTACATATGAAATTAGCGTTTTATCGTACTGGCTACTTTTATCTCAAATATCTCCTGTTTGGTTAGGAATTCCAATTTCAAATTTATACGGCTATTCACTCGTGCATTTGTTTTTCGAATACCGTAATCTATATGGCTTTTCCATCTTTGGTTTTTTCTTTGGGTCACCCAGGTAACAAAATGGAAAACTTAATATATCGCATTTACGAGTATGAGTTACGCCGTGGCACCAGTGCTACAGAAACGGCTCGAAGGATTAATGATGTGTATGGCGGTGGTGTCGCAAAAGAAAACACAATGCATTTTTGGTTCCAACGTTTTCGTTCTGGAAATTTCGTTTTGCAAAACAATCCCCGTGGGCGGCCGGAGTCCAAGATTGGTAATGAAGAATTAAAGGCTATTGTGGAAGCGGATTCATCGCTAACCACGTCAAGATTGGTAATGAAGAATTAAAGGCTATTGTGGAAGCGGATTCATCGCTAACCACGTCCGAGTTAGTTGCAGGTTGCGGTGTTAGTGACAAAACTGTTTTAGTCCACTTGTAGCAAATTGGGAAGTTGAATAAGCTTGAAAGGTGGAAAACCTCATGAATTCAGTGGAGTAAATCGACAAATACGCGTAGACTGTTGCGTTACATTAGTCAACCGGCATAATAATAAAGGGATTTTAAATCGAATCATTTTATCTGTGATGTAAAGTGAATCTTGTATGATAATTGGAAACGCTCATCGCAATGGCTGAACCCTGGCAAACCAAACAAATCCTGCCCTGTGCGAAAATTGACTCAAAAAAAGTTACTTCCGAGCGTTTGGTGGACTAGTCCCGGATTTGTTCACTTCACCTTTCTTAAATCTGTCCAGACGATTACGGCAGATGTGTTTTGTCAGCAATTAAGAAACCATGATGGAAAGCTAGCTGATAAACAACCGAGGCTGGTCAATGGCCGTAGGCCACTGATGCTTCAGGACAACGCTAGACCACACACTGCACAACAGACAGTTACCAAATTAGAGGAGATTCAATTGTAATGTATAAGACAACAACGGTACTACTCGGACCTCGCTTCAACAGATCACCATTTTTTTCGAAATTTGGATAACTGATTGGGAAAAAATTCAAATCCGATGGGGCAGTCCAAAGTGCCTTCAAAGATTTTATTGATTCCCATCCAAATGGTTTTTTTAGTAAAGAGATCAATAAAATACCTATGAGATGGCAAAAGTACATAAATAGCAATGGTACATACTTTAATTAAATAAATATATTATATTTTGAAAAAAAAAATACTTCAGGTTACTCCCTTATAAAACGCCAATTTCATATGTTATGACCTAATATTATTCAGACTTATAATGAAAGCATGATTTTTGGCTGGTTATTTAGAGCTCTCGACTTTTCTCGAGCTTGATTTCCCGGGAATGAACCCTAGTCTGAATGTATGCATATACCTACGTCAAGGTGTCAAATTAAGTAAAAGTCTATGTTCAAAAGAATGCTTTTGTTAATACCGTAATTACGTAATAGGTAGCATAAATAAGTAAATATTAACATACATACATTAAACCTTACATAAAAAATACAAGTTTTTTTTAAGACTATAACTTACTTGGATGAGGCTAAATCCGATCATATTACTGTATATCATTTGACTTATTATAACCTACCTCTAATCATTTTCATTAATAACAAAAGTAGAATATGTATTTGATTTTACTAGAACAAAAATACCTTAAATTTGTTTGAACAAAATAACATTTGACCAAGATTATACCTACTCGTAATTAAACTTCTAATTTGACGAACAAGCTTGATATTCTTTTTGACGAAGAAAATTACAAGATCAATTCAAGAAAACGCTAAACAAGAAAAAGGACGTGTATGCATACCAAGAATGCATTATTACTTTTATAAATAAAATCATGTTTTTCTATAATATCTACTATCTATCAAATGGTTAATTATATCTTATGGTTTATGCGCTTTTGCACCAAAACTGTAGAAATTGATCGGAGTACAGTATTTTTACGTTGAAGCTTGTTCAGTTCAACGGCCGCGGACAAAGATCCCACAAACCATTAACGGGAAATCCATTAATCATTCTTATTCATCAAACCTTCCACAATGTTATTTCGTGTTCTACTCTACATTGCATTTAGGTACATAGGTACCTAAAGTAAGATTAATGAACTAAAAATAGTACCTACGTCTTCATGTACTACTCTACCTACAATGTAGTAGGTACATATCCCTATAGGTATATTATCACAGATAAGAGAACTCAGTAGTTTCGTACGGAAAATGCGGGAGTGGACATAAATGTTTTTACATAAGATTAAACTCTCGCACCATATTGATTTCGGTCGTTTGTTGCACATACAAATAGATTTATTTACCTCGCAATGTGCTGCAACATTTTTTAAAAACCCCTTATATTGCAGGTAAGGTACTAGTATGCAACATTCCCTCATCTATGCCCCAAATGTAAGGAGTCCTGTACAGGTATCCTGTACATTTGGGCCGGCTGGCTGGCTCGACATGCCTTATTTTTAAATATTTTTATGTTTATATGAATATTTGGTTGCTATAGTATTGTATTGTTATTATTCATTATTTCTTTATTGCTCTTGCCTTGTTTGGATACTAGTTTTGTTACATATATTTTTTATAATATACCTACTGTTACTCTTACATATTGCGCCTTTAATTACCACCATCGTTGGCTGTACCGACCCAGCGCCCTACACACAGTCCCACACAATACCTACCATATTTCTTTAGTGATAGCTTCGATAGCAGCAATATTGCCCTACCTTCCTACCCTTAGGTTCCATATACAACAGCTAACCCCTGTTATTTCAAACAGAGATCGAAATTACGACGGCCTAAACCAAGGTTCGAACCCCTAGCGGTGCCCTCAGACTGAAGTATCCTTCAGAAGGAACACATCACATTGTTCTTTATAACAATATATTTAAATTCATTTATTGAAACATTTTTATTAGTAGGTACTTACTATTATATTTAATTCTATAAATACACTGGTACTATAAATATAAATGGAACATTCTACAATATGTGCCTCCTTTTTTCATCTAGGTACTCAGTCACCATTCATTTGTAATTTTGCACCAATTTGTTGGATTACAGTGGTCTGTCCATAAATCAACATTAATTTAGAGATATGATGTTATTTACGTGTCTTGTATGATTTGTTAATTTTCTGTAGCTTTGTGTTAGTAACACTGCTTTAGTATTAGGTACTATATGGCTTCATCATTGAATAAACGTTATTTTTTAAGTTTCATGTATGAGCATTGGCTGTTGTTGTGATCAAATGCATTTTCGTTTTCTTTAATCAAGTGGCTTCTTAGCTACATTAAATTAATACTTAGATATCAATGTATCTATCCAAAATAACATTAGGTAATTCGAATGGACAAGGAACTCTTATATATATGTGTAAATGTTTTCGATTGATTAATTCGTTTCGATACCTATATATGTATATTATTTATGTGTATACAAAAAAATGCATTTAATATCAGTCGTCTAACACCCATGACAAGCTCTGCTTAGTTTGGGAGTAGATGGCGCTGTGTGGATTGTTTTGGACTATTATTATTACTTCTATGTTCCTGTGGTACCTGCAATAGTGTGTACATATATAGCGTTCATAAACAAAAGCTAATGGAATATCTAATGTTTATGAGCTTGCATACGACGCAATAGGTGTATAATTTGTTATCATGTCATTATGCGTCGTTCATGTTCTAATGGATGTCTATAACAAAATATTTACATGTTCGACGTGATAGAATTTTATATAGCTACCGTATTAATGTTACTAAAGTTGCTTCTTATTTGAAATTAACAGATTAAATTTGTGACAATTCAATTTAAAGGTAACCGTTCAATAGTCCTTGTTAGCTATCATTGAAGTATAAAAAATACAGTTTCAGTTATAATTTGTTTAAGCTAAGTTTGTTATTAACTGTACCTATTATAAACTGGTTACTGGAGCAATTTTAAGCTAAATTTTATAATTACATTCAGTTTTAAACTATAATTAACAGCATCGAAATAAGTGAAACTATTTTACTTTACCTTTATTGTTGTGAAATTAAATTATAAATAGTTACCAAATTCGAAAGTAGGTACTAAAAATATAACACAAATAAAGCAAACACAGTTCTAAAGAATGAAGATAAAGACACTGACCAAATTCTCTAAGTGACAAATATATACATATAAATCAACGAGAAACTAATAAAACCCTCTATATTGACCATGAAATAGATTTATCGATATAAATGGTTGTTATCGCCACCTGGGAAGCTCTTACTCCTAACTCCTAACTCGTAACCATAAGGTAGCTATTAATTGACAAATCCTTATCAATAAATACATAATTTAAAGCCCTCGTTAAAACTTTTGATTACATTTTGTGATGGTCATTTTATGACCTTTCATACCTTGGTGGTAGGGGATTGGTAACAATGTGAACTAGTGAACCCATTACTATCAATGTACAACGCCAGGTTGACCTCTACGCGGTCTCCTTGGAAACATTGTGGTCAATTACAGGTGAATTCGTCATGATCTTATACATAACAGTCCTTATGTCATACTCAGTGATGACTTGTTGAACTTTCTCCGTATTCATAAGTCGTAGGAA